CCAGGTGTGTCAGCAGGAAGCAGAATCTGAAGTGGAACAGCTGGGACTTAAATTAATACCCACATAAGATTCTGATGTTGCAGGAAGAGGCTTGACTAGTTATACCACAATATCTCCTGGATATCTTCCATGTCCATAAAATTGATCTCTAACATTTTTTTTTTTTTTTATTGGAAAGGCAGATATACAGAGAGGAAGATCTTCTGTCTGATGATTCACTCCCCAAGTGAGCGCAACGGCCGATACTATGCCGATCTGAAGCCAGGAGCCTCTTCCGGGTCTCCCACACGGGTGCAGGGTCCCAAAGCTTTGGCCCGTCCTTGACTGCTTTCCCAGGCCACAGGCAGGGAGCTGGAAGGGAAGTGGGGCTGCCGGGATAGAACCGGCACCCATAGGGGATCCCGGGCGTGCAAGGCGAGGACCTTAACCACTTGCGCCACCACACCAGGCCCTTAACTTTTTTAATTTGAGAGCCAGACCTTCCTTCCACTAGTTCACTATCAGATGCCCGTAGCTGCTGTGCCTGGATCATGTTGCAAAGGCACTAGCAGGGAGGAGCTCAATCCAGGTTTGCTGTGTGGGTGGCAGGGACCGGACTACTTCACATCACCTGCTGCTTCCCAGAACGCACCAGCAGGAAGCCAGAGTTGGGAACAGAGCCAGAACTCAAACCCATACTTAGATACTCAGTGTGGAGTGTGGCCATCAATACCCTGCTATTGGTTGCTTAGGCTGATTTTTTTTTCTCATGCATACATTTTTTTTAACCTAATTTTAAAAATCCTTAAAATAGGATGCACATTTAAGTTAATGCTAATTACCTTATTATTGTCTGTTGGGAAGACTGGATCAGTGATTTATCTCTTCAGCAGTGTCTCCCACAAGGCTGTGTAAGGCTTAGGCAGTTTCCTGTGGGAGACACTGTCATGGCGGAGATGAGGGAGACAGGCTGCCTTTCTGAACAGCGCTCTGTGTCTGTGGCACTGACAAGTGGCACAGGGAGTGGCAGGCAGGTCGAGGCCACAGGGAGGCGCTTCTGTAAGACCTGCGCTTGGCTTTCCTTTTGTCCTTTCTGGCCTCCCTAGGAGTGACTGCTGTGCTATAACCCAGGGCCCCGAAGCAAGAGACCTGCCTGTTAAATTAGAGAAGAGTCTGCTTACGTGTGTGTTGTCCTCTCCTCTAAACAGACTGAGGTGACCCTAACATCACTTCACTCCTGCAGACAGGTGCTTCAGCAGCTCAGGCTACGGTGAGCAACATCAGGTCTCCCAGATTGAGTTTCACAAAGGTTGGAGTCCGGCAGAGAACTGCTAGCTGTATTTTTGGCATGATATAGACATCTTAAAGAATGCCATTTATTAAGATCTTTTTTTTTTTTAATGGATTTTAAAAAAATAACCATAACCTAGGGGACTGGTGCTGTGGTACAGCCAGGCAATCCTTTACCTACTGTGCTGGCATCCTATATGGATGCTGGTCCATATTCCCAGCTGTGCCATTTCCAATCTAGCTCTCTGGGCTGGAAAAGCTGCAGAAGATGGCTGAAATCTGCAACCACGTGGTAGATCCAGAATCTCCTGGCTTTAAATCGGCTCGTATTGGAGCACCCATTTGAGCCTTTCTGCTTCACTTCTGATTCAACTTCCTGCTGATGTTCAGGGCAAGCAGCAGAGCATGGCCCAAATGCTTGGGCCCCTACTACTGTGGGAGACACAGATGGAGTTGGGGGCTCCCAGTTTCGGCCTGGGCCATTGCAGCCGTTAGGGGGGTGAAACAGTTGATAGAATATCTCTTGATCTTTCCCTATCATTCTGCCTTTCAGATAATTTTTTTAAACTGTAAAAAGAATTACAAAAATGTTAAAAATGAACAGACAGTAGAGATTCACAGGACATGGAGAGTAGAAGTGCATCTCACAGGATTTGAGGTTGTCTAACTTAGAGTGCTGAAGCTGCTGAAGGAAGCTGGGAAAGAGAGAATGGCCCAGAGCACTGCCATTCTGAGAACCTTCTTCAGCAACATCTTTGGACTGGAGGATTGGGAAAGGGAGGGGACTCCCTGCCTGCCTGCATTGTTAAAGCCAGGCCAGCTCCCTTTATCTGGAACTCTGCATTAACGCTTCAACATGGCTGATAGGCAGAAATCCTGTTTGCTCTCAACTCTGGCTAGTTACCTAACTTCTCTGATCCTCTGGTTGGAAGTATCTTCTTTGTGCGAAGCTCCCAAAGATTACAGGTACAGAATGCAGGCCCAGGGCCCGGCGCGGTGACGCAGTGGTTAAGGTCCTTGCCTTGCACGCAACGGGATCCCATATGGGCGCCGGTTCTAATCCCAGCAGCCCCACTTCCCATCCAGCTCCCTGCTTGTATCCCGGGAAAGCAGTCGAGGATGGCCCAAGGCTTTGGGACCCTGCACCCATGTGGGAGACCCGGAAGAGGCTCCTGGCTTCGGATTGGCATAGCATCGGCCATTGTGCTCACTTGGGGAATGAATCATCGGATGGAAGATCTTCCTCTGTCTCTCCTCTGTATATCCACCTTTCCAATAAATAAATAAATCTTAAAAAAAAAAAAAAAAGAATGCAGGCCCAGCCTGTAGAGTTGTTTAGTAGCAGCTGGGAAGCATGGACGGATTTAGGGAGAGAAGGCATGGGGTCAAAAATAACCAGCCTGGTGATTCTACTTTAGGGCTTAGGAATGCCCGCTTTCTGGCTTCCTCAAATCCTTCACTCCCCAGCTCTGAAGTCCCCTTCATTGGTTAGGGTACAAACTAATTTGGTTCTTTCCCTCCCTCTGCCCCGACAGCATCTGTGGGACCCTGCATTCTGTGGATCAGGTGAGTTACAGCAAGGGCTTGGATTCGGCTCTTGGCCAAGGGGAGGAGGCAGCTTAAAAGGGCTGGGCACCTGCCTCTTGTCTCTCAGGTTAAGGATGTTCATTTTCCTTTCTTAGTATCTCAACATCAAACTAACCGACATCAGTGTCACAGACCCTGAGAAATACCCCCACATGGTAAGTTGGATTGCTGGAGAAAACACCTCCCCAGCAGGCGGCCTCTGGGGTTAGAGGGCATTTTAAGCAGTGCTTTCCCATTTGTCTGTCTGCATGCAGCTGTCAGTGAAGAACTGCTTCATCCGGGGCTCGGTGGTGCGCTACGTGCAGTTACCTGCAGATGAGGTTGACACCCAGCTGCTACAGGACGCCGCGCGGAAAGAGGCCTTGCAGCAGAAACAGTGATGGCAGCCCCCCTCCTCCGGTGACCCACAGCCTCAGGTCCCGGCCCAGGACCCCACCACCCCACCCTCAAGGTGTATTTTTCTAGCAGTGATTTTTTTTCCCCCTTTTGTAAAAGGAGATGAGGAATGAGAGTAGTAGCAGGGAGCAGCTCTCCTGTGTAGAAAATGCTGGGAAACTGTATATCCATCCCAGTCCCCAGTCCCTGCCTCCCTGGGGATGGTGGGAGAGTCTTCGGGTCTTTCTAGAACAGCCTGATTCATTTTGGGGATGGAAAGAATCTGTCCCGCATCGGGAATAAAACTATGATGCATATTTGAGTTGTGGTTCTGCGTGTGTGAGTGTGTGTGTGATACGCATGAACACATGAGTGGGAGCCAGTGCGCTGCTCAGCAGAAGACTGGGGTGATGGGAAACAATGTTGCATTCATGCAAGCCCTGTGCCAGTCATGAGTCCACTCAGTCACCTAGCATTATTTGCCACTGTGCTCCTGGACCAATGTAATACCTCTGGGGCAGCGTAGTGACGTGGCAGCTAATCCTCTGCCTGCAAGCACCAGCATCCCATACGGACACTGGTTTAAGTCCTGGATGCTCCACTTCCAATCCACCTCCCTGCTATGGCCTGGGAAAGCAACAGAGGATGACCCAAGGTTTTGGGCCCCCGCACTCATTTGGAAGACCCAGAAGAAGCTCCTGACTTCCAGCTTCAGCTCAGCTCAGATCCAGCCTTGCAGCCTTTTGGGGACTGAACCAGTGAATGGAAAATCTCTCTTCCTGTCTCTCCTTCTCTCTAAAATTTGCCTTTCAAATAAAAAAAAATTAATACCTCAACTGGAATATACCGTTTCCTGAATATTCCCTCACCTATATGTTCACCTTTTGGCCTTTTGCTTATATTGTACCTACAAGTGGGATGCCTGTTGTCCTTCTCTGTTTCTCTTGATTTGAAAGGCAGAGTGATACAGAGACATAGGGATCTTCCGTCCACTCCATTCTCAAATGAACAGCCAGGGCTGAGTCCTGACAAAGCCAGGAATCAACTCCATCTGCACAAACTCCCCCGTGGGTGGCAGGGACCCTCAGCAGTAGATGCCTGCCAGATGCACATGAGAAGGAAGCTGGTCTCTGAACCAGAACCTGGGCTTGGGCACTCCAATATGGGCTGCAGGGTGTAGGAGTCCCAAATGGTGTCTTACCCTCTCGGCTAACTGCCCACCCCAGTTCTCCCGTTCATTTGACAATGAGGTACCACAATGTATTTGGTGCAGCCAAAGTAGTACCCACTTCGTCCACATAAACAAGTTTTGTGTTGTACAGTGGTGACTGGGAATTACCAGACAGCAGGTAATTTCAGTATACAAAGGAGACGTCAATTCTCACCATTAACGGACCGCAGAGACTATGCAGCGGGACCCCCACATTCGTGCAGGTGACCCTCACGGAGGTGGCGGACCTCGGCCGGGGGCCGGTCCCTCAGCCCGGGGGCCGCCGCGCCCTCCGCCGCTGGTTCGCCCGCGCTCCGCCGGGCGCCGCCCCCGGGCCGAGGACCCGCGCGGGGTGTCCGCGCCGGCGCCTGACGCGAGCGCCGGCCGCGGGGTGTCCTCCCACGCCGCCCCCGCACCCCGCGTTCCGTGCGGTTCTTCGGAAGCGCGGCGGGCGGTGCGGGCCTCCCGGGCAGCGGCGAGCAGGCGGCGCGCTCACGCGCAGGCGGGGCACGGCCGCCCGCGCCAGGACCGGCCGGCCCGGAAACGCTCGCTGTCACAAAGGGGGGAACACGTGGGCGCCGACTGCCCGGCCGGCGGCCTCAGGGAGCCGGGGTCGCCCAGAGCCGCCCACCGCCTCCGCCCGCCTGCTCCTTCGCCCCGGCCTCCCGCTAGGGAGGGGGACTCCCGGCCCTGTGCGACCACCTCCCTCCAGTACGTACCCGCGGCTCGAACCCGCGTCTGCAGGACGCCGGCTGGCTACCACGAACTCCCGCCCTCCCAGAGGCCCTGCCCTCTCCTCCCCAGTCACTCTGAGAACCTGCCCCTGGGCTCCTGAGGACTGGCCGGACCCCTGTCCTGGGGCTCTCGGGTGCCTGCAGCGGAGCAGCCCCTCAGGATCCCCTCCATCCTGCACCGTTCTTTCTAGGTTTTTCCATCTCGTCCGGGATCCGCAGAACCATGTCCATCCTCTACGTCTCCCCTCACCCGGATGCCTTCCCCAGCCTCAGGGCGCTCATAGCCGCTCGCTACGGGGAGGCCGGGGAAGGCCCGGGCTGGGGAGGACCCCACCCCCGAATCTGTCTCCAGCCTCCTCCAGCCAGTAGGACTCCCTTGCCCCCGCCCCGGCTGCCGGCCCTGGAGCAGGGGCCCGGTGGGCTCTGGGTGTGGGGCGCCACAGCTGTGTCTCAGCTGCTGTGGCCCGCGGGCCTCGGCGGCTCAGCAGGCAGCCGGGCAGCTGTCCTGGTCCAGCAGTGGGTCAGCTACGCGGACACGGAGCTAATACCGGCCGCCTGCGGGGCCTCGCTGCCGGCCCTGGGACTCCGGAGCCCTGCTCAGGACCCCCAGGTGAGTGGCTGGGAGGACACTCACTGGAAGGAGGCAGGAGTTGGAGATGATGGTAGGGCGGTTCAGATAGGGGAAAACGTTGGTCAAGTCCCAAATTGTCACCCAGCGTGTTACTTAGCCTTGGTTCTTAAGATCTCTGAGCCGATGAGGAGAAACGAAAGCTGATGTAATACCAGCTTGCCTGAGGTAATGCGATGAAAACCTGTGTGTGCAGAGCACATAGGCCAGTGCTGGTTTCTGAGTCAAAGTTTGGTGAGTTTGATGAAAACTAAGGAGGACAGGAAGCAGAAGCCTGGATGAGGGAGAGACGGCAGATACAAGAGAGATCCCAAGAGGAAGAAGCCACCAGATTGTGGCTCTGCAGCCTTGCAGGCTGGGCCTTGTGAACTCCCAGCTCTGTCCTGCCGCAGCCTCTGGCACAAGGCAGAAACTTGGTATTTCTTGAATGAATGAATGAATGAATGAGCGAGCATGTGACAATGACCCATCCTCTTTTCTTGGGATGTCTTATTGCCTTTAGCTTGCTTTTTCTCCATAAGAGAAAATAGAGTCATGTGTGAAGTATTTGCTCATTTATTGTCTCCCCTCTGGAAAGCACTGGGCTCTGGAAGGTCACTGGGCTCTGTGGCTGTCGCCTCTCATGCCCTGGACAAGTGCCCACTGTGAATGCTGTGGACCTGGCTGCCTGGTAGAATCTCTCTAACCTCTGACTTCTGCGTTGCCTCTGACCCAGAGCAGGTGCTCAGTGGAGATTTACTGGATGAGTCAGATGTTGTTTTACATGAGCACTTGAGTGTTCCTAGAAATTGATCTCTGAGGTGCTTGTCTGCTGGAGAGGGTGTGGAAGGTGGCCCACTGGAGCTTGTCTCATGCCCTGTCCCCCTTCTTGCAGGCTGCCCTGGGAGCCCTGGGCAAGGCCTTGAGCCCCTTGGAGGAGTGGCTTCGTCTACACACCTACCTGGCAGGAGAGGCCCCCACTCTGGCTGACCTGGCGGCTGTCACCGCTTTGCTGCTTCCTTTCCGCTATGTGAGTGCCCAGAAGCTGGGCAAGCATGAAAGATCCCCCCACACACCCCCCTCATTACAGAGAGAATGACACACACACACACACACACACACACACACACACGGACCTCAGCCTTTCCAAGGCCTAGGGAAGCATGACAGACACCCCACAGGCTTCAGCCCTTACAGGGCCAGAGGAGGCATGAGAGACCCCACCCACTCTCCCCAGCCCTCACCAGTAGGGCGACTAAGGATGGTCACTTCCCGTCCTAGGTCCTTGATCCCTCTGCCCGCCGGATCTGGGGTAACGTGACTCGCTGGTTTGTCACATGCGTGCGGCAGCCAGAATTCCGGGCCGTATTGGGAGAAGTGGTTCTGTACTCGGGGACCAGGCCTGTGTCTCAGCAGCCAGGTGAGGAAGGGCGGGTAGCAGCTCCTCCGGATGCTTTCTGTGAAGTTCACTTTCTTTCTCTGGGGCCGTGGGGGAGAGCAGTATTGTTTCCAGAGGGCCTCCCTGTACATCTGTGCCCTTTCTCTCCAGAACCCGAGGTTGCTGCCCCCCCAAAGACAGCTGCTCAGCTCAAAAAAGAAGCAAAAAAGCGGGAAAAGCTGGAAAAATTCCAGCAGAAGCAGAAAATGCAGCAGCAGCAGCAGCCACCGCCAGGGGAGGTGAGAGACTGGGGTGAGCTGGAGGGGGCTGCCTGCCCTGGAGGGGTAGCTGAGAGCCAGCGGGCCTGTGTCTTCCCCTTCTCGAGCAGAAGAAGCCAAAGCCTGAGAAGAAGGAGAAACGGGATCTTGGAGTCATTACCTATGACCTCCCAACTCCGCCGGGGGAAAAGAAAGGTATTACCCTTCAGCTGCTCCTAAGTTTTTGCCTCTTCTTGCCCTGGCCTGTATTGTGACACTGGGGAGGGTTGTACAGGGGTACCTGGGCCTACCACCCATCTTGCAACATGAATGAGAGGAGCCCTTATCTTTGAGTCCTGGCCCCTGCTCTGAGCCCCGCCTTCCACCCCCTAGACACCAGTGGCCCCATGCCTGACTCATACAGCCCGCAGTATGTGGAGGCCGCCTGGTACCCGTGGTGGGAACAGCAGGGCTTCTTTAAGCCAGAGTACGGGGTAAGTGGGCACTGCCTCCCAGGCCTGAGGGAGCAGGTGTGGGATGGGCAGGGCTGGAGGCTGCATGACCTGGAAGGGAGCCGGGCCAGGCAATGTGAGGTCTCAGCACGTGCTGTCCTCTTCCCTCAGCGTCCCAGCCTGTCAGCGCCCAATCCCCGAGGTGTCTTCATGATGTGCATCCCGCCCCCCAACGTGACAGGCTCCCTGCACCTGGGCCACGCGCTCACCAACGCCATCCAGGACTCCCTGACTCGATGGTGAGCTCACCCAGCTCCTGGGCTCTCCGGCTTCCTTGCCTGCTGCGCTTGCAGCCGCTCTGCTGTTTGAGCCCTGAGCTCTGCCCTCTTGTGGCAATTCACTTCTGCTTTGCGCATTCCTCTCTGTTGCCTCCTCTCCTAGCCTGATAGTCCCATCCGCTATCCCCCTACAGACTCTCTTCTCCCTTCTACTAAGACAAATTTAGCATTTGCTTATTTTATTTAAAAGGTAGAAAAAATTAGAGACAGAGTTCTTCCATCTGAGTCTCCCATGTAGATGCACGTCCCAAGGACTTGAGCTCTCTTTTTTTAAAAACTCAAGCAAAAATATGATTCTACAATTTTAGCAGTTTCTCTCAGAGCCTTCCCTGTCCCAGCCTGTTGACTGGCTTATCCTTACATAGTCTGACTTCATCTTCAGTTTTGTATGTTCAGCTGTGTGGCAGCGCCCTAGGGGAGTCAGCTGTTGGGTTATTTGTTCCTAATTCTCTGTTGGAAGCTTTGCTGGAATGCCTGTCCTGTAGGTGCTTGCTCAAGCACATGCGTGTGGAGGGATTTCTGTCATGTTGCCACCGAGAAGTGAAAGTGCTTGGTGGACAGGGACGGTTCTGCATGGAGTCTGCCCGGAAGCTGCTGGATTTCCCTCAGGGACTATTTCCCTGATCCTCTCCCCAACCCCGTGACTGGCATGCAGGATGTCCAGTCCACATCCTGGCCCACACTGGGCCTGACTGGCCTTCAGGTTGTCAGACTGGGTCATCTGTGTTTTCTGTTACCGAGGCTAAGCCTTACCTGTCTTTCCTGACCTGTCCCTACCATCTGCCCATTTTCTAGTACTCTGTTGATTTTCTTTACTAATTGGTTCATTGGAGTATTCATTCCCTATTCTGGACATTATTTTTTTTTTTGTTGGCTTGTATACATTTTTCTCTTGTCCTTGCATTATGTAATTGCAAATGTTTTTTCCCTTTTATTTTTCCTCACTGTTCATATTTATTTATTTATTTAAAGTTTAAAGATTTTTTTTATTATTGTTGTTGGAAAGTCAGATACACAAAGAGGAGGAGAAACAGAGAAAAATCTTCTGTCCCCTGGTTCATTCCCCAAGCAGCTGCAACTGCCAGAGCTGAGCCGATCCAAAGCCAGGAGCCAGGAGCCTCTTCTGGGTCTCCCACACAGGTGCAGGGTCCCAAGGTTTTGGGTCACCACAGGCAGGGAGCTGGATGGGAAGCAAGGCTGCAGGAATTAGAACCGAAGCCCATATGGGATCCCGGCACGTGCAAGATGAGGACCTTAGCCACTAGGTTATCGACAGGACCCACTGTTCATATTTAAATTAGTATCAACTGTGAAGTGCAAATGCTCTAGATAACAAATCTACTTTTAAAGGCTTTTTATTTTTAATTTTCATCTTATTTGAAAGCTGAAGAGACAGAGGTCTGTCTGCTGGTTTGCTTCAGAGCTGAGCCAACCTGAAGGCAGGAACCTAGACATCTAAATGGATCTTCCGCCTTAGAGGCAGGGGCCCAGTCCTTGAGCTGTCATCTGCTTCTCAGCTTGCGCATCAGCAGGAAGCTCATTCAGAAGCAGAGCAGCCAGAATGCAAGCCAGGCACTCTGGGGTGGGGTTCTGCTATCCTAGGTGGGAACTTAACCTGCCTACTCCAAAGTATTGGGTTTTTTTTTTTTTTTAATTTAAAAGATATATATTTGAAAAGTAGGGAAACAGGGAAGTTATAGTCATTGCTGCACCCCCAAGATGCCCACAGCAGCCAAGGCCAGGCCAGGCTGTGAAGCAGGCCCTGGAACTGGGAACAAAGGCAGGACTTGAACTCGGAAGCCCCAGTAAGGTGTGCGGGCATCCCAGGGGAGCACCTAACCTCTGTGCCAAATGCCTCCCCCTTAAATCATTTCAAAGCAATTCATCACTTGTAGAAACCAAGGCTTGTTTATGTATTCTTTCCTATCTCTTTTTTTTTTCTTCTTTCTTTCCCTTAGTCCCTCCCTATCTCCTTCCTTTCTCTCCTTTTCTTTCTTTAAGACATGTGTATTTGCAAAGCAGGCCTATCCACTGTGTGGTCTCCCGTGTCCTCCCACAGGCACCGAATGCGTGGAGAGACCACCCTGTGGAACCCTGGCTGTGACCACGCAGGCATCGCCACGCAGGTGGTGGTGGAGAAGAAACTGTGGCGTGAGCGGGGCCTGAGCCGGCATCAGCTAGGCCGGGAGGCCTTCCTGCAGGAGGTCTGGAAGTGGAAGGAGGAGTGAGTACACGAGTTCCCTTTGGGCCCCACAGAGAGAACAAGTGGTCCCCACGCTGCTCCATCACCCAGGGCTGCATGCTCAGTCCCACTGTCTCCCCTCTTCTAGGAAGGGTGACCGGATTTACCACCAGCTAAAGAAGCTTGGCAGCTCCTTGGATTGGGACCGAGCCTGCTTCACCATGGACCCTGTGCGTGATAAACATCTGGAGGCTGGGGTGGACGTGGGAGGCATTCCTGGGAGCAATACTCTCTTGAAGGTGCACATGTGGGTGCCAAGGCCCCTATAGGGCGAGCACCCATTCACAGCACCATTCGGAGGGCCCCTGCATGGGAGGCCTCTTCAGAACCCAGACCCTGCCCTTGGGGCTGCAGAGTCCCTGGGGACCAGTGATCTGTCACCCGTGGAGCCTGAGTCCACAGTATTCTGCTCTGTCCTTGACTCAGTAACAGCCCCACCCTAGTAGTCCCATATCCTTCAGTGAAGCACTTCTAGGGCAGGTATTTGACCCCGTAGCTAAGGTGTCACTTGGGTCATTGGCATCCGCAGCAGGAATATCAGTTTGAGTCCCTGATGCTGCTTTTCCAATCCAGTTCCCACTCATGTACCTGCTCAAGCACTTGAGTCATCTGCCACCCTCGTGGGAGCCCTGGATGGAGTTCCTGGCTCCTGGCTTCATCTTGGCCCAGCCCCTGGTGTTGTGGGCATTTGTAGAGTCAACCAGTAGATAGAAAATCTCTTTTTCTCTGTGCCTTTCAGATACAGATAATATCAATGCTTCTCCCTTCAAAGGGGTCGTTGCCGACCTGTGGGGTTCTGTGCAGGCCAGGCCTTCCTGGGCCTGCCACCTCAGGTGCCTGGAGGCCTCCTGGCACCAGGACCCTGCTCCCTGACCCACCTTGTCTTCCTGCCCCAGAAACTCTCGACAGCTGTGACTGAGGCTTTTGTTCGGCTTCATGAAGAAGGTGTCATCTACCGCAGCACCCGCCTCGTCAACTGGTCCTGCACCCTCAACTCAGCCATCTCTGACATTGAGGTGCTCACTCCCCCAGCCTGACTTCCCCATGTGTCTACACTGACCCTGGCCCTGAGCCACCTTGCCAAACCCCTGTCTTACAGGTAGATAAGAAGGAGCTGACAGGTCGCACCCTGCTGTCTGTACCAGGCTACAAGGAGAAGGTGGAGTTTGGGGTCCTTGTGTCCTTTGCCTATAAGGTCCAAGGCTCAGGTGGGCACTGGGGGCACCAGGATGCTGGGTGGAGGGAGACAGGAAGGGGCCAGGGCCAAGACCACAAGGCCTTCTGTCACCACAGACAGTGATGAAGAGGTGGTGGTGGCAACAACTCGGATTGAGACAATGCTAGGAGACGTGGCTGTAGCTGTGCACCCCAAAGACGCCAGATACCAGGTGCAGTAGGGGAGGAATGCTGGCTCACAAGGGACTTCCACCCTTCCGGGTGGCTGTGGGGGTGGGGACTGTGGTCTGTGGCTGAGGTGTTGAGTTAGGGACATCTTCCAGTCCCTTTCCCAACCCTGGGGACCTTGGTGGGGGTGTGGGTGTGGCTCCACCAGGGCCCCAGCCTCATATACTCAGTGGGTAACCTCTGACTCCAGCATCTGAAGGGGAAGAATGTGGTTCACCCGTTCCTGTCTCGAAGCCTGCCCATCGTCTTCGATGATTTTGTGGACATGGAGTTTGGCACAGGTAAAGAGGGACCAGTGCCACAGGGAGAGGGAGGGAGCTGAGCCCCTACGGCAGAGCCCAGCTGCCTGTGTCTTCTCTCAGAGAAAAAGCACATTACCTCGGACTAACCCAGTGGATTCCAAGGAGGGGGAAACCGGAGGGGGAGGTAGGCTGGGGGAGATCACAAAACAAATCCTAGAGCACATGAAGTGACCCTGGTGACCCTAGCACATGGTACCTCCAACCAGGTGCGGTCAAGATCACTCCTGCACATGACCAGAATGACTATGAGGTCGGGCAGCGGCATGGGCTGGAGGCCATCACCATCATGGACTCGCGCGGTGCCCTGGTCAACGTGCCCCCTCCTTTCCTGGTGAGCCTGCGGGGACTGTGGGTCCAGGCTGGGGAGACGGGGCTGCCTGGGCACTGCAGTACAAGGCTTGCCTCCCATCCAGGGCCTGCCCAGGTTTGAGGCCAGGAAGGCTGTGCTGGCGGCACTAAAGGAGCAGGGCCTGTTCCGTGGCGTTAAAGACAACCCCATGGTGGTGCCACTTTGCAAGTGAGGCTGGGGGCCAGGGAGGGCAGGTGGGCAGTGAGGGGGGGGGCACCTTGGGGAATGCACCACTCATTGCGTATGTCACTCTAGCCGTTCCAAAGATGTGGTGGAGCCTTTACTGCGGCCCCAGTGGTACGTGCGCTGCGGAGAGATGGCCCAGGCTGCCAGTGCTGCCGTGACCCGAGGTGACCTCCGCATCCTGCCTGAGGCCCATCAGCGGACATGGCATGCTTGGATGGACAACATCCGGTGCGCAGGGCCCCTTACCATGCAGGGGGGTGGCTGGCCAGGGACTGAGCGAGGCGCAGACCCCACCTGACCTCCCTTGCCCACCACCCATAGGGACTGGTGCATTTCTCGGCAGCTGTGGTGGGGCCATCGCATCCCAGCGTACTTTGTCACCGTTGATGACCCTGCCATACCCCCAGGGGAGGTGAGGACAGGCCTCTGGAGGAGCTGTGGGTTTGGTTGAGGTCATGGCCAGGTCAAGGCAGAAATTCCCCAGGGTCCCCTCTCCACCTGTGACAGGACCCTGATGGGCAGTACTGGGTGAGTGGACGCAGTGAGGCTGAGGCCCGTGAGAAGGCAGCACGGGAGTTTGGAGTGAGCCCTGACAAAATCAGTCTCCAGCAAGGCAAGATGGGGGCCAAGCTGGGGGTGGTGTAGAGGCGGGGCGCTGATCCTCACTGCCCAACCTCTGACCTCCGACCTCCCTCAGATGAGGATGTGCTGGACACCTGGTTCTCCTCTGGCCTCTTCCCATTCTCCATCTTGGGCTGGCCCAACCAGGTATGTTCCCAGGGCTAAGCCAGGACATGAGGGGAATCTGGAAGGTGGGCCCTTGACTGTCCTCACGCCTTGCTTCCTGTCTCTTCCCAGTCAGATGACCTGAGTGTATTCTACCCGGGGACACTGCTGGAGACGGGCCATGACATCCTTTTCTTCTGGGTGGCTCGGATGGTCATGCTTGGCCTGAAGCTCACAGGCAGGCTGCCTTTCAGAGAGGTGTGGCAATGGCTGATGACCCTACCTGCCTTCTTGTGTGGGCCCAGGGGCATGGTCAGGGCACAGGGGTAGCTGTGGGTGGGCCTGCCTCCGGCTTGGTGGGGGCAGGGCTGCACGGCATGATACTTAGGATTCAGGGTGGGACAGATGGGTGCTGGTGCCTGGTGAGAGCACTGTGGCTCAAGTAGGGGATTCAGCCTCACAGACCCCGCCTACCTGCCCTGCAGGTCTACCTCCATGCCATCGTGCGAGATGCTCATGGCCGGAAGATGAGCAAATCTCTGGGCAACGTCATTGACCCCCTGGACGTCATCCACGGAGTCACACTGCAGGTGGGCCAGGCTCTGCCCCCAGGGAGAGCGTAGCTGTGCACCCATGGCCATGGCTGTAACCACCTGACCTCGCCCCCTGCCCCCAGGGTCTCCATGACCAGTTACTGAACAGCAACCTGGATCCCAGTGAGGTGGAGAAGGCTAAAGAAGGGCAGGTATGGAGGCTGGGAGCCTGGGGCCGAGCATGGGCTGATAGTGGGCTGGGCCAGCTGAGGACCCCACTCCTCTTCCTCCCTGCAGAAGGCAGACTTTCCCACGGGGATCCCTGAGTGTGGCACCGATGCACTCCGGTTTGGACTTTGCGCCTACACGTCCCAAGGTATAGCCGTTGGGCCTCCCCCCCACCTCCTCCTTTCCCTGGCCTGAGGCCCTGCCTTGTCCTGCCCTGTCCTTTCCTGGGCCTCTGCTGCCACAAGGATTGGGAGGGAGGATGGTGAGGACACCACTGCACCCCCAACCCAGGCCGTGACATCAACCTGGATGTGAACCGGATCTTGGGTTATCGCCATTTCTGCAACAAGCTCTGGAATGCCACCAAGTTTGCCCTCCGTGGTCTTGGGAAGGATTTCGTGCCCTCACCCACCTCCCAGGTGAGGGCCTCGTAGGCACTAGGGTTGGCAGTGTCCACACAAGCCTCACACCTGCCATGCTCCATGTTGGGCAGTCTCTGCCCCTAAGGGACTCCCATGTATCTGAGGGTGCAGACACACAATTTTGGGGAGGTGCAGGCTGTCTGCAGGGGTGTTCTGCCGAGGTGTCTGGGGGCCTGTGTGCTGGACATAGACCCCACAGCTTTTTCCATGGTTCCTGCCACTGAGAGGCCCGGGCTCATGAGCCCTTTGCACGTGAGCCTCACCAGCTGACACGGCCCTTCTCCCCAAGCCCGGGGGCCAGGAGAGCCTGGTGGACCGCTGGATCCTCAGCCGGCTGGCCGAGGCCGTGAAGCTCAGCAACCACGGCTTCCAGACCTACGACTTCCCCACTGCCACCACCGCCCAGTACAGCTTCTGGCTCTATGAGCTCTGTGACGTCTACCTGGTGAGAAGGGGCCAGGAAGGGGCAGTCCACCCAGCCTACCCGCCCTCTTCACAGCCTTCCTGGGACAGTCGGAGCTTGAGGCCAGACCCAGGCCCTGAGCCCCGCCCCTCCCTGTCCCTCAGGAGTGCCTGAAACCCGTGCTGACCGGAGCAGACCAGGCGGCGGCCCAGTGTGCCCGCCAGACCCTCTACACTTGCCTGGACATTGGCCTGCGGCTACTCTCTCCCTTCATGCCCTTTGTGACCGAGGAGCTGTTCCAGCGGCTGCCCCGCCGGACGCCACAAGCTCCCCCCAGCCTCTGCGTCACCCCGTATCCAGAACTCTCAGAGGTACGGGCTGTGTGCTGCAGGGAGGACACCTCTGGACCTTCAATGAGGCCTTTCTCACGCCCTCCTCTGCCCCACAGTGTTCCTGGAGGGATCCTGAGGCAGAAGCTGCCCTCGAGCTGGCACTGAGCATCACAAGGGCTGTGCGATCCCTGCGCGCTGACTACAACCTTACCCGGACCAGGCCAGACTGTGAGCCTCGCATCCCCACTGCCACCACCCCCCCACTGCCGTGTGTGTCCCAAGAACCAGGCTTCATACTCCTCTCTCCCCGGCAGGTTTCCTGGAAGTGGCTGATGAGGCCACAGGTGCCCTGGCATCAACAGTGGCAGGCTATGTGCAGGCACTGGCTAGCGCAGGCACAGTGGCTGTACTGGCTCCGGGCACCGCCGCACCACAGGGCTGTGCTGTGGCTGTGGCTTCTGACCGCTGCTCCATCCACCTACAGCTGCAAGGGCTGGTGGACCCAGCCCGGGAGCTGAGTAAGCTGCAGGCCAAGCGGAGCGAGGCCCAGCGGCAGGCCCAGCGGCTGCAGGAGCGCCGTGCCACCTCAGGCTATTCGGCCAAGGTGCCCCTTGAGGTCCAGGAGGCGGATGAAGCCAAGGTGTGTAGTGTGGGCAGGTGCTTCCTGCTCCTTAGCTCCCTTCATCATCAGAGCACCAAGGGTGGGCAGTACAGGGCTCACAGCCTGGAGCTGGGACCCTGTGAGCCCCTCCCCTCACATATGAGAAGCAGCTGGTAGTGGTGGCCCTAGTCTGAGGTCACACAGCAGGTTGAAGGGGAGGCAGACCTAGAATGAGATGAGCTGCCAATTGGCTACCCTGTGCCCACCCTACTGCCCAGATATAAAATCTATGTGCCTCCCCGGGCTCAGGACCCAGGTGCAGTCACAGACCCCCAAACAAAACACCTCTTTCATCCACAGCCCACAGGGCTAAGCAGGGATGCCAGGCTTGGCTCATGTTCCCCTGTAGACCCCTGCCTCTGGGGATCCTTCCAGGAGCAGCTGTGTGGTGAGCCACACAGATGCAGAGGAAGATGGTCACGAGGCACGACGTGGTGGGCGGCTCACCCCACCTGAGTCTCCCCAAGCCTCTGAAAGTGAGCAATGTCCGTGTATTTGATAGATGGGGGTTCAGTGACTTTGCTGGAGCCCACGCTCTTGCATAATGGTGATGAGACTGGGTACATGGCTTAGTCCCCTCTGAGGACTGACCACTCTGGGGAAAAAAGGTGAGATCAAAGCTGGGCTGTAGCAGGAGAGAGCAGGTTCTGGTGGTAAGGCTGAAGAGAATTAGGGGAATGGGGATGGCTAACATCACAGATCCCATGAGCTGCCTGTCCTTGGTCCTCCCATACCTGTCCATCTTGAGTGCTGGAGTCTTCTGGGCCTGGGTTCTCACTCTCCCTCCACTCTCCCTCCCCCTGTTCAGCTGCAGCAGACAGAAGCAGAACTCAGGAAGGTGGAGGAGGCCATCGCTCTGTTCCAGAAGATGCTGTGACCCGCCCAGCTTCAGCCTACAACCCCCAGTGGTGTGCCATGGTGATGGCAGCAATAAAATATTTTACCACAAAGCTATCTCTCTGACTGCATGGTGGGGGTGGAGAGGGGGTGGGGCTGAACTGGGCTGGGTTTCTGAAACCTCAGCTGCTGATTCCTCTGAGAGGAGAACTGCGAACCAGGAGCAATGCGCTGGGTGCCGGTGGGTAGAGGGGTGCGTCTGTCTGGGACCATCCTTGGCATGATGCCAGGCCTGAGTCATGCTGCTCCTTCCGGCTCGCTTCACTCACCTCCGCACTGCAGCCCAGGGAGGCCCTCCCTGACACCGCCCTGGTACTGGCTTCTGTTGCCTGTGGCCCTGGGCAGGCATGAGCAGAGGAGCTGGGGCTCCTGGTTCTACCCCTCTGCTGCCCAGAGCCACCTTCCCCCTCCACTGAGGCCTGGTTAATTATAACTCTGACCTCAGTGCCCTGTGACGCCACACCCGGGGCCAGCCCTGCGCTGCAACCAGGAGATCCAGCAACCAGGTAAGGGAGAGGCCTGAGAGCAGACACTTTCTGTGTGTGTGTGTAGGGGGAAGGCGGGAGTGGGTTGCCCCTGGGGCAGGCCTGGGCACTCAGCGGGGTGGTTGGGAAGGCAGGCCCTGGGGGAGGAGCCTCGTTCTGGGCTCCTGCAAGGTGCATGTCCTTATTGGCCGGATGAGGTGGTTTGGACAGCTGAGGGGCCTGTGAGGAAGCCAGACCAGAGCAGACGGGGCCAGAGCAGGTGTCTGTGGAGCCGGCAGCTGCTTCCTCCTCCCTGGAGAGCCTTCTGTCCCCCAGGTCCATGCCTCAGCCATGCTCCCTGCAAAGGCGCCCCTGCCCCACCTGGGTCCCTCAGCGCTGCTTCTGCTGCAGCTGCTGCTGTCCCCGACAGCTGCCTTCTTCCCCAACATCTGGAGCCTCCTGGCTGCGCCAGGCTCAGTCACTCATCAGGACCTGACGGAGGAGGCTGTGCTCAACATCACCCTGCAGCTCTTCTTGGAGCAGCCGCCCCCAGGCCGGCCTCCCCTTCGACTGCAAGACTTCCTGGTGAGCATCCCTCGGACCCACATCCCCGAGGGCCCTGGATGCCACAGTAAGGGGTACCTACCTTCCTCACGGCAGTCGTTACAGTAGTGATCCTGGGCCAAATATCAAGAGTCCTCTTCAGAAGGGTCTGTGACCAACCCTCACTTTTAAGGCCCAGTATCCTCAATCCATCCATACTCAACCCCAGGTGCCAGTCACTGCAGTAAGGTGGCTCATACCAGCTGGGGGTCCTTACCTGGAGCCCCTGTCACCCACCTGTCTCTCCAGGGCCGGACACTCCTCGCCGATGATCTTTTTGCTGCCTACTTTGGCCCTGGGACTCCTTCCCGGCGGTTCCGAGCAGCCACAGGTGAGGTGTCCCGTGCCAATGCAGCCCAGGACTTCCTGCCAACCGCCAGGAATAACCCTGACCTGCACTTTGATGCTGAGAGGCTGAGCCAGGGCCGCACTCACCTCGTGGGAGCTCTGCGGGAGACCCTGGTGGCCACCAAAGCCCTGGACTACACCCTGGCTCGCCAGCGCCTTGGAGCCGCCCTGCATGCCCTGCAGGTGAGTGGTGGAGGGTGTGGTGGGGACGGAGGGAGCAGAGGGGCCTGTGCACCTGGCCTCACCCTCCAGCTGGCACCTCCCCTGCTCTAGAAAGGATGCATGCTGCTTGCCAGCATCTTCAGGCTCTGAGCTTGTTCCCACTTCCCAACTGGGGGGTGAGGGTGAAAGAGGTAGCTGAGGGGTGGGAGGAGCAAGAGCAGCAGCATCACGGTGGGAAGGGCTGCTGGATGGCTCCCACCTGGGCCAAGCTATGTTCTGACCGATGAGGAAAGGCCAGAGGAGGAGACTCGGGGTGATGGGCAGCAGCAACTGGGAACTTCAAGAGGGGTACACTAGGGCCAGAGTCAGGAGAACAGTCCAGAACAGTGCCTCATTTTCCTTCTCTGTCCCCCGGAACAGGACTTCTACAGTCACAGCAACTGGGTGGAACTGGGGGAGCAGCAGCCACACCCACACCTCCTCTGGCCCAGGCCGCAGCTCCAGAGCCTGGCACAAGGTAAGCCATGTCTTATGGTGGTGAGGAGGAAGCCGCTCGTTAGCCCAGCCACCAGGTCACACTTTGAGAAGTGACATCGTGTCTCTGTACTTCCTGGTTCTTTAACATAATCTCAGCCTCCAGAATATCCAGTCTTGCTGCTAGCCCTTGAACTCCAGGTTTTGGTTAAGAAACCTGGGTGGGAGGTGAGAGAGAGAGCTACAGGAGTTGGCAGGGATGGGGACCAAGGGGCTGGGTGGCAGGGTCTGGTGCCTCAGCCCCCATCCTCTCTCACCAGTGGGAGAACCCACCTGCTCTGACTGTGAGGAGCTGAGCTGTCCCGGGAACTTGCTGCACATCGCACACCTCACCTCTGGCTACTTTGGAATGAATCCCCCCAAACCTCCAGGTACCAGACACAAGAAGGGACAGTCACTTCCTTCCATTATGTACAAAGCCTCAGTCCCCTGGGCCCTCATCCTGTCTGCTGCAGCATCACTTTCTAGAAGAGGATGCTGGGAGTGCTGCCGGGGCTGGAGGCCCCTGAGGAGACCATGGTCGTTGAGGAAAGGGAAGGGCTTGTTGCTCAACCATAGTCATTGCTCTGTGACCTCACTTGTGGACAACTTTGGGGATTTGCCCCAGACACCCACTGACCCTATTCAGCATCGACCCAGGACATGCCCTCCACAAAGTCTCATCATTTGCTGCTTCTCTTGGCTAAGTGGTGAGAGGCCAGCTTAGGCAGTGTCTCGTTGTCTCTGGAGGCTCCACCTCCCAGTTCCCTCTGTCCAACCCAGGGAAATGTAGCCACGGGGGCCATTTTGACCAGAGCAGCTCCCAGCACCCCCGGGGAGGCATCAACAAGGACAGCACATCACCCGGCTTCTCGCCACACCACATGCTGCACCCGCAGGCGGCCCAGCTGGCCCTGTTGGCCTCCATCCAGGCCCTCGGCCTCCTGCGGAGCCGCCTGGGAGACAAGGCTTTCTCCAGGTGAGTGGTTTGTCCCCTCTGTCCCTGGGTATTTGAGGGGAGAGCTGGATTTGAATGTGCAGCCCCTTCCCTATGTCCCCTGACCGCTCCTCAGGCTGCTGGACATCAGCCCTGCCTCTGGCCTGAGCTTCGTGCTGGACACCACGGGCAGCATGGGAGAGGAGATTACCGCTGCCAAGATCCAGGCCCGTCGCATAGCGGATCAGCGGCAAGGAAGCCTGCTGGAGCCCAGCCACTATGTCCTGGTGCCTTTCCATGACCCAGGTACCTGCCATCTGGCCAGAAGCACACCGGGGAGGAAGGTCCAGGGCAAAGGGGAGAGCCTCCTGGTGAGGAGGTGGCCTGCCCCGCTCCGTTTGCTTAACAAGGTGTGCCTGGAGAAAGCCTCTGCTGGGCACCTGTGTGCTCACAGCCACTTCTGCCAGCGTTTCCAATACCACTTTCCATGAACTTTTTGAAGATATCCCCTCTTTCTTTCCCAGCTGCAGTAGAAGTGGAACATCTGGCCTGGGTCCTCCCAGTCTTACAGTGGTCATCTCAGTGTGGTCTCCAGTCCTCCTGCTTTAGTCTCCTCGTCTGTGCAATGGGTCAGGGCCTGTCTTACCTTGCCTGTCGGCAATCAGAGAAAACACTTCCTGGGCTGATAATTCTACAGCAGTAGGGCTGCAGTTTGATGTGGCTGATACTCATTACCCGTCTGATGAAGGTGTGATTAACTGAAGATTGGGCACCGTGTCAAGCCCCAAGGCCCAGAGGTACAGAGTCGGTGCCTCAAGTTCTCCCAGTGGGCCTCTGGGCTTTCTGGCTGTTTTTCCAGCATCCACAAGTGTCCAGCAAAGGTTTGCTCAGTCCCAGGGAAGTGGCACCATTTTGTTAAGGGAGTCAGGTCCTGCTTTTTCACCAGGCAGACCCCCAGCTTTGCCCTGTGTCTATGAGGAGTTCCAAAATAGAAGGGAATGTTGTTCCTTCACTGCTTGGCCCCCAACAGCTGGGAGAAAATTCTAGCTGGGAAGGAAGGAAAGAAGCTCCAAACCTCCCTTTTTCCTTCCCCAGGGTTTGGTCCGGTCTTTACCACCAGTGATCCTGACCGTTTCTGGCAACAACTCAATGAGATCCACGCCTTGGGGGGTGGAGACGAGCCCGAGATGTGCCTGTCGGCACTGGAGGTCTGTCCTGTCACCCCCACCCAGTCCCCGCCCCTTCCCTCAGGAGTGCTCTAGCCTCCCTGGGGCCCCACCCTACCGGCCCCCAGCTTCATGCCACCAGCCCCACTCCTGAGTCTCCCTTCTAGGCTGTGGGCATGGCCAAGTCCTCGGCCACACCATTTCTCACTCTGGCTCTCTCCCTCCCTGCCAGCTGGCCCTGCTGCACACGCCTCCTCTCTCAGACATCTTTGTGTTCACTGACGCCTCCCCCAAGGATGCCTTTCTCACCAACCGGGTGGAGTCCTTGGCCCAAGAGCGGCGTTGCAGGGTGAGCACAGCTGATGGGAGAGCCAGCGTCAGCTCCCTCAGGCTTGGGGGAGACCCCAGGAAAACCAGTCTCTCTTCTAGCGCCATACCACACTCTGGCAGTCAAGTCAGCTCTGGCCTGGGGTGGAAGAAGCAGACACTGAACAGAACATTTCCTGAGATTTTTAATATTTTTTGAGAGTGGGCCGCCCTAACCTGAGTGATGCTGAATCCATGTATGACTCTGCCCAGTTCAAAGAACTGGGGATCCAGTTGCCAAAACTCCAGTGTAAAATATAGTGACAGCTCTGAACACATGGCCACTCACTAGTCAAAGGCCAGGGGCAAGTGCTGTGACCTTGGGAGAGCCCCCAGAGACAGCCAGAGGCTGGGCAGGGAGAGCTTCCACCACTCCCCAGCTCAAGAGGGAATCTGGGCAGACAAATTCTCATTTCCGAGAATGCACGGCCCTGGGACTCCTCAAGCAGGCACTGGCCTCTCTCTTCTGGGTGCAGGTGACGTTCCTGGTGACTGAAGATCCCACGAGGGTTCAGGGCCGAGTGCGCCGTGAGGCCTTATCCCCGCTGCGTTTTGAGCCCTATGAGGCAGTGGCCTTGGCCTCAGGAGGGGAGGTGATCTTCACCAAAGACCAGCACATTCAGAATGTGGCGGCCATTGTTGAGGAGAGCACAGCGGGCCTGGTGAGGAGGCGAAGGTGCCAGGAGCGGTGAGGCTGTCCCCACCCCCCACCGAGAAGGAAGGCCAGTGGAGGGTGGGAAAGGAAGCATCTCCTCTGAGATCGTAACTCTTCTACTTCCAACTTTGTCACTGGCTATAATTGTGTCACTGTCTCACTTGCCCTCATGCATGCGTGACTTGGTTTCGTCCAGTCTTCCTCCTCTGTCCCCACTTCCTTCCACACTTTATCTTCTCCCCGATTCTTTATCCTGCCCCCCCAAGGTCACTCTGCCTTTGGAACCTCCCATCGTGGTACCCGGGAGGCCGCTTGTGTTCACTGTGGACAGGCTGCTCCAGAAGGTCACGATCAGGATCCATGGCGAGGTCAGCAGCTTCCAGGTCAAGAGTCCTGAAGGTAACTCCCTGGGTGTCTCCAAAGAGAGACAGGGATGAGCCTGGTGGGATCCCAAGGGAAAAGAATTGACTCACGTGGCACTCCCTCGCACCCATACCAGGGGTCTTCCAGAGCCAGGAGGAAGGCGTGGGCCCTCTAGGCCACACCCGCCATTTTGGGCAGTTCTGGATGGTGACTGTGAATGACCCGCCACAGACGGGCACCTGGGAAATCCACATCACAGCTGAGGGGACCGCCAGGGTTAGAGTGCAAGGTGAGGAGGAAGGGGGAAGAACTGCAGGTGCCAGCAGGCTGGTGACAGTCTCTGACCACCTCTTCCCTTCCGCAGCCCAGACCTCCCTGGACTTCCTCTTCCACTTTGGGATCCCCATGAAGGACGGGCCCCATCCTGGCCTCTACCCCCTGAGCCAGCCAGTTGCAGGTGAGTCTGTTCCCTGAGCCCCACACCCAGTTCCTACATTTCAGTAGGATGCGTGTATATGCACATTACATGCACATGCATGTCTAACTTATGATTTACATAAAGGGCATGAAGTTTCAGATCATAGCTCGGCTGTTTTCACATAACACACCCATGTCACCACCACCCTGTTCCAGACACACATGCAGCGCCCCACAACTCTCTCCTGACTTCTCCCCTCCAGTACCCTCAGAGGTACCCTTCTCCCACCCCTGTGCCCAGAGGTGACCTACATTCTGGGAGCCAGTGCTTCTTTTCTGCATATCAAATCCATCACTTTTCTCCCCTTCCCTCCCTGTCTGCCCAGGTCTCCAGACTCAGCTGCTGGTAGAAGTGACAGGAATGGGCTCCAGGGACAGTACTGGGGAAGCTCGGCCACATTTCTCCCATGTGATCCTCCGAGGGGTCCCCGAGGGCACCGAGCTGGGCAGGCTGCTCTTGGAGCCTGTGGGACCCACAGAACGAGGGCTCCTGGTGGCCACGCTGCCACCCACGCTGGTTTCTAACACTGGAACCTTCTCCCTTGAACTGATCGGCCAGGATGGAGGGGGCCAGGGCCTCCACAGAGTTGCGCCCCAGCTTTGCACTGTGGTGCCAGTCCTTCTGGAGGTGAGACATGGTGGGGAGGGGCCGGTGGGATGGAAGACAGCTGGGCCAGCTGTTCTCCTTACCTGCCCTTCTCCACAGCTCAGCGGTCCCCCGGGGTTGTTGGCTCCGGGTAGCAGGGTGCCACTCAGCCTCCGCATCACCAGCTTCTCCGGCCCTCAGGATCTTGACCTTAAGGCATCTGTCCACCCCAGCTTCCCCCTCACCTCCAATCTCTCCAGGTGAGGCTAAACATCCCTGCTCCAGCTGCACCTCCATTGCTGACAGGATTATCCCAAGCCCCACCCTGAGCCCTTCCAGTTGGCCCTTGAGTCTTACCTCCCCCAGGCCTTCCCATTTTCCCATCAAGGAGCCTGGAGCTTTTACCTGATGCCAGCGTCCACTGTCCAGGGCTCACCTGGGAGTGAATGAGTCTGCGTGGGGACACCTGTGGCTGGAGATCCCAGACTCGGCATCCCCGGACTCCGTGGTGATGGTAACTGTGACTGCAGTGGGTGGAGATGTCGGCCCAGTGTCCCCAACCCACGCCTTCCTCAGGCTCCTGGTGTTGTCCCGGGCCCCACAGGTGAGGCTCCCTACTCCATGGCAGGACACGCAGCGGAAGGGGAGGGGAGGGCAGTGCAGGCTTCGTTGGGGTCCAACTCTAGCACACCCTTTCTCTCCCTTTTCCCCCAGGATCAGCTCGCGGTCTCTGCCCATCCAGTGGACCCTGTCCTCCCCATGGCCACCCCCATCTTTCACCCCTCCACTTGGGTGACTCAGAGCAGTGCTGGAGGAGGGATGGCAGTCAACCCTTGGTGGCACACAACTGGAGGAGTGCTGCTGCTGCTAGGAATTGTGTCCTGGTGACACAGCAGCCCTTAGATGGGGCCCCAGCACTGATTTCAATCTGCACCACTGGTAAAGTCCCAAAGGCCTTGCTGGAATCTTACATCTCAGCCAGGAAGGAGGCCTTCCTCCTCATGCATATGTCCCTTTTCTTTCTTAAAAAATACAAGATTGGCATCGGGGACAATGGATTTTCTCTCAATGCATTTCCCCTAACCTTCACAGGAACCAAACCAAAGACATTTTGGGGGAAGGTGGCCGTTTCTTTATATCATCTTTATTCCCTCCATTTTTATGCTCTCCCAGGCATAGGAAGGGAGGCATTTATGTGGAGAAGACCTGGACTAGCAGTAAGGTAGGAGAGTGCTCCAAGTGTGATAGAACTGTTTTTATTTTAAATTTGAGAGTAGCTTCTATTTTATTTTTGTGTTTAAAATTGAAGGACAGTTTCAATCAACATGTCTTCTCCAATAAGGGATTTCAAAGAAAGATAATTTATGCCCATGATATTGGGGGAGGGGGAGGACATGAGGCAGCGCGAAGAAGAAATGGAAATCTTCCAGAGCAGAGAGGACACTTAACACAGAGATGTCTGAATGCACTGATGCACCTCGGCGGGGTGGCTGCTGGGTTCAGGAGGGGCTGAGCAGCGAGGTGGGGTAACCCAGAGGGTGAGAGCTGCGAGGAGGAGGTTCAGACACGGGTGGCGCCCCTCCGCCCCTGCAGGCAGCTGTGGGCCGGCTGACGCTGGGACCTGACAGCGCTCTCCCACTGCCTGGCCAGCTCCTGGAGATGAGAAAGCAGTACTGTGCATCTCAGCTTGTCCCAGCCTTCTACCTTCCACCACGCCCCTCACTTTACCTGTGGCTGCCACAAGTTCTGCGTCCTCGGCCTGTCCTTCCAGTGCCCAGCAGCACAGGAACCAGCCTTGGTCAATGGACGTGGGAACAACTAGGGGCAAATTCATCATTTTCTGTGATACCACTGCTGACCTCAACAACTCCCTTCTGTCCCCATCCCCAGTGCTTTCCAAACGAAATAAACTCACCTTCTCCTGGATAAGGGTCTGCAAACAGGTGTTGACTGTTTGAATCTGGGCTAAGTGGGAGCCATCAGACTCTGAGTTTGAATGTGTGAGAAAATCCTAAAAGATGATTTCCAAGTTGGCACAGTGGTAAAAACCTGTCACTTTGTCACCACAAATCATTCCTCTCCTCTTTGGGATCTCCTTATCCCAGTACCCTTCCATTACATGGAAAAATTTAGTGTTCTCCACTTCCATCTCTGACATTGCAATATCCACTTCCCCTACCCTTTATGGATTGTCCCTGTCCATCCCTGCCCCATTGGAATAATCCAGGCCACTCCCCCATCCAATGGAGCCATTAAATCAAATCAAATGCTGCCCTGCCGACTGGAATGCAGAGCAGCCCCTGCCAGCTGGACAAAGGATTTGACCAACCTAACCCTCCCGTTATCCGACGCCTCCCATTCATGATCCCTGCCCATTAACCCTTCCATTCCCAGGGTGGTCTCACACCTCACCAAGGGCCCCCAGGTGCAGTTGCTCTTGCTGAGCTTCCCTCAGGCCATCTTCAAACCAGGCACGGCCACGTTCCAGCAGCTGCAGCCCCTGCCACAGGGCATCCTGCCGCCGCTCCAGAGCCTGCATCCTCTGCAACTGGAAAAGACAAAGCTGAGGCTGACTCACCCTTCTGCCAGACCTGCTGTCTGGTCTCCCAGGGGAAGCCAGGGAAGGGTTCAGAGCCTCAGAGTTGGCTGGAGATATGGCAGGCAGATCTGGAAGAGGGACTTACGGGGGTTCAGACTCACCCAAAGAAAGAAGCTGCGGGCTGCTGGATCCTGGCGGCTTGTTTCCAGCGGCAGCAGCAGGACCGTGTATGGAGCCTGCGCCAGGGGCAGCCTGTGAGGCCCCCGACTCCCCATGGCTCTGAGGTGGGAAGGGTGGAGCCTCTCCCACTGGTGTAGCCGGGCTAGTCCCTCCCACTTCACCCCAGCCTTGCAGCCATCTGGCCCCTTCCTGCTGTCTGAAGCAGGGGTGTCCCTTGGGCCCCCATATTCAGGAGAGACTCCCCTGGGCCCCCATATTCTGTTTATATTGGGCCTCTCTCACATAGCTTCCTCTTATGAAGTCCTCTTGGTCAGGACCAGAGGGTTCCCCTCCTCCCCCCATCATCACTGTGTTTCTGATGGTACCAGGCAGTCTCCTGTGGGCTCCTGCTCACTACTGCCTCCTGGTCTACTCCAGTTGACCTAAGAACACGATGACTTTCTTCAAAATAAACTTTATTCCTAATGCAGAGAAAATGTCCAGGAACACAGAAGGCTCTGGAAACACAAAAGGCCTGGCAGCCTCTTGGGGTCAGGAACTCTCAGAGGATGGTGGCAGCGGCAGGCAGCACTTCCTGACTCATAAAAATGTCCAAGTCCAGGCTGGGATCTTCCAAATCCAGCTTCAGAAACTTATCCACTAATGTCTGGCAGCTGCAGGGGAGAGAGAGTACCAAGACTGTTGGGAGAATGGGTCACGGAATCCCTGAGCAGAGCAAGAGGCTGTGGCACAGGACACCTGGGACCCCCAGGACACAGGGACTGCAGGGGGAAAGTGTGGGTCTTGAAGGGCAAGGTGCTGGCGGCCGAGTGCTGGGCAGAGAAGGCACACGGCCACATACTCACTTCTTTATTTGCGTCTCCCTTTGCAGCTCCTTGACAGGAGTGATCGGTCTCCCATTACGGATCAAGTCCAAGACCTAGGAACAACGAGCAAGGGGGAAGGTGCAGGGAATTGGGGAGAGGAGCAATCTTGTGGGCCCAAATGAGCAGGGGCACAGAGGGCGAGTCCTGAGCAGAGGTGCTGGGGTATTGAGCCTCACACCTCCTTGCCACGAGTAACAAGTCTCTCGGGAAGCCCAGCCTGGGCAGCAGTATGAGAGGCGTGGCTGGCACTGGCGACACCTTTGCAGACCTGATAGAAGAAGACAAGGTCGTTCCCATCCTCACAGGTCTCCATGGTCTTCAAAGAGAATGAAGAATACAGTGTATTACCAGTCACCCTGCTTCCTGTCCTACAGCCCTCCACCCATGCATGCCTGTGGGGAGTGAGAACATGGAAGGGACATGGTCCCCGTGCTCAGGGAGTCCCTGTTCCAGCAGAGCAGCCAATCCCCACCTCTGGAAACGCTTAGCCCAGGAGCCCCTGTGGGCTGCATTGGTTTCCTCACCAAGTATTGTACCAGGGGCCCTTGTGGCAGCAGCTGCAGCTGAACAAGGCTCAGGAAGTTGGTGGCTACAAAGACGTGGGGGCACTTGGGTCCAAGTGCCAGCCAGTGTCGGAGCACAGCGGCCAGAAGCGCAAGCCCGTCCACCTACAGAGTGCAGGGTGAGCACGAGGAGTCAGAGGCCCCCACATGTGGCCCTCCCTGTCTGCCGTTCTCTGCTCCTTGTCTGCCGACACAGCCCTGTTTTCCCAGGGCCCACCCTTACCCCCAGGTTTTGTCCCCTTCCATTTCCCCCTGCTCAGTTCTTCCCCTCACCGTGTTGGTGCCCTTTCCAAATTCATCAATGAGGACCAGCGACTGCTCAGTAGCATTGTTCACCGCTTTCGCCACCTGCTGGCCATGAGGTGGACAAAGGAGAGCTGTGTTAGCCCAGTTGGTCTGTGAAAACGAAGCTGCCTCTGTGTCCCCCTCACGGCACTGCAAAGTTCCTTAATGGTGAGACACAGGTCTAGTTCGCCCTCTCGTGGCCAACAGCACCTCAAAGGATGCAAGGTCTCAAGAAATGTTTATGTCTGATTCTTCCAGTCTGGCCTGGGTGTACCCTACCTCTGGTATAGAGGCACACACAAAAAAGACTGCTATTAATAGGGATCAGGTTTGTTCCTCAGGTTCCTCATTCCTCTGAGCCCACCTCCCTTTGCTCCCTTGGACCTGGTTGAGATCGATCATGAATGTGGAGAGGCCAAGGGAGATGGATTCACAGCTATGAATGCGGGTGAAGATGGCATCCACTGTCCCAATTTCAGCCTCTTCTGCTGGCACAAAGCTGCCCACCAAGGCCATGAATGTGATCAAGCCCACCTGCATGAGCGAGGAGATGGGAGGAGGGGAGAAGAGGTTAGCATTGTGGTGCAGCAGGGTAAGCTGCCACTTTGGGGGTGCCAGCTTGAGTCCTGCCTGCTCTGCTTCCCATCCAGCTTTCTCTAATACACCTGGGAAAGCAGCAGAAAAGGGCCCAAGTGTTTGAGCCCCTATACCCTCGTGGGATATGCAGTTGGAATTCCTGGTTCATGACTTCAGGTTGGCTGTTGCGAACATCTGGAGAGCAAACTAATCTTTCTAACTCTGCCTTTCAATTTAACTTTCAAATAAAAGTTAAAAGGAAGGGGCTCACACCGTGGCACAGCAGGTAAAATAACCATCTGCAACAGCATCTCTTATGGACACCAGTTCAAGTCCTAGCTGTTCCACCTCTTATCCAGCTCCCTGCCTGCTGATGGCCTAGAAAATCAGTGGAAGATGGCCCAAGTGCTAGGGCCCCTGCACCCATGTGGGAAATCTAGATGAAGCTCTGGGCTTCTGGTTTAAGCCTGACCCAGGCCTGGCTATTATACCCATTTGGAGGGTGAGCCAGCAGTTGGAAGACCTGCCTATATAATTCTGCCTTCCAAAAAAATGTTTTTCTTAAAGGAGTTATTTTATTGGAAAAGTAGTTACAGATAGAAAAGGACAGACATACAGAGAGAGAGAGAGAGAATTAGAGGGGGAGAAAGAGAAAGCTCTTCCATTCTCTGGTACAATTCTTAAATGGCTGCGATGGCCAGAGCTGAAGCTAGGAGTCAGGAGCTTCTTCTAGGTCTCCTGGGTGGGTGCAGGGGCCCAAGAACTTGGGTCATCCTCTACTGTTTTCCCAGGCCACAAATAGTGAGCTAGATTGAAAGTGGAGCCCCCGGACTTGAGCTATTTCCTACATGGGATGTCAGTCCCACAGCAACAGCCCCATAAATAAACCTTTAAAGAAAAAACATAAGAGAGGAGTCAGGGACTGGGACCTAGCAGTGTGGGCTGAGGGAAAGTGAGGCTGGACTAAGGGCATAAATAACACATCCAATCAAACCCAGTGAAACAGGAAAAGGAGAGCAGAATACACAGTTGCTGCCTTCCCCCATCCTGATCCTAGCCCCTATGTCCAGCTCAGACTCAGTAAACAGGACAGAGGAGTGGACTGAGGCACGACTTGGAGTAGTATGGAGGGGCGGGAAGGAATGCAGGCCTGGGAAGGTCTAGTACAGCATGCTCCTTGCCGGGCAGAGAATGCAGATGTGAGCTGAGCAGGCGCAGCACCTGGCTGGCTCGCTGTGGGGAAGATACCGGAAGCCCAGGCAGGCTGCAGGGCCTCTCCTCACCTGCTTGAGAAATATGCTCTTCCCTGAGGAGTTGGGACCCGTGATGACTTTGACCCTTTCTTTGTCCCCTCCACATTCTGCAGAGTTGGGCACGAAGGTGCGGGCACAGAGCTCCATCAGAGGATGCCTGCAGTGGGCAGAGAGGCATCTCACCAGGCCTGTGGGCCCAGCCAGAGCAGCCCAGGAAGGCGGTGTCCGAGTGGCCACATCTCCACCCCTCTATTCTTACCTGCCATTCTGGATCCGTATCCCATGGAGGCGGGGGGAGTAACGGGGCCTTGAATAGCCATAGTCTCGGGCAGCACTGGCAAGAGCCAGCAGGACGTCCAGGCGGGAAGCAAGGTCCAGCACCCGTGTTAAGACAGCAGCTCGTGCCAGCACCTGGCACTGCAGCTGGTACATCAGCAGGGTCTCCTGATCTGGAAGGGGAGAGATTGGGAGTCAGCTCTGGGGAAAGGAAAGGATTCTGGATAGAGGCTCGCAGGGAGCAGGGGACGTGTGGGCTGATGTCCAGGACCCCAGGGACATTCATGGCAAACATGGAATCCCAGGGGGAGACTCACCCCGGATCTCACAGTGCAGGTCCCCCAGCAATGTGTCCAGCTCCTTGGTTCGGGCACTACGATAATGCAGCTTCTCCTCCGAGAGGAACTGGGACGAAGGTTCAGAGTGAGCGCTCAGTATCCTCGTCCTCCTCTCACACCTTCCCTTTATTTATTTATTTATTTTTCTCTTCTTTTTTTTTAAGATTTTATTTATTTTTATTTTAAGTGCAGATTTTTCAGAGAGAAAGAGAGAGAGGTCTTTCATCTGCTGGTTCACTCCTCAGACAGAGGATTAATCTGTGTGCTACTGTACCCATGCCTCTTCTGTGGTTTTCTCTTTCTGTGCTCGCTGCGCCGACCCCGCTGCAGCCACCCCCGACTGCAGTGGCAGTCCACCACTGGGCAGAGCTTTACAACTCTAAGATAAATTAAGAAAGAGAACAGAGAGGAGGAACAGGAGGTGGGTTAGAAAGGTAAGAAAGGGGCCCAGTGCAGTAGCCTAGTGGCTAAAGTCCTCACCTTGCATGAGCTGGGATCACATGTGGGTGACAATTAGTATCCCAGCTGCTCCACTTCCCATCCAGCTCCCTGCTTGTGGCCTGGGAAAGCAGCAGAATGGCCCAAAGCCTTGGAACCCTGCACCCATGTGGGAGACCTGGAGGAAGCGCCTGGCTTTGGATTAGCTTCAGCTCTGGCTGTTTTGGCCACTTGGGGAGTGAACCAGCAGATGGAGGATATTTCTCTCTGTCTCTCCTTCTCTCTATAAAATCCGTCTTTATAATAAAAATTTTTAAATCTTCTAAAAAATAACGGTAGGAGACAAGGGGCCAGCGTGGCCAGCATGGTAATATAGCAAGTTAATCCTCTGCCTACTAGCACCAGCATCCCAAAAGGGAACACTTCGAGACGGTATTGCTCCACTTTCAATCCAGATCTCCGCTTATGGCCTGGGAAAGCAGAAGATAACGGTCCAAGCCATTGGGACTCTGCACCTCCACATGGGAGACCCAGAAAAAAACTCCTGGCTCCTGGCTTCAGATGGACTCAGTTCTGTTACAGCCACCTGGGGAGTGAATCAGTGGACAGAAGATCTTTCTCTCTGTCTCTCCTCTCCATAAGTCTGATCTGATTTTCCAATAAAAATAAATACATCTTATTTTTAATATATAAATATTACACACACACCAGAGCAGCAATCCCATGTGGGGCAGAGCTGACGAGTGGACGCCCTGCCTCGGCTGCTGGGTCGCCTCCCACCCCCTCAGAGCTGCAGGGTCTTACCATGAAGTCCAGACCATCAATCTCAAAGTCACTGGCCTCCACCATGAACGGCAGGCGGGGAATAGAAAGAAGAAAGCCGATCTGGGGAGAGCAAAGAGGAGATGAAGCAGAGGGCTGACTTCTGGGTAATCTTTCTCCCTGGACAAAGTCCAGAGGCCCCTCGGGGGGTTCTCCCCAGGTGCTCTTGTTCCTTGGACTCCCCCACAAGGTGTGTCCTTCATAAGGAGACACCACCCCCACCCTCACCAGAGGTATGTAGATGACACTGCAGGAGGGGATATGTGAGTCCAGGTTCTCCAGCTCCTTCCGTGCCACCTCCGTCAGGAAACTGGGAAGTCCCATCAACCTTCGCTTTTCTAGATGGTGGAAAACAGGTGGCTTTCACAAGTCAGGCCCCTGCCCTGGCTGCTGCGCCGACCCTGCTGCGGCCACCCCCGACTGCAGTGGCAGTCCACCACTGGGCAGCCTGCGTTCTGAGAACCCATGGCCCATCCTCACACCCAGCACTCACTCTCATCAATTTCAGGATCTATGTTGGGGAGGACTGTGAAGCGATTTTCAGCAAGACTGCCCTCAAAGTCCACCTGAGGAGGGAAGTCCAGTTTCTCGTTACCCAACACCATCTCTGTGCTGCCCCTCAGCTCCCCAAGGGCCCCACAGTCCACCGTGACCCTAGCTCTCTGACCCTTCCTTGATGCTCTCCACCATCCCATTCTAGTCATCCCGCTGACCCCAGCCTCTCCCATGTGCCCCATCTCCCCACCCCACATCCAGGTGCTCTCCACCGCATCACTCTCCCCTGCCTCCATGGGTGCTCTGCCCCTTTCCTTCACTCACCACTTTCCCAATGAGGCTGGCAATATAGAGCAGGTCATCTGTAAACTCTTGGGCAATTTCCCGGAAGAGCTGGATGGACTGGGGCAGGGAGCGGCAGGCATCCCTCAGGCCCAGGGCGCTGTACACAGTCTGCAACCGAAATGCACTAAGGAAGGCGGCCCACATCAAGGCTGGGCGGAAGCAAAGGGACAGGCATGGACTGAGAACAAAGACCAAGAGACATACAAACAACAAGAGAAAAATCTCAAAAGCAAATAGAAATAGGAAATGGCATCTCTAAGACTCTGTCCTAGGAGCTGTGGTAAACTGTGAAACTACAAAGACAACAAAGACATACTCCATGTCCCAGACGAGCTCAGGGCTGGTAAGGGCCGAAGCAGAAGCAGATTCAGAAACAAGGTAGGAAGAAGCTGGTGTTGTCTTAGGTGCTAACTCAAGTGCCAGCTTCTGCACTCGCCATCCAGGTCCCTGGCAGTGGCCTGAAAAGGCAGCAGAAGATGGGCCGAGTGCTTGGGCCCTGCTGCCCATGCAGGAGACCCCAGTGCAATTCCAGGCTGCTGGCGTTAGCTTGGGCCAGCCTGGGCACCTACGGCTATGTTGGGGATGAATTGTCAATGGAAGATCTTAATCTCTATGGTTCTTTTATTCTCTCAATCTCTTTCTAACTCTCTCTCTGCCTTTCAAGTAAATAAGTAAATCTTTTTCCCCTTTGTTTTATTTTTAATTCTGTGATACAATAAATAAATCTTTTTTAAAAAATGGATGGGAGAAGTTTTGAGAGAGGTTTATACAAACTCCTGACACAGGGTTTTGTACAGAGAAAGAGAAAGGCAGGGGAAAAGTATACGGGAAGGCACAACAGCACGGGAGCAGGAGGGAGCAGGACAGGAAGGGTGGGAGTTACTGAGCGCTTACCCTCCTAGGAGAGGGCAGGGACCTGAAGGGGCTGATGTAACCAGGGTTTAGACTGCGCAGACAGAGCCTTCGCCCCAGAAACTCACAGACTGTCACTCTGTGGTAGGGGAAATATACAGTACATAAATCAAAGAGCTTCTGATACAGCCAGAATGGAAACAAATACACAAGCAAGACAAGGGCAACTCAGAAAGCCAACTGGCCAAGCAGCAGAACTGACCACATCTACAACTCGGGTGAAGGGAAAAGGACACGAGTTGGGTGCTGAATAAGGTGACTTAACAGAAAGGAAGGCATTCCTGGAGAGGGTGAGAGCTGGAGCAAAGAACAGAGGTAGGAACAGAAGCTATCACGTGCTGGCTGCTTACGCCATGCCAGATCCACTGTGGCCTTTCACATCATGTGAGGTAAGTACTAGCCTGAATCCCATTTTCCAGATGTGTACTCTGAAGCCCAAAGAGGTGACAGGATCCACCAAGTTTCACAGTGAGTAACTGGAAGAAGTGAGATTTATACTCAGGTGTCTGGTTTTTCCTGCTCTGTTGCACCGAGCAGGAACACAGCAGCTAGTGCAGCCAGAGGCCTTCAGTGCCCAGCCTGCCGGGGCTGCAGCAGAGAATAAACGTTAAGCAGCAGAGGGAAGGGGCAGGTGTTGGAGCAGCAGTTGAAAGCGCCACTCAGGATGCTTGGTGTCATGTCAGAGTGCCCAGGTCTGAGTCCCAGCTCTGCTTCCAATTCCAGCTTTGTGCTGACATACACCCCAGTGTGGGGAGTCGATAATAATGGCGCAAGTACTTGGGTCCCTGACACCCATGTGGATGCTGGCCCCCAACTGCAGCCTGGCCCAGCCTCTGCCATGGGTACCTGGGAAATAAATTAGACCAACCGTCTGCCTCTCTCTCATCTCTCAAACCTATGTGTGTATATATTTTATTGTTTTAAAATATTTATTTATTTGAAAGGCAAAGAGAGGGTAGGAGAACTGGGATGGGGAATAGAGACAGAGAAAGAGATCTTTCTAGTTCAAAAGACCACAATGCTCAGAGTGGGCCAGGCTGAGGCCAGGAACCAAGAACCCCATCCAGTCCCCGATGTGGGTGACAGGGACCTAACACTTGGACCATCTTCTACTGCTTTCCCAAGCACATTACCAGGGGGCTGGATGAGAAGCAGAGCAGCTGGGACTTGAAGTGGCACTCTGATATGGGATGCCAGCACAAGTAGTAGATTAACCTGCCATGACACAAGCCCCTCAATTTTTTAAACAATTTTTTAAATATTTTATTATTATTATTTTTACTTTTATTTGAAAGGCAGACTTACAGAGAGAAGAGAGAAGGAGAAGAGATCTTCCATCTACTGGTTCACTCCCCAAATGGTCACAATGACTAGAACTTGGCCAGTCCAAAGCCAGAAGCCAGGACCCAGGAGCTTTTTCCAGGTCTCCTACATGATGCAGGGGCCCAAGCGCGTGGGTCATCCTCTGCTGCTTTCCAGGCCATTAACAGGGAAAGTGATAATAATGGGACCTGCCAGGACTCAAACTTGAACCGATATGGGATGTCAACGCCTTAGGCAGAGGATTAACAGGCTATGCCATGGACCTGACCACCAGTTAATTTTTTTTTAAGATTTTTTTTTTTTATTGGAAAGGACGCTCAGATTTACGGAGAGGAGAACCAGACAGAAAGATCTTCTATCCACTGGTTCACTCCCTAAATGGCCACAAGTGCCGCAACTAAGCTAATCCAAGACAGAAACCAGGAGTTTCCTCCAGATCTCCTACATGGATACAGGACCTTGAAGACTTCAGCCATCCTCCACGGCTTTCTCAGGACATAAGCAGGGAGCTAGATGGGAAGTGGAGCAGCCAGGATATGAACCAGGATCCTCGCCCATATGGGAACCTGGTGCTTGTGAGGTGAAAATTTAACCACTGTACCATCACACCAGGCCCCAGTTAAAGTTATTTTTTAAAAAAAACAGTGGAGGAGGCCAGGCCATGCCGTGGCCTAGCAGCTGAAGTCCTCACCTTGAATGTGCCAGGATCCCATAGGGTGCCAGTTCTAATCCCAACAGCTCCACTTCCCGTCCAGCTCCCTGCTTGTGGCCTGGGAAAGCAGTCGAGGATGGCCCAAAGCCTTGGGACCCTGCACCTGTATGGGAGACCTGGAGGAGGTTCCTGGCTCCTGGCTCCAGAACAGCACAACACTGGCTGTTGTGCTCACTTGGGGAGTGATTCATCGGATGGAAGATCTTTCTATCTCTCCTCCTCTCTGTATATCTGACTTTGTAATAAGAATAAATAAATCTTAAAAAAAAAAAAAAAACTGCAGGATCCAGCAGTGTAGCCTCGTGGCTAAAGTCCTCACCTTGAACACCCCAGGGATCCCATATGGGCACCAGGTCTAATCCCAGTGGCTCCACTTCCCATCCAGCTCCCTGCTTGTGGCCTGGGAAAGCAGTCGAGGACGGCCCAAAGCCTTGGGACCCTGCACCCACATGGGAGACCCGGAAGAGTCTCCTGGCTTCAGATCGGCACAGCTCTAGCTGTTGGGGCCGCTTGCGAAGAGAATCATTGGATGGAAGATCTTCCTCTCTTTCTCTCTTTCTATATCTGCCTTTCCAATAAAAATTAACTTAAAAAAAAAAGAAAGAAAAACCAGCAGTGGAAAGGGTCCAGCAACAATGGCTCAATAGCTAAATCTTCACCTTGCAAGCACCAGGATCCCACATGGGTATCAGTTCGTGTTCCAGCTGCTCCACTTCTCTTCCAGCTCCTTGCTAATGGCTGGGAAATCAGAGGAGAATGGCCCAAAGCCTTGGGACCCTTCACCCATGTGGGAGACCTGGAACAAGCTCCTCGTTCCTGACTTTGGATAAGTTCCACTCTTGACCATTGTAGTCATCTGGGGGAGTGAACCAGTGGATGGAAAATCTTTCTGTCTCTCCTTCTCTCCATAAATCTGACCTTTCTTTCCAATAAATAAATCTTAAAAAAAAAAAGAAGAAGTTATAGGACTTCTATGAGACACTGATTACATGACTGGTGCAAGAACAAATACAATATAAGCCTGGACCAAAACAAGTTAGGAAGTGCTAAAATTAAAAAAAAAAAAAGGTAACTATGTCCAAAAGGTGTATCAAAAGCCAACTTGAGAGACAGACATTTGATTCAGCAGTAGAAATGGTGTTTGAGATCCCCACATTCTACATCAGAATATTTGGATTTGCATCTTGACTCTGCCTGCAATTCCAGCTTCTTGCTAAAGTGCATCCTGGGAAGTAGCAGGTGCAAGCCAAGTATCTGAGTCTCAGACTGAGTCCTTGGAGTCAGATTGTGTTCCTGGCCTCTAGAACTAGCTCTGGCTGTCAAAGGCATTTGAGGAGTAAACTCAAGGATGGAAGATTCCTATCTTCCTTTCCAATAAATAAAAACAGATTAATTTTTTAAAAGCCGATCTAAGGTGGTAGACATTTTGCATAGTAGTTAAGATGCTAGATGCTGCTTGGGGAACTGGCACCATGGCATAGTAGGTTAGGCCTCCACCTGCAGCACTGGCATCTCACGGACACTGGTTAATGTCCTGGCTACTCCATTTCCCATCCAGCTCCCTAACTGCAGCCTAAGAAAGCAGAGAACAGCTTAAGTCATTGGACCCCCTACATTGTATGTAAGACCCCGAGGAGCCTCCTGTCTCAAGGCTTTGGATCAGCTCAGCTGTGGGCATCGCAGCCAACTGAGGAGTAAACCAGCAGATAGAAGACCTCTCTTTCTCCTCTCTATAAAACCTCCCTTTCAAATTAAAATAAATAAATCTTTTCTTTACTTAAAAATTTTTTTTTATTTGAAAGACAGATTTTAGAGAGGAAAAAAAGATTTTTTTTTTCCCATTTATTGGTTCGCTCCCCAAATGAATGCAATGGGCAAAACCAAGTCAATCTAAAGCCAGGAGCATTCTTGAGGTCCGCCACGTGGGTGCAGGGTCCCAAGGATTTGGGCCAACCTCCACTGCTTTCTGAAGCCACAGGCAGCTGAATTGGAAGTGGAGCCACTGGGACACGAACTGGTGCCCAAATGGGATGCTGGTTCCACAGGACAGAGGATTAGCTTGTTGCACCACTGCACTAGCCCCCCAAATAAATAAATCTTTAAAAAAAATACACATAAATACTTGTGACAACATGGGTAGTGAACCAGTGTATATGTCCATCTCAGTCTCTGTCTTGCAAGTAAACAAGTAAAAACTTCAGAAACATGATTCAAGGTATTAAAGCTATATGGGGGGGGGTGCTCATGGGGTTTGGTTTATATCATTCTCTCCAAATATTTCTGACATTTTCACTAAGACAGAAATCTAAAAAAAAAAAAAAAAAAAAAAGTGGTAGGAAAGAGTCAGACAGGGGTCTGGAACAGGGGCCGAAGGGCTGAACTTGGACTCCTAGGATCCAAGAAGGGAGTTCTTACCTTGTAGAGAACCTGCCAGTCATTGACCTTGGTGTGAGACAACTTCATGCGTTTCAGAATCAGCTGCAGTTAGACAAGGGGACCACCACTGTTTTCCCTTTTCCCCTAGAAAAACCCCGTACCTAGGGTTGGCCTCAACCTCCTTCCCTCTCTCCCATCCTCCTGCTGGGCTCACAGGCACATTCTTGATGTGACTCAGCAGTCGGTGCAGCATCTGAGCCATGTCCAGGTTTTGAGGCAGCAGAAAAAATTGGATGACATCCAGTCGGGAGTTCAATTCCCCCAGGTCCTGAGTTGGACGTGTGAACCATAGCCTAGAGGGTAAAGCTAAGATGGAGAGAACTAGCATAACACCTGGTCTCATCATTGATTTGGTCTTAATTTGCCACAATATGTGTTTGTTGGTCCCTGGGGTTGTGGTAATATGTGCCCGTCACTTGCTCTAGGAAAGTGCCGGCAAGTACAGTGTCTTATCCATGCAGGCAGATTTATAGGTATCTATTGAAGATCACTGGATGTGACCACAACCGTGTCTGTATACAATGGTTTTGATAAGACCATGCGTCATTCCATATGGACATGCAACAGACTGTCAATATTTCAGAGGGAGGTATTAGGGTGTCAACACTGCTACTCGCTCTGTGCTAAATAGGCAAGGGTGAATAACTAGCAGTTTGCCTATCTGTAGTTAGCAGAGAAGATGTTCTTGGGAAATAACACAAACATTTTTGTTTTCACCTTCTTCCTTTGAAAACATATAGCTTTGTCATGTGGAATAATTCATAATAACATTCAACATAATATTCATAATAATGGTCATGCTTAGACCCTCAGAGCATGCCCCACATCAAGGACCTGGGATGGGTGGGAGACTGGGTGGGGCTTTATCCCTTTATCCCCTCCCCCTTTGTATCAGACACAGGAAAAAAACAATGTGGAAATAATAGTTTTACCCACTTTCCTGTAGCCCTTGAACCTTTGTGCCATAATTAACTATGTAAAGATTGTCAAAAATAAAGAAAAAAATGGAAAAAAATGACGGTAATGCTTGCAGAGAAAGAAGTATTAGGAAGGGACATCTAAAGAACAACAAAAACAATGTCTTATTCTACAACTGCCTAAGGGAATTTACAGAGGTTTATATTATTATCATTTTGTGTGTTAAGCAAATTAGAAAATAGGCACTGAAGTCTCATCTGTAATTGTCCAATTCTTGGAGTCCCTTCCTCGCTATTAAGAAAGTGAGACTCTAGAAAGACTTGAGTCTGCAGATATATTAAAATGAGCCACCAAGCATGCCATTTTATGAGTCAATGTGTGGAGACTCTGGAGCCTGAGGCTGTATATCTCACATTGTAGTCTCTGGCCAGTTACCCTGGGCTACAACACCTCAGGTTAGAATGTAGTAGAGGACCCAGCTGGATACAGGGTGGGTTGTGGAAGTCTCTGTTCCGCTATCTACCACAGAAACCTCCAAACACAGCAGCAGGTTCACATCTGTAACCACCCACATCCACTTGGGAGAGCTGTAAGCCTTTCTATGCAGACGTGCTTGTAAAACACCAGAGCATCTCTGACTCATGCTCTGCCACTGCCAGAAAAGACCTCAGTCAATTCAAACTCCCTAATTTTACAGCCGAAGAAATGAGGCCCTTAAAAGATAAGCAACTTGTCCAAAGTTATACTGCAACTGAGAAGTACAGCTGAGTCTCAGACTCAAACATGAGTAATTAAATTGCTCCATCAATTACCCAGAGATGACCTGATGATCCAAAATTAACCCTCAGAAGATACCTATAGATTGCAGGGCAGGTGAGGTGGGGAAAGGATTGTCCATCTGTAGAATCACAAAACTTTCCATCCTGAGATTTCAGTGGTGATGTCACTGGCTCACTTGCATCTGTGTACTGTGCTCATTCACCTGAGTGCTTCAATGTACAGGGCCATGTGCCTGGCACAAGGATAACAGCAATGGTCGTGGGCAGAGTTCAAACTCTGAAGACAGATTCGCTGACTGTGGATTCTTACATGGTGTGGCAGTGCAACTAGAGAAACATAAACAGGCACCATGGCAGCCGAAGGGAGGTGCCTGTCAATCTCCTTCACCAGAAAGATGACACTTGGTTTACACTCTGAATAAGACATGTGAGGTTCTGACAGGTAGAGAATGGAAAAGACTTCTCAGAGGGAACAGTATAAGCACAGACACCATGTTTTCTTAATGGCCACGCAGCCCTAAATGACTTAGATACAGAATGGAAAGTGAGACTGAAAAGGATAACCAGGGTGAATGGGGAACTCTTCAACATCACACTGCTAAAAATGCTAATCTTTCTTTAAAATTTATTTTTATTGTAAAGGCAGATCAGATTTATGGAGAGGAGAGATACAAAGAAACATCCTCCATCCACTGGTTACTCCCCAGATGGCTGCAACAGCCACAGCTGAGTCAATCAGAAGCCAGGAGCCAAAACTTCTTCTCCCATGCGGGTACAGGATTCTAAGGACTTGGGTCACCCTCTACTGCTTTCTCAGGCCACAAGAAGGGAGCTAGACGGGAAGTGGAGCAGCCAGGACATGAACAGGCACCCATCTGGGATCCCGAAGCTTGCAAGGTGAGGATTTACCCAACTGAACCATCATGTCAAGCCCTAAAAACACTCTTTATCCTGTAGATGGGGGCAAACCCCCTATCATTTTGTGTCTATCTAAGGTTTGCAAAAAGTGGAGTGACATGCTCTGATCTCCGTTTAGGAGTTACAGGCAAAAAAAAAAAAGTTACAGGTTATTTTCGAATGAAGCAAAGATGGAGAGAAGAAGAGATCAGAGGCAGAGAGGCCAATTTAGAAGTAAATGCGATATTCCAGGTTAGAAATGATGAAAGCTGCAGGGCCAGTGTTGTAGTGCAGTAAGCCTCCTGTGACATAGGCACTCCACATAAGCAGCAATTCAAGCCCCAGCTGCTCTACTTCTGATCCAGCTCCCTATTAATATGCCTGGAAAAATAGTAGAAGATGGCCCAAGTGCCTGGGTTTTTTGCACCCGTGGGAGACCTGGTTTCAACCTGGGCCAGCCCAAGCCATTGTGGTCATTTAAGGAGTGAAATCAGCAGGTGAAAGTTTTCTCTCTCTCTCTGTATGTGTGTGTGTGTGTGTTCCTTTCTAATTCTGCCTCTCAAATAAATAAACAAATCCTTTAAAAAAATAAGAGGGTCCGGCACAACGGCTCAATGTTTAAATCCTTACTTTGCAAGAACCTTGGGACCTTGTACCTGCATGGGAGACCCATAGGAGGCTCCTGGTTCCTGTTTTTGGATCAGCTCAGCTCCAGCCATTGAGGCCATACAGGGAGTGAACCAGCAGACAGAAGATCTTTCTGTCGCTCCTTCTCTCTATAAATCTGATCTTAACAATAAATAAATCTAAAAATAAATTAAAAGGATAGAGTTAGAACAGTGAAAAGAGAGAGATGGGCATGAAGGAGAAGCATCAGTGCAGGGTTCACAGCTCGGGAAGCTGTTCTACAAGCAGCACCATTAACAGAAAAGGGGCTGCAGGACGAGAAGCACACTGAGGAGCAACAGTTTGGCAGTTCTCAGTCTGAGCCGCCTGGGGATACTGCAGGCATCAGTTACGTACAATCAGCATTCCACATAGTGGAGTTTGGCGCCTGAGAGACATTTGAGAGTCATCAGAAATATTAAAGAAATTGTCAGTAATATCATAATCACGTGTTAGCATTAGTAGTTTATGATTGTGTTTCTGCTTCTTGCATGTGTACAAGCCTGTATATCCTGGATGGGCAGTGGTGTATCTGTGCTGACAATATAAAATGAGAATAATGGCCTCCATATGGGGTAGCTAAAAGGATGAAATCCATTTAGCCAGTGCTTGGTAAAGGGAAGTTGTTTTACTGCCACCAGGTGGAGTGGTGTGTGAGTCAGCACACTGCTGTTAATGGGCCGTGGGCTGAGGTGTGTACGCACACTTGTGCATTAGCATGGAGCCCTGTGTGACACCCACTCACCTGAGCAGCTTCTCTCCCCACTTACAGCGGCATCTATTGAGGATTCCTGTGGCGGGCAAGGACAGGGAACGGAATGCATGTGTCTAAGCTGAGACAGCCAGGTCAGCGGTGTGACCTGACCAGGGCATGGGGGCGGGGAGGGCAGATGAAGGACACAGAGGCCGTCAGAGCTGTCTCCTGCCCACAGATCAGAGCCAGGATTATTGTACATGCAGGTGGGGGAAGGGATGAACACTTCAGAAACAGTCAGCCAGAAAAATGGGCAAAGCAGACCTAGGAAAGACTCACAAAGAGCCCAACACTTGTATATAAAAGTTAGGCACCACCCACTGAGATATGTATAGGGAGCATGTGGTCACTTGGTGAATGCCCCTAATACACCCTGAAGTCAGACTACACAAATCACAGAAAGTTACACAGTTAAACAATTCTCTGACACATATGGCCTCCCAAAGTCCCTCATAAGGTGCCCAAGTAGCAGAAACGTTCATATAAGCAGAATTGGAACATTAACAGCTGATACACAGTAACATAATACAGCTGTAAGGCATGGGGAGATGAACAAGACCCAGCTGGGTCAGAGGGGAAAGGGCATCGGGCAGTGCACGTGAAGCAAGAACACAGGGGCTGGGACCAATGCTTTGGGACCAATGCTTTTCTGGCAGGCTGGTGCTGTGTGAGGCAAGGGTCGGGGCACACCTACCGAAGAGGCTGAGCCCCTCCTTCAGGCCACTAGCCACTTTGTACACCGAGGGATGAGACTCACTTTTGAAAATCTGCAGAACGCTGTCAGGGAGAGAGGAATCTGGGGCAACTTGAGTGTTAGGAAGGAATGGGGACTGGGAACTAAGAAAACGGGATGGGGATTAGAGATACCCACTTAAGAACAAGCCCTGTGGTAAGACAGAGTGAGTCCTTCACTATTCTATGCCTCAGTTTTCCCTTTGGAACAGGTGGGAGAACCATTTCTCTGCCAAGGCCCACTTGGATGTTTATAACATCATCAACAGGCCATACAAAATTACCAACTTAAAAATTTGCCTGCTCTAGACTTACTGAATTTCAAGTCTTGCCTGCAATTGCCTGCCTGGGGCCAGACCAAATGATTTTGCATATCTTTATGGCCTTGGGGGCTGGACATTCCCCATCCCTGCCCAAAAAAGGTGACCTCTGTGCTTTTCTTCCTCTCATCAAGTCATCTTGTCCTTCCCTTTCCCTCAGGGAGGAAAATAGCTTTAATAGCCCAGGATTAGGAAAACGTGAACCTGATTAGGATTACTAGGGCATTAAATTTAATCCTTTTCCCTCCCCAGAGATGGCAGTCTGACTCCACCTTCTCACCTGTAAGTGTCTTGATCTATGCTGACCAGATGGGCCCTGGGGAGAGAAAGCAAGCAGACAGGAGGGTGGCTGGGGTACATGAGATCTGAGTTCATTCCAAAGCCCGCCCTGTGCCTCTCCTCCCTGAACCTGTTTCAGTGCTATTTCCACAGCCTCGCGTTCACTGAGGTTTTCCTGTGTGTCCCAAAGTACCTCACCCTCTGGGTCACCGCTACACGCCATCTGCTCCATCTTACTCTCCAGGCCTCCCACCTTACTTTGGCTGAAGTTAAGGTGAATCACCTACAACACAAATTTCTTAAAGGCCAAGATAGGGACACTGACGTTATGGTCTTCCAGTTCAACTCCGATCCTTCGCCGGCTCAGGAACTTGAGGAGCCCTCCAAGTGCCCGAACCTGGGAAGAGGATGGGTTTGGAGCTGGGATAAATTCCAATGTCTTAGAGACCAGATAGCACTACAGAAAACTACTATTTTCCAGGACTGGGCCTGTACCATCCAGAACTTGACCCCATGAATGAGATACTATGCCTTTCTTCAACACATTGCATCCCAGCCCATATCCCTAGGACCTAGCTCACCACGAGGAGGCAGTCGAAGGGGATAATGGAGGAGAGGAAGAGGATTTTCTCAGTGGCAGTCATGGAGTCAGGGATGAAGGAGTAGCTTCCCGAAAGGAGGCGCTGTTTGCTTATCTCCACACCTATTTGGGCGAGTCAAAGAAAAGGAAAGGTCTATTAGTCAATATCTTTTTACCTCATTTTAACAAGTAAGAGACTGGGCCCAGCACGATAGTCTGGTGGCAAAATTCTTGCCTTGCATGTGCCAGGATCCCATATGAGCACCAGTTCATGTCCTGGCTGCCCCACTTCCCATCCAGCTCCCTGCCTGTGGCCTGGGAAAGCAGTAGAAGCCACTGTGGAAAGCAGCAGAGGCCAAAGGTTGAAACTAAACTGAGCAGAAGCCAGGAGCCAGGAACTTCTATCAGGACTCCCAGGTGGGTGCAGGGTTCTAAGGCTTTGGGCCATCCTCAACTTGGACTTCCCAGGCCAAGCAGGGAGCTGGATGGGTAATAGAGCAGCCAGGATACAAACAGGCACCCATATGGGATTCTGGCACATACAAAGCAAGGATTTTAGCTACTAGGCTATCACACCAAATCCTAACACTGATATTCTAACATCTAATTAGGATACAGCATTATTTCCTGTCTTTTTTTTTTTTTTTTTTAGATTTATCTGTTTGTATTGGAAAGGCAGACATACAGAGAAGGAGATACAGAGAAAAAGATCCTCTGTCCACTGATTCACTCTCCAAGTGGCTGCAAGGGGCGGAGCTAAACTGATCCAAAGGCAGGAGTTAGGAACCTCCTCCAAATCTCCCTCACAGGAGGGCTTTGGGCCATGATCCACTGCTTTCCCAGGTCAAACATGGAGCAAGATGAGAAATGGAATAGTCAAGACACAAACTGGGGCCCACATGGGATCCCCATGCTTCCAAGGTAAAGATTTAGCTATTCAGCCATCACACCAGGCCCGTCTCCCTTTTTTCAAAGCAATAGATGGATTTGCATTCAAAGGAAAAATTCCAACAGTCAATACTGTTCCAGGGGTGGGTGTCTGGGCAGCAGTTAAGACACCGCTTACAAAGCCACATTCCCTTTCTGCATGCCCAGGTTTGCTTCTCAGCTCCACTTCCAATTTCAGCTTCTTAACACACCTTGGGAGAAGATAGCAGAGAAGGACTCAAATACTTGAGTCTCTTACTCATATGAGATCCTAATATCCAGGTTATCGTTTCTGGGTGTGGCCCAACCAGGGTTGTTGCAGACATCTGGAGAGTAAATCAGTGCACGGAGGATCGCTCTCCCTCTAACTCTGCCTTTCACATAAAAACGAAAATTGAAAAAGATAAGATCATCCTTAAAAAAAAAAAAAAAAAACTTCCAAAACTTCCACTCCCTCTCCTCAGGGGAACTCTTCAGTCCTAGACATGCCTAAGCAGAGGCTTCACATGAAGTGGCAGATTATCAAAGGGTCGGGAGCAGCAGAGATCTTGGGGAGACTAATGACGGGACACAGAAAAACAGTGTCATTGATGAAATGCACTGAGGGGAGATCTCATAAGGGGGTGGAGTCAGGAGAAGGGGCCGGACGGTGAGACAGAACATGGGTTAAAAAAAAAAAGAAGCAGATACCAAAATCCACACTTGGCAAATATATGATTTCAGGTCGCGTGGGCTCTCTGTGCTCCTGGGAGGCTGTGGGAAAGGAAAAGCAGCACCATCACTGTGCACGCTTCTGCCTCCGCCCCGGCCGCCCTCTCCCCCCGCCGCCCTCTCCCCTGCCGCCCTCTCCCCTGGCCCTCTCCCCCAGTTCCAGCCCCTAGGAGTGTTCCACACCTCAGTCTCTCCTTGTCTACCCTCTCCCTCACCGGGTACTTACCAAGCTTCCCCAGAAACTGAGTCATCGCTTCATCCTGTTTGGCACTTGTAACAACAGACCTTGGATTGATTTCATTCAGAACTTGGAAGAAGAGAGAAGAAAGTTCAAGGATCTTTATCTTTTAACCAAGAAAGAATCTATAGCTTCCCCCTTGTACTCATCTGTCACTCTGAGAAACGCATTGCCTCCTCTTAAGAGTAAGGAGTGTTCCACGCATGAGAAGGTGCAGTAGGAGCCAGTTTCAGAAAAGCAGTAACACTGGCATGGGACCGGGGGAAGGGATCCTGGGGCTGTCAATAGGCATGACCTCCTAGTAGATATCACTGATGTGCCCAAGACTATATTCCTGCAGCACCTGATACACTGTAACATCTAATAAACCTGCATGGAATAACAAGTTAATCCTTAAAAAAACACAGCCTCTGGGAGTCAACTATCACATACATTCAGTCAGAGGGGTGGCACTGTGGCATAGGTAAGCCTGCAGGGCCAGTGTCCTAAAAATAAATCCTTACTAAAAATAAATTCATGGGCCTGTGCTGTGACATTGCAGGTTAGGCCAGTTGGAGTCCCAGTTGCTCTACTTCCCATCCAGCTCCCTGCTAGTGTGCCTGAAAGCTACAGAGGATGGCTCAAGACCTTGGACCACTGCATCCACGTGGGAGACCAAGAAGCAGCTCTGGCCTCCTGTTTTGATGTGCCCAGCCCAAATGAATGCAGTTGTTTGGGGTATGAATCAATAAATGGAAAACCTCCTTCTCTTCTGTGACTCTTAAGGATTTTTTTTTTTTATTGGAAAATCAGATATACAAAGAGGAGGAGAGAGGAAGATCTTCTGTCCACTGGTTCACTCCCCAAACAGCCACAACAGCCAGAGCTACACCGATCCAAAGCCAGGAGTCAGGAGTTTCTTCTGGGTCTCCCACGTGGGTTCAGGGACCCAAGGCTTTGGACCATCCTCGACTGCCTTCCCTGGCCACAAGCAGGGAGCTGGATGGGAAGCAGGGCCCATATGGGATCCCAGTGCATGCAAGGCAAGGACTTTAACCACTAGGCTACCACACAGGGCCCTCTGTAACACATTCAAATAAATAATAGATCAGTCTAGTACAGGCACATGAGGAAAACCTACTCCAAAAATCAAAAACAAACAAAAAAATCAACCAACAAACAAAAAAAATGAGTAAAACACACTCCAAAGGAATTCTGGAGAAATAGGAAAATGATTCTGCTCCACCTCTCTGGAGAAGCGTGAGGCTTTCATGGTCGGGCGCATCCGGCATGAAGTAGATAGTGGAGTCGCTGGTGTCGTAGTAAGCAATGCCCAGGTAGCCCGCATTCCACAGCACACACAGATGGATCTGTGCCATGAGAAGGAGATCACTCTGAACCACTCAGAGGTGAAGGGTATTACCATGCCTTACTTAACCTTATTACTAAATCTCTGGGTCAACAAATACTGGGGAGGCCCAAGGAGGATGGTGCCACACCCAGCTGCTTCCAATGCCCTTTCAACACCGACTTTCCCATCAACACCCTGCGTCCTGCTTCCCACAGAGACCTCAGCCAGTTCCTCCTCTTCATCTTCCTCCTCCTCATCCACCTCCTGGGGGCCGGGGCCTGGGCCTGGCACGAGGACTGCAGGGCAGGAGAAGCTAGCCAAAGACGCCCTCAGACCTGGTGGTTGAGGCGTCCTGCCTGGGGTCGTTGCTGTGGAGGCCATGGGCTTGCAGGCTGTGGGGATGAAGAGAGTAAAGGCAGTCACAGGCCTATTTCTCCCACCATAGCTGGAGTAGAGTGGGGCCCAGAAACGCAGGCCCGCTAGAACCTTCTGAGAGAGTGCAGGGCTGCAGGGCCGTGGAGAGGCACCGTGATAGACATGGGCATTTTTGAGGAAGCACCTGTTCAGACATTTCTCCTAAAATGTTGAGATCTCTGCCCTGCGCTGGTTCACTCCCAAATGCCCACACCAGACAGCATGAGGAAAGCAAACTTAGGAACTAAGACTTCTTCCAGGTGTCCAAAGGAGGTGGCACTGACACCACTCCATACTTGAGCCATCAAATGCTGCCTTTCTAGGCACATCAGCAAGAAACTGGACTGAGGGGCCAGTGCACTGGATGAACAAGCTGATCTTCTGCTTCCAAGTGCCAGCATCCCATATTGATGTCAATTCGTGTCCTGGCTGCTTCACTTTCAATTCAGCTCCCTGCTCATGGCCTGGGAAAACAGCCGAGGGTGGCTCAACGCCTTGAGACCCTGTACCCACATAAGACCCAGAAGCTTCCTGATCAGCTTAGCTGCATTGTTGCAGCCATTTGGGAAATGAGCTAGTGGATAGAGGATATCTTTTTCTGTCTCTCCTCTCTCTGTAATTATCTGCCTTTCCAATAAAAAAACAAAAATACCATAGTTCATACCTACAATGTCATAATACCCCTAAATAGCAGAATCATGGACAAAAAAGAGAGGGGAGGACGACTGGGGAGGAGGGAAGCGCCTGTGGAAATGTATGAGAAAATAAAAATATTTCTTCAAAACAAAAAAAGAAACTGGACAGAAAGCGGAGTAGAAGGGCCCCGAACCCCAACTCCACTGTGGGAGGGCGTTCCAAGCTCCAGGGCCCCGCTTCAGCAGCTTCTGTACCGGCGGAAACTCGGGGCGCCCCGCCCTCGTTTCTGTCAGGGGAAGTGGTACTTCGGGACCAGGAGGCCTGAGGGTCCTGTGGGCCAAGCTCTGCACGCCTCAACTATGTCTGCCCACCACGCCCGAGGATCGCAGCCCCAGACTCTCGCCCGCTCCGCCCCCGCCAGGGGTGCCCAGCCGCGGCGCCTTCCCGCCTTTTCCGTCACGCGCAGACAGCCCACTGACTAACCGCCACGAGCCCGCGGGAGGGGCGCCCGGCTGCGCGCGCACACGCCCCGCCTGCTCGGCCGCTATTGGTCGGTCAGAGAACTCGGATCCCGCCTAGAAACCCAACAAAGCGAAAGGGAGGAGGAGCGCGGTGGCCAAGTCTGGGCCCTGATTGGCTTATTTGCATTCGGGGCGGTGCCCGAATATTCAAACTTCCCGCCCTCAGCCGTTGCTTAGCAGCCGGGCTCCAGCCCGCAGTGTTTCGGTGTTTGATTAGCGTGGGGCGGAGCCCTAGCCAAACTCGGAAGTGCGCGGGACTGCCGGCTCCCGGAAGGGGTCTGGGGGCCGAGGGGACTGCCAAGCGCGAGGCTGAGACCTTAAAGGGGCAGAGGCACTTTTTTTTCTCTTGTGAGGAGTGGAGACAAACAGTATGAATTCTCAGGCCAACGCCGTGGCTCACGGACTAATCCTACCCCATCAAGCGCCGGCAAACCTTATGGGCGCCGATTAGTGTCTGGCTGCTCCTTTTCCTGTCCAGCTCCCTGCTTATGGCCTGGGAAAGCGGCGAAGAATGGCCCAAAGCTTTGGGACTCTGCACCTCCTGGCTGTGGATTAGCTCCGTTCCAATCATTGTGGCCATTGGGAAGTGAAGTAACAGATGGAAAATCTTTGCCTTTCTGTCTCTCCTCTGTAAATCTGCCTTGCAAATAAAAATCCTTTTAAAAAAAAGTATTAATTCAACTTGTGCCAACAGTAACCTTAAGTTAATATTTGTAGTCTCTGAAATGGTATTTATAAAGTGCTTAAAGCCAGTAAGAGTTTGATGAGTGTTTTAAACAAGCTATATTAAGGAGCAGGATTCCTATCTCCACTCTACTTTGCCAGTTTCCTGTGTGCAGGATATGACCACCCCAAGGAAGACACTACAAGGGCCCAATTTGTTATTTCAGAGCCCCTAGAAGTAGTGACAATATTCAAAATACACTAAATTCAGAAAATAATTTGCACACACTCTCCACAAACATGAACAATTCCTGAAGATAGAAGACATCGTTCATTCATTTAGTTATTTAGTGCCTCTTCTGGCCCAGGTGGTAGACTAAAAGTGTACTTAACCCGACATAAGGAGTCCCTGCTCCAAGAGGCTTGCTTTTTAGTGTTTAGAGGCAAGGGGAAGTGGAAGGAGGATGTGAAGAAAAATGAAATAAACAAACTATACTTTTTACAAAAAAAGGTTCCTTAAATACATCTTCCTCCTGGGCTTTGTGCTTGGTGCCCAGAGATGGGCATATGCTGCCCAGGAAATTAGGAAGACGATGAGGATGAGAAGACCTGGCTGTGCTGACCTTCTGCAGTTTGATAAGTAGAGGAGTAAGATCTGAGTTAATCGTTACCATTGGCAAATTGTTGAGCAATGGAACTATGGAAACCTGGGGGAGGCTGGTGACAGCTCTGGGGAGTGTCACAGAGAGACACACCCTCCAATCTGGAGTGTGAAGAGATTAGGGACTGGTTTACCAAGTCGTGGAAGGAGAGGGAGTAGAAAGAGATCCTGGGGAGAAGGCAGAGGCCGGGAGATGGGACAGGGAGAGAAACTGATTAGATGCAGGCCACATGGAGAGGTGTAGCCCCTGGCCTCAAGTCCCTGAGATGCTGCCCGCTGGGGCCAGGAAAGGGCACCGCTGCGTGTCACCTGGGAAATGGAAGCACACTCCCTGCTGGGTAACCATGTCCGCCGGCCAAAGTCAATATTGATGATTGAGGCAGCTGTAACTATAGAGAGTAGAAAGGCTGCCAGACCTGCTTGAGCTGAAAGATGGACCCCATTTACCCCAAGTTGGTCTCGGAGGAGAAATCTTTGTGGGGTAGATCTGGTGGCCGCTGCCCACATCCAGCAGGAGAAGACCCTAGGTCTCCCCTCTCTCAGCAGGAGGAAGAGGGGCCTCTGTGCAGATTTTGAGGGGGCCATGGAGGAAATTCACACACATACCTTCATGGACTGACTCATCCTACATCCTTTCAGCATGTTGGGACTCCAGGGAGCAAACACCAAGCATGCTTCCAGCCTCTCAGAGGCTAGATGAGCTTTCCGCTAGGGAGGAGAAAACCCACAGAAGAGGAAGCCTGAGGGGGGACCACTAACTGCAGGCTTTTAGCACAGCCACACAGCGCCCCACTCCCACTCTCCCCCAGTCTCCCTCGCTCCATGTTCCATCCCTTTTTAGCTTCAGCGTCCTTGCATTCTCCCAGGTGGTATTTTGTCTGGCAGCATGTGGTGAGGAGACAGAGAAGGGACAGTTAGAACAGAAATTCAGGATGAGGCTGAATTAAACATTGTTTGGGGGATGCATTCTGGAAGCTTCTTTTTCAGCATCGTTTGCTAGAGCCTCCAAACTTAAGGATACTGGAGAGGGTGGGTGATACTCTTCCTCTATAATTCTCAGGATTCCAGTCATCTTATTCTGTCTGATCTTTATCCCATGATAAGACCAGATACCACTGCACCCCAGGGAGAGTACAGCTCTGTTCTAGATAACTCCATCACTTCACCTCATCTCCAAGTCAGTGAGAGTGAGCTGCACAGAAGGACGCCCTGGATGGGGAACACCCAAACCAGTGAGGCCTTCCCTGTCCCCTAGCACAAGGCCTCCTGTCCATCCTCTGCACACTGCTCTTCACTTTTCCTTACTCCCAGTCCCAGCTGCTGTTCTATTGCCAAGTTCTCTCAGATCACAGTCCTACAGCCCAGACTCTGTACTGGAGCCTGGAAGGAATACAGAATTAATGGCCACCTTTATGTTCACAGAGTCTGACCCTGGTTCTTCAAGGGCATTCCCTAGCTGTGGGTGTCAGGTTTCTCCCAAAAGAGTAAACGGAGTTGTACTTTGGTTAATGAAGCAGGAAACTGAGGGAAAAAAAAAAAAAAAAAAACCACCATGTGTGTTCAGCAGAGGACTAAGAAAATGAGTTCTCAAGCCCACACCTCCTGTATCTCTTCCCATTTCTGATCCTTCTGAGGGCCTCCCCTCAGGACGGGCTCCCTAGGTCTTTCGGTCCCGCCCCTCTCGTGTCCCTCCCCAGGTCCAGGGCGGGGCTGGCCGGTGAGTCAGCCGCTCCCTGATCCAGCCCGAGAGGACAGAGCTGGGGAAGCTGGGTGTGGAGTGTACCGGGCAGGTGGGGAGGCCGTGTCTGAAGGGAGAAGATTTGATCGAGTTCGTGCTGTGCTGAAGGGACAGCTCGTGGTCCGGAGAAGAGAATCCCCAACCAACCGTGAGACCGCCTTCCCTGACCCCGGCCCCTCCCAGTTCCCCCAGCGACTGCAGCTTCCTGCTACCCGTCGCAACCATGGCTGAAGAACAACCGCAGGTCGAACTGTTCGTGAAGGTAAGAACCTTGCCTCCCTTGGCCCCCAGCCGAACTCCTGAAAGCCAACTTTCGGCTTAACCCAAATCCAACCCGGACTCTCCCCTTCCCTCCCTCGCCTCTACCCCCAATCCCACGTGCAATCTTTTGGGGGGTTGGGAGAGGGAGGAGATGCGGAAGGGGAAGACCATTAACTTGTGAACAACGAATGGGAGTGGTAGGCTCAACTGTGAAAAGTTTGTGAAAGTGTAAGTTCCTAACAGCCTAGAGGAAGCAAGGAAGGGCAAAGGCAGAGTTGCCAGGAGTGAGACAAGTGGGTGGGGAGGGCAAGAGCGGGCTGATGGAGGGCAGAGAGAGGAAGAGGCAGTGAAAGCCCAGGGGAATGGCAGAGGCGATTGTTGGTGAGCGGTCCACAAGCAGGGTGGCCTGGGAGTGGGCATACACGGGGAGAAATTGGTGTGGTACAAGGAGAGAAGAGAATGGGAACATAGTTCAAGACGTGAGACTAGAAAGTGAGGGGCAAAACAGAACAGCTGCAGGAGCAGAGCAGAAGAGGGGGAAGGGAGGCAGTGGCCAGTGCTGAGCTGAGCAGTAGCTGCCCGAGGTTAGACAGAGAGACCCAGGGGAGGAGAAGACCTAAGTGAAGGCATTCAGAATGTGGGCGTTGTCCAAGATTAGCCCCAGCTCTGTCTTCCTGTGGGTACAGATGAAGAGAGGTGGTTCCAAGGCAACTGGGTATGAAAACCCGGCCGTAGCCCTGCTTGCTATCAGCCCTGCTCCCCCCACACCTCCGGTTCTGGGTTTTTTCTGGTTTTTGGTCAGTTGGTCCCTACAGCAGTCTCTGCTGTCTGCGTCTCCCCATTGGCACACCCTCCACTTTCCAGCCTCCTTTCCACTTTCTCCCTTGTGCTTGTGTTTGGCTCATTTTTGTATGTTTCCACCTGCTTCTCCCTCTGCTTTATGCTTGAGTCTCTGTGGCAGCCATGCCCCCTGCCTGGGCCTGGTGAAGGCAGTGGGAGCCTGGGTCCACCCCCTTAGGTGTGGTTCCCACCTCACTCTCCCACTGGCCTCCGGGGCTGTTTTTGCTTCTGTGGGTAAGGCTGTATGCAAAGATTCAGACGCGGAGCCCTGTGTGAAGAGGATTATCTTATCCAGGGCCTGAGAACTTGGCACCAGGGGACCCTGGCACTGGGGCTGATGGCTGGGGACCTGAGGGGTGGCCTTAGCTTCTCAGGCCTCAGCTGCACAGGCCCTGCCCCCACTTCCTTGTCCGGAAGGAAGCTGCTGAGGCCGGAGACACAGAGATGAATCACCCTCAGCCTAGGGGGAGGTGTCCCTTGGGGGATGAGATCACCACTTGCCATTTACAAGACATCCCCTCTGTGCCCAGCCTGCCGCTCATCTCAGGACCCCTTAGTCCCCACCCAACCACCAGAAACGGCGAGGATAGAGAGGAGTGAGCCAGAATGGCTTCTGATCTCACCCCACCTCTCCTATACTCAGACCCTACTTCATTCTAGAATCCAGGAACCCAGGGCTTGGCCCCACACCCTTGCCTCTCTAGGGTCCAGATCCTCTAGGTTCCCTGAGCCTCGCCCCACTGCCTACCTTGCACCTGTCCTCATTCTCCAGGGAACCAGAAGCCTGCCTCTGCCTTTGCTCTTGTGCTAGGTTTGACCCAGGCTCAAAGGAGGAGAACTAGTTCTAAGGGTCGCTCTTGTTGTAGAGACTGTGTGTCACGAGTCCACAACAAATAGCTATCGTGCAGGATGGGAGATGTGGAAAGTGGCCTGGGGTGAGGTGGGGTGCACCAGGCCTTACATTGGAGGGGGGTTTGCTTTTCAGGCTGGCAGTGATGGGGCCAAGATTGGAAACTGCCCCTTCTCCCAGAGACTGTTCATGGTACTATGGCTCAAGGGAGTTACTTTCAACGTGACCACCGTTGACACCAAGAGGTGAGTCCAGTTCTCTAAATACATGTGACGCACTCCTCACCCACCTAAATCCTTCCTTCTTAACTTAAACCCCATGTCTGCCATCCAGAATCCCCTCTCTTCCTGTGTCCCTCTGTACTCCCTTTCTGGTTCTCCCTGACCCCCCTGTTCCTATCCTAATGCCTGCTCCCTTCTCCAGGCGGACTGAGACAGTGCAGAAACTGTGTCCAGGCGGGCAGCTCCCATTCCTCCTGTACGGCACTGAAGTCCACACAGATACCAACAAGATCGAGGAATTTCTGGAGGCGGTACTGTGCCCTCCCAGGTAAAGGGGCACTGGGAAAGAGGAGGGGAGGAGTTGGCAGGTGGAGAAACAGGTGGAAGAAATGGAAAACAGGTAGCTGAAGCTCCTCCCAGGATGCTATCTGACGTGGCTTTTCCTGTTGGCTTTAGGTACCCAAAGCTCGCAGCTCTGAACCCTGAGTCCAACACCGCTGGGGTAGACATATTTGCCAAATTCTCTGCTTACATCAAGAATTCGAACCCCGCACTCAATGACAGTGAGTCTTGTGGGTCGGAAGCTGCATCCTGGGATGTGTGGAGAAGGCCCAGGGATTGGGAGGCGGCAGGGCACCAGGGAGTTCAGATGTTGAGGAGACGGAGCAGATATTGGCCCACCTCTCCCAGTGCCCCTAGATTTCCCTGCATTCTCATTGGTTGTGATTTCTAAACCTCTTCCAGTTCCTTTCACCCCCTGAGGGGACGTTAACGGGTAGAATAGGGTTGTAGTTAACAACATGGACCCTAGGATTCAGACTACTTGATGTGAAGCCACTTCTAAAAGTTCATGGAAGAATGGTCTTAACAGTTTATCTTGGTGCAGAACATGGGTTGAAGTCCATGGGTAGTTTCTTCATGGAATGTGTTTTCCACAAACTTTGTGAAGGATCCTCTGTAGAAAGTCCAATAGCCATGTGACTTTGAGAAATTCCCCGAATCCCTCTGTAAATTCATTCCTGGATGTATAAAATGAGGTAATACTACCTGTCCCCTGGGTTGATATGAGTCTGGGGGAAGAGTTTTGTTGCTAACATGCTTAGGATAAAAATAAAACCAAATTCTTAGAACAACACATAGAAAATGACATTAGTGTTTGCTGTTTATTTTGGACCAACCTCTCCATTAATATCCACCCTTCTTCCCCCATGGGCCTTCTTGGACTTCTCTTGCCTGTGCTAACCAATTCCATCTCTTACACAGATCTGGAGAAGGGGCTCCTGAAAGCCTTGAAGATTTTAGACAATTACTTGACTTCTCCCCTCCCTGAAGAAGTGGATGAGACCAGTGCCGAAGACGAAGGCATCTCTCAGAGGAAGTTTCTGGATGGCAACGAGCTCACCCTGGCCGACTGTAACCTGTTGCCAAAGCTGCACATAGTACAGGTAGGGGTGTGTGTGTGTGGGGGGGTTCCCCTGGCAGCAGAGGATGGCCGATGGAAAGGCCCTTTCACAAACTCCCATGTGAGCTTCCTGTGCCCAACACTACCAAGGTGGCTGACTGCTGCTTACAGTGGTTTCTGTAGATTGCTACCAGTAGCAGACCCCAGCCCAGAGAGAAGTGCATCCTGTGATGCAAGCCACGGATGCAGATGGGCTGAAACACATCCCAGGATTATTTTAAAGAATGCTCTTCCAGGCACTGTGTCTGCCAAATCCCCAGCTCAGACAGAGCTGTCTTTGCCCAAAGCCAAAGCTTTAACTCTGTAGCTTCTGCCTCCACTTCCTCCTGTGGGGACAACACCTGCTCATTTGCCACATCATAGCTTGAAGCCACAGTTTAGTTGATGAAATGCGGTCCATTGTCAGGCTGCTATGCAATGGTGTAAAGAACATCTGTTATCGAGGCATTGAGACAGGCGTGTGTGATGGTTGGTCCTTGCCATCCAAGGGTTGAAATCTAACACAAGACAATGAAACCTTCACACTAAAGTTAATACATGACTAAAAGTCAAATGAAAGATAAAAGACAAAAGTCATTGTGAAAATTGAATCATCTGGTATGTGAATGACATTAAGAATCAAGAGGAGAAAAGTAGCATCAAATAGGGAGGTCTGAAAAGTGGCAATCAGGCTATCGGTGGTTAGGATTTCAGTACCGGAGGAGATTCTACAACAAAACAATGGAAGTTGAAAAGGCTGATTGGAGATGATTCATATGGAAGATAAAATCTGCTGATAGGAAGAGAAGCCAGAGATGATGGAGATTCTTGAATACCTGGGGAAGAAGACCAGACTTTATCACGTAGACCTTGGGAGAAGGGAAGGAGCAACAGCATGGTAGAAAATACGACTTTCTTAACACTTCTGGGGCCAGGACTGTGGCATAGCTGATAAAAGTGAAATATGTGGTGCCACCATCCCATGTGGGTGCTGGTTTGAATCCCAGTTACTCCACTTCCAATTCAGCTCTTTGCTAATGCACCTGGGGAAGCAATAGAAAATAGCCAAAGTGATTGGGCCCTCCACCTACATGGGAGACCCTGAAGCTCCTGGCTTCTGACTGGCCCAGCTCTGACTGTTGCGGCCATATGGGGAGTGAATCAACAGATCTCTCTCTCTTTAACTCTCTAATACATTAAATCTTTTTTTAAAAAAAGATTTGTTTTTATTGAAAAGGCAGATATACAGAGAGGAAGATCTTCCGCTGATGGTTCACTCCCCAAGTGGCCACAACCGCTGGAGCTGAGCCAGTCCAAAGCCAGGAGCCTCTTCCAGGTTTCCCACATGGGTGCAGGGTCCCAAAGTTTTCGACTGTCCTCAACTGCTTTCCCAGGCCACAAGCAGGAAGCTGGATGAGAAGTGGAGCAGCTGGGACTAGGACTGGCACCCATATGAGATTCATTTTTTTTTTTAATGAATGCATTTTTTTCTTTTTTTTTTTTTCTTTTAAGATCTATTTTTTATTACAAAGTTAGATATACAGAGAGGAGGAGAGACAGAGAAGAAGATCTTCTGTCGGATGATTCACTCCCCAAGTGAATGCAATGGCCAGTGCTGCACCAATCCGAACCTGGGAACCAGGAACCTCTTCCGGGTCTCCCACACGGGTGCAGGGTCCCAAAGCTTTGGGCCGTCCTCAACTGCTTTCCCAGGCCACAAGCAGGGAGCTGGATGGGAAATGGAGCTGCCAGGATTAGAATCAGTGCCCATATGGGATCCTGGCGCATTCAAGGCAAGGACTTTAGCTGCTAGGCCACGCTGCCAGGCCCCTATATGAGATTCTTGCACATCCGCCCATATGGGATTCTTGCACATCCACTATGCTATCATGCCGGGTCCAAATACATTAAATCTTTAAAAACAAAAACAAACAAACAAACAAAAAATAGACTAACATTTGGTCTCTCTCCTCCCTGTTTCCAGGTGGTGTGTAAGAAATACCGGGGATTCACCATCCCAGAGGCATTCCGTGGAGTTCACCGGTACTTGAGAAACGCCTATGCTCGAGAAGAATTCGCGTCCACCTGTCCAGATGATGAAGAGATTGAGTTGGCCTATGAACAAGTGGCCAAAGCCCTCAAATAAGGCGCTGCTGGGGCTCCCCAACCCACCTCAGTCCTCCCCACAGAGGCCCTGGGGGGCTTCCACATTGCTACCCAATGGACATGTTTCAGAACAACAGGGGAACCTGGAGTACTTATGTGGGGGGCCGAGGTGGGGAAGGCAGTGAACAGAAATGAAGGGGGCCTGGGTGAGATTTTTATTGTGGGGCGGGTTGGACAATGTGTTTCAGTAATAAAATACATAATGAAAATGTAGCGTTTTTGCACAAAAGGGGGTTTTTGGATGATTTTGCGTTCAGGACACAGGTTGGGAATTAAGAGGGTGGGAGGTGTTTGTGGTGGGACTGCCATTTCTACTGCCCGTCCACCCATAGCGCTGCCCTGTGGTCCATGCCGCATTTGCAGCCCCGCCGCTAGGGCCGGAGCTGGGTGGGCCTGAGCCGGTGCACACCCGGGCGGCGCCGACTTCCAGGGAAGGGGGGCACCGTCCGGGTGGAAGGGGCGCGGCCCGGGGAGGCTCCGCCCCGTCCCGCCTAGACAATGCCCCGGAGCCGCCAGACCGCCGCGCCCCCGCCCCATCGTGGCACCGGCGCTCGCCTACCCAGGGACCCCTCCAGACGCCCGAGCACCCAGGCCCTGTGGCTTCGAGACTAGGAGCCCCCTTCTTCACCAACTCCGTCCTCTGGGGGTGGGGCCTCAGCCAAGATCGCAGCGCGGCAGCACTAGAGGTGGCCGCTGGAGGTGAGTCTGGGAGAGAGGATGTCTCCTAGAATCGTCAGGGGGCTGGAGTTTGGGGGATGCCAGGCCCGTGTTAGCATCCGACCAAGAGTGCAGGGAGGGGAGCGGCATTTGGGCGCAGAGCGGGGCGGTTGGACTTGGGGCAAGATGGTCAGGGGGCCTGTCCTGGAGCCAGGAGTGGCCCGCGCGCCCCGGAACCACGCCCCGTCTCCCCGCCTCTCCGATTTCGTGTGAGACCTCTCCCAGTCCTCCGGGACTCGGGCTGGTTTGTACTGGGTCGCGCTAGGGGCAGCGTGACCCGCCCGGGTGGAGAGAGGATGCTTAACTCCTTAGGCTCTCCTCTCCTGCTTCTCTCTCCCGTCCTCCTTCGGACATCCAGGGCTCCGTTCTCCCAGATCCGGGCTGTCTCTGCCCACCTTTCTCCTCCTGGCCGAAGCCCCTGCGGATCCATTCCTGTCGGGATTTGGGGTCCCACCAGCCTTGAGCAGCTGAGGGTTAAGGGGGCGGGGCCGATGCATTTTTGGGGAGTGAGCGCATCCTAGCGGTTGCCAAGAGGGGCGTCCGGCGGGGACCTCGGGAAGCCCCCCGGGCTGGGGCAACAGGTGTTCCGGAGATTAAGGATCCGGTCTTGCTCCTTGGACCCTTCTTAAAGAAGCCGATCCACCCAGAGAGTAGGGTGGAGAGGGGTCGACGAGAGAATAAGGTCTGGAGGGGGTGGGGCGGATGGGAGTGGCGCTCGGAGCTGGCACACGGGTGCTCTTACACACCCCGCGACCCCCTTCCTTTAAAACCTTTTTTTCTGTCTTTCTGCCTCTTCTCCCAAACAGGTCGAGTAGAAAGTGAAAACAGAAATCTGCACGACCAGAAGGCGTGTCTGTGTGGATGGGATGGGGACACCGGGGGAGGGGCTGGGCCGCTGCTCCCATGCCCTGATCCGGGGGGTCCCAGAGAGCCTGGCATCAGGGGACAGTGCCGGGGCCGGCCTTCCAGCGCTGGACCTGGCCAAAGCTCAAAGAGAGCACGGGGTGCTGGGTGGTAAACTGAGGCAGCGACTGGGCCTGCAGCTGCTGGAACTGCCTCCAGAGGAGTCGCTGCCTCTGGGACCACTGCTTGGTGACACAGCCGTGATCCAAGGGGACACAGCCCTAATCACGAGGCCCTGGAGCCCAGCCAGGAGGCCAGAGGTGAGTGCCAGGCGCTGGGTGTGGTGGGGGGAGGATGGGAGGAGCTGGGGATCAGGGCTTGGGGAAGAATTGGAAGATGGGGTTGTCTTCAGCTGGCGCTCTCTCCCGCCTTAAGGTGGATGGGGTCCGCAAAGCCCTCCAGGACCTAGGGCTCCGAATTGTGGAGATGGGGGACGAAAACGCCACCCTGGATGGCACCGATGTTCTCTTCACCGGTGAGGCAGCCCTGGGTCTTGGCAGAGGGAAGCAAACCTAGGGAAACGGGATCGCCTTGGGCCCTGTTTCCATCACATTCCCTCAAATCAACATGACTTCTCCGGGCGCAGGCCGGGAGTTTTTTGTAGGCCTCTCCAAGTGGACCAATCACCGAGGAGCTGAAATAGTAGCAGATACCTTTCGGGTGAGGAGGAAAGGAGGGGCATGGGGTGCGGGTGGGCGTCGGAGGAGCCTGAGGGTCTGCTGAGAAGGGGGCATCCCAGGACAGGTTTCCTCTCTTGCAACCCCACGAATACCTCCCTCTTGTGTCAACCCTAGGACTTTGCAGTCTCCACCGTACCCGTCTCGGGCCCGTCCCATCTGCGCGGCCTCTGTGGCATGGGAGGCCCCCGCACCGTGGTGGCCGGCAGCAGCGAAGCAGCACAGAAGGCAGTCCGGGTGAGGAGAGACATGGGGAGGCTTAAGGACTCAGTTGCAACCCCTACTGTCATAGAGCTGGCCAGCAAGTATGAAAGAAGTCACAAGTAAACAGGAAATTAAAAGACTGCGACCAAGTGCTAGGAGACCCCAGAACAAGGGCAATGAACCTGCCCTTCCTGGGCTTCAGGAAGAATCCCCAAGGCTGTATGTTAAAGGATGGATGAGACAGACGACTAGGGGCTCGTGGAGGGGAGAAGAAGGGTACAGGTGCATCACAGGCTGAAGCAGGCTTAGCACAGCGTGTGACACACAGTGGGAGCTATGTGCTTGCTGTCCTTCTTGCCCACATGGGACTCCATGGGCAGCTGTTGCTGCTGGCTGTGGGGCTGGCCAACTCCGCTGGGCAGATCTCTGAAACTGGAACACTTCCTCTTTCCACTCTCAGGCAATGGCAGCGCTGACAGATCACCCATACGCCTCGCTGACCCTTCCAGATGACGCGGCTGCTGACTGTCTCTTTCTACGACCTGGGATGCCAGGCACACCTCCTTTTCTCTTGCACCGTGGAGGTGGGGACCTTCCCAACAGCCAGGAGGTGAGGCAAAGCAAGAGCTGCACCACAGGCTAGGCTTTCCTAGTGGGGCAGGGGGCCCGGGAAGGGTGCTCTGAGGTGGCTACCGGGGGGCCTGCTGCTGGCTCCAGCTCTTCCTTCCCACCTCTCTCCCACTACAGGCACTGCAGAAGCTCTCTGATGTTACCCTGGTACCTGTGTCATGCTCAGAACTGGAGAAGGCTGGAGCTGGGCTCAGCTCCCTCTGCCTGGTGCTCAGCACACGCCCCCACAGCTGAGGGCCCAGCCTCGGAGTAGAGCAGGGGGGAGGAAGTTAGATAGAGGACCGTGAGTAGGTGGGAGAAATCCAAGATGGGGGGTAGGGCAGCAAGTGTGGGGGAAAGGATGGGGCCACTGGGTGAGTCCTCTCGCTCTCAGAATCAATAAACTAGAATTGGCCTTTTAGACTGGGCTGTGGCTGGTGTCTTACTCGGGGGCAAAGGGCAAGAAGAAAACCTGAGGCTGGGGTCAGTGGCAGGAAGGGAAGCCTCCTTCATTCACAAAGCCCGCACTGGGTACTGACTGACTCATGACCCCACCCTGTCACAGGTGCTGGACACCAGGTGGACAAGATAGAATTCCTGTCGTAGAGAGCACATCCAGGGCAGGAAGATGTAAACGGGCGGGTCACTAGCTGAATTTATCTCCATGTTAGATGATTCAGAGATTGGTCGATTACCTGTCTGCCCCTCTTTTATGGAGAAGAAGAAATGATATCTGCAAGAACATTTGTTTTCCTTTACTGAGGCTCAACGGTGTGACAGAGGGGCAGGGGCCAGTCCCCTCAGGTCAGGGGACTCACGGTACATGAAACACCTTACACAGCGAGGAGCGGGTTGAGATGGAACAAGTCACAAAAAGCTGCTTCTTTCGAAGTGTACACCATGGTGGGTGAGGGGAGGCAGGGACAGGGCTCCAGAAAAATAACAGAAACTAAATCTTGAGGATAAAGAGGAGTTCCCTAGGTAGGTGGGGGGAGAAGGGACCGAGTCTTCAAGACAAAGGCTCTACAATGAGCAAAAGCACATTCTGGGGCTAGGGAGAGCCTAAGGTTGGCATGTCGTGTGCACATGGAGTGACAGAGATAAGCCTGGAGAGTGGACAAAGTGCCATAGCACCTGTACACCTTGGCCCAAGGCCCAGGCGCGTGGCCCCAGAGTTGCTGCAGTTCTAAACTAAGGGTTGTCAGAGACAGTCAGTGCCTGGGGAGGATCTCTCCAGAACAACTGGATGAGGTGGGCTGTGGGCAACCCAGGAAGGAAATGAGAGGACATTCAGATAGCTGTGCTAGACATACAAGAGTACACATGACAGAGACATGAAGATAGAAAGGTGTCATCGTGTGGGAGTGAGACAGGAAGCAAGAAGTACATGACTCTGGTTTCTGGCTTGGGCAACTTGGATGATCAAGACAATACCAAGGAGGGTGAGGTGATGACAAAGAGTTGAATTGGACATGCTCTGCCAAATGCTAGGAGCGGAGCGAGGTTCAAGACAGTTGGGAAATCCCACCTCTGAGGTCTGAGCTGGAGGGAGTTCTTGGTGTGGGTAAGAGGGGAGGTGCGGAGTGTGCATAAGAGCACCAGGAAGAGGAGTCCAGAAAGAGGACACCAGCCGTGAAGAAAAACAATTTAAAGAAGGAGGTCATCAAAGGCCAAGCCAGAATGTTGAGAAATATCTCCAGGGGCCAGTGTAGTATACTAGTGAGCTAATCCTCCACCTGCAGTGCTGGCATCCTATGTGGGCACCTAGTTCATGTCTCAGCGGCTTCACTTCCCATCCAGCTCCCTGCATATGGCCTGGGAAAGCAGCAGAGGAGGGACCAAAGCCTGGGACCCTGTACCTACTTGGGGAAACCCTTAAGAAGCTCCTGGAATTCCAGCTTCAGATCAACTGAGCTCTGACTGTCGCAGTCCTTTGAGGATTGGATCAGAGGATGGAAGATCTCTGTCTCTCCTTCTCTCTGTAAAATCTGCCTTTCAAATAAAAATAAATACATCTTTAAAAAAATAAAAGAAAAATCTCCACTAGGACATCATTGGCAACCTCACAGAGGAACAATTTCAGAAGCTAAGAAATGAGCATAAAGCACAAAAGGAGAAAACGGAAGAATCAGGTGTATGGCTCTGGCTCAAAAATCTTGATTGCGGGGGGTGGAGCAGGGGGGGAGCACTTGATTGGGAAGAATTACGGCAGCTACCAGGGGATGCTGATGTCGTAAGATGGGGAGACAGGACTTGATGAGATTCAGAGAGGTCACTGGTGATGAAGACATGGATGCTATAACAGAGGTGGGAATAGGTGAAGGAGCCACATTGAAGGCAGACAGTCTGGACCACAGGTCTCCTAACTAAGGGAGGGGCCAAGGAGAGGAGGAGGGCTATGGAGAGGTGAGGGCTCCCAGCGTGGGTGCCTCTTCAAACTACAACAGCATATACGGTGGAGGCATCACCAGGGCCCACGGTGGACAGCCGGCGGGGCCTCCTGAGCACAGTAGGATCCAATTCCGCATACAACAGGCTCTGCAGAAGGTGTGAGAGGAAGGCAGGGTGGTCTCAGTAGGCTCATGCCCTTAGAATCCCATCCTCTTTCCTGGCCCACTTTTCTTAAGGATTCTGTCCAGTCCCCTTCCCATCACCAGTCCCTTACCGGTTCCTGTTCCAGGTCCCCTGACCTGTTGGGTGGTTCCTTCTCTTCCTCCTCCTTTACTGGACTCTGGGGTTCCACTTTTGCGAGTGGAGCTATGTGGAGGGGACAGAACTAAAGGATGAGCAGTAAATAACCAACTTGTCTGTTCCACAGCTACTGTTCACGTTGGAAATTGGAGGGTGGGGGAAGGTGCAGGTGGGAGAAGGAAAATGGGGTGGAGTTATTCTCACCAAAACTGGGGAGTGGTCGAGGCGGGTGCGGGGGTGAGCGCCTGCAAGGGACATACAGGAGTCTCTAAGGGTCCCCAGTCTGGTTGCCCTGGTTCTCCCCGGCCCCCGGGGCAGCGCCAATGGCAGCTCAGGTGCTTGCAGGCTCTGACAGGTGAAGCGACTTGGGCTCCGCCTCACACAGGGACCCGCCCACGCTCGGATTCTTGCCCGGCTCTCAGGCACTGACCTGTCCTGCTCTTCAAACCTGGCCCTTACGCTCCAGGGCCAGCTCTTAGCAAAGGTCTGGCCTTGCCCCACCCACCTCTAGCCACGCCCCGTGAGGCTAAGCCCCGCCCCTCTTGCTCACCTGCGCTGCCACCAGGCCACGCCCAACGCTGCCAGTCCCAGCAGCAGCCCGACGCCCAGCAACGGAATCAGCAGCTGGGGATACACGGACGCTGGGGAAACAGCGTGCCGGGGAGGGATGCCCAGGTCAGGGAGACGTGACAACTAGCGCTCTCGCTCAGGAACTCCCTTCTTCCCCCAACTGCCCAAGTCCCAGGCCCTCCCGGGTGTGACTTCCACCAACCGTGGGTGGGCTCCTGGGTCCTGCAGTTGGCTCTGTCCCCCAGCACGTGAAGCACCGTGTGGCTCTCGTCCTCGTTGCGGCCCTTGCAGAAAAAGGTTCCTGAGTCCCCCGTGCTCAAAAGCAGCTCCAGCCGCCGGATACCAGGGTCCAGGGCGCGTAGGCGACCTGCAAATGGCTGCAGCGGAGGCACCGTGGGAGTTCCGCTCGTCGAGACCCACAGAATCTTGCGGCGTCCTTTGGACAGGCCCTTGCAGGCAGGGAAGCTGGGTGCCCAGGCCCAGCGGACGGGATGTGAGACTCCCGTGCAGGAGAGATTCACCTTCTCACCAGGGCGGCCTTGCAAAGAAGCTAGAGGCGGCCAGGGAGCGGTTGTTAGGGAAGTCTGCAGAGGAACCACCCGCAGCCTCCTTTCTTTCCTCTATTTGCCCTCCTTCCATTCTGGATCTTCCCAACACTCACCACGCCCAGTCCCGCACCCCTTTTCCCCACCCCACAAATTCTTTCCTCCGGGGCTTCTCCAGAGGCTTGCTTACCCCCGGGATCCCCCTGGACCCTGGAGAGCAGCAGAACCAGCAGCTGCAAAACCAAGGCCATGCTGGGTTGTGGTGGGAGCATGGAGCCAGTGAATCAGCAGGAGCAGGGGGGAGGGGAGACACCGGAGGGAAGCCGCGTCGGAGGGACACAGGACTGGGGACCCAGATAAGAGCTAGAACTGAGCCACCAGCCACCGCGATCCCGGTAGGAATCCTCACTCGCCAGCCAGCCCACTACCAAAATTTACACAACAATGGGGCCTCCTTAACTTCTTCAGCCTAGAGGCTGCCGGGAATACGGGGAATTTGGGGACCTGGCAGTTACCTAAGCTAAGCTGAGTCGTGTAAGCAAGTCCCCTAGCCTGCCTGGATCTGTTTTCTAGACAATGGGTGAGAAGAATCTATTGTATAGGATCTAAATAAAATTAACAGGTGGAATGCCCCACACAGTGGCTAATACCCAGGAACCCTAATTAAGTGCTTGCCATTACCATTACTACTTCTGTTCTTATTTTAGCTTCCACCTCACCGTCTGTGCCCACGCTGTGCCCGCCTGAGCGCCCTGCCCAAGTCAGCAGGCTTTGACAGGGGAGGTGCTACTGAGCCATGCCTAAGCCAGAGGCCCTCCCTGGAGGGTGACCGCCAAAGCCCTGCCATGCCCAAGTGGAGTCAAGGTCCCTGAGAACCTCCAGCCAGCCGGAGGCAGCTCCTCCTCATTAGCACACAAGCTGCCTGGCCTGGGATGTGGCTGCAGCCCCCACACTGGCTGCTATGACATCACAGCAGCCCTCTATGAAGTCACAAACCTTCCACCCCGTGGCTAAGCAGGGAGTGGGGAAGACCCGAGGGGACAGAACTGATCTCCATCGGGAGATCCTGTCCTCAATTTCTACCATCATGCCCCCTACCCATGCCCTCCAGGGACCAAGTCTGGCCACCAACTTGGCCACATCTAATTATCCGCTGACCAGGAAGCAGCAGAAGCCAGCACGATGACGGTTGAAAATCACAGGGACCTCTGGTGATGGTTCCTCCAAGGACTCGGGCAGTCAGGGGTCTCAGGTGGGGGCCAGGAGGGGTCTGACCAGAAACCATGAGCCAGATGAGTGGGAAGCTGGAGGCACCTTCTCTCCCTCATCCCCCAACTCCGTCCCCAGGCCTGCTCAGCCTTCTCCACCCCTTGTCTTTTCCCCTGGTCAGCCATGTTTAAATGAGGAGGGAGGGAGGTGCTACTAGAAGCAGGGAAGGGAGGGGCCTTCAAGAGTATAAATTCCCAAAAGGCCACTCAACTCTCAGAGCCGGATCCCCGAAAATCTGTTCCGCCACTTGCTGCATCTGCCACCACTTACAAGACTCTCGCCATGAAAGGCCTGCTGTTGCTCATCCTATCTGCTCTGTTCTGCTGGGTTGCAGGTGAGTACCTAGGGGCCCCAAAGACCTGGTTCACCAAGTCAGGCCCTTGATATCTTGCTCTACCCATGGCCCTCTGCTACCCATCGCTCAAGTCCTCGGGCACCTTCAGCCCCACCTGGCCCCCCCATTTTTTCTGTGCCTCTAGGAACAGTCCTCCCTGTGACAATGCACCTCATTCCCCTTTCCCAAGGACTCAGGTCTCCATCTGTCACACTCCTCTTCAGCCCTAGGAGAAATTCATTCTTCTTGCCTATTAAGGTTCCAGACATGCATACTCTCATTTGCAAGCTCTGATGCCCAGGCAGCACATTCCAAGTCATAGTTCTCCAGGGCGCAGCTTGCCTGCCTTCTCCCATTCTCTGCCCACTCTCACCTGCACTCCTTTAGGGCCCAACCTGCCCCCTAGCTACACCCCCACAGGATTTCAGTTCTCAGCAGTGGTCCCCTGCTCCTCCCTGGGTTACATACCTCTCCTCATCAAGGGAGGCAAGCTTTACTGGATGGCTCCAGTGTCCTCTTCGAGCCTCCCAAAGAACCAGGGAGTTCCCAAGCCTTCTAGGGAGGGAACACCAGGATCACTCACCCCAAAGTGACGTTGGTGTCCTGAGCAAGCTGCTCCACCTTGGGCCGACCCCTCCTTCACCAAGCCTTCCAGTGCCTCAACCTTGAATTTTAGCTGAAGCCGAACACTGGGGCACTGCCTTCAGCACTCATCCTCTCTGCTGGGCTGAGGTGCTAAGACAGAATCTGGGGAGCTGTCTCCCAGATATTACTATCTGATGAAGAGCTGGAATGGGAGGATTCCATTCAGATCTGCTTCCTCTTCCCACACTCTTGGCAGCCCCAAGAGGTGAAGAACAACCTCTAACAGTGATCACAGGTGGCCAAATCTCAAATTCTAAGCCATTTCTGCAAGTATTGTAAACCTCTACACTTTTTGTTTGAAATATGTCTTCCTATTTCCAATCTCCATCTTCTTACCCATTCTTTCTCTACGCTATCCTTACATTCCATCTTTGCCCAGCTCGTGTTTTTGTTGGTAGCTGTGTCTCTCTTGACTCATCCCCAAGTGGGGTGGAGTGAGGGAAGGTATTTCAGGGTGTTGGCCTTTCATAAAGCAACAACTCCACCCTCACTTGCCGCCCACTTTGCACTTTCACAGCATCACTCACCTGCCTTGTCCCTGTCAGGCCAAGCAACACAGAGCGCCCACTTGATTCGCTCTCCTCTGGAGAGCCTCAGCCCCTCAGACACCCATCACCCCAGTCTAACTTTTGTCTCCCCAGCTGACATTCGCTGCCACTCCTGCTACAAGGTCCCTGTTCTGGGCTGTGTAGATCGACAGTCCTGTCGCCTGGAGCCAGGACACCAGTGTCTGACAACAAATGTGTACCTCGGTAAGGGACCCCCCCTTCTTGAGTTTGGGGAGAGGGCAGGTGGAGACGCTTTGTCAGGCTTGAGGTCCAGGAGGGGCTTACATGCAGATGGAGCAGAAAATCATAGTGATAATGCCATGGGGCCCAAGATGATTATGTGCCAGGCACTAATCTTTGTCTTGGCGTGCGTTATTTCAATTAGTCTTCATGACATTCCTATGATGTGAGTGCTATTATTATAATGAGAAAACAGCCGCAGCAGGAGCTGGTAACAACCCCAAAGGCTTGCAGTCAGCAGGTGATAGAACCAGGATGTGGGGGCGGGATAAGACATGAGGGAGGAAGATCAGGCTAACAGTAGATAAGGAATGGGGAGATAGGGCCAGTTAGGAAGGAAGCAAGCCTGGGTGGGTGCACGGGGTGGAGAGAGGACCCAGGCAGGCACACCATTCCAGCTGACCTCCCTGCGCATTCTTGTCCCTAGGTAAGATGTGGGTTTTCTCTAACCTGCGCTGTGGTACACCGGAAGAACCCTGTCGTGAGGCCATCAACCAAACCAACAACAAGCTGGGCCTGATCTACAACACCACCTGCTGCAGCAAGGACAACTGTAACAGCTTTGCCCCGCGCCACACTCCAACCCTGACCATTGTTCTCCTCACCTCCTTGGCGGGTCTTGGCCTCTGGCTGCTGCACTAGACTCACTCCATGGTCATCCCTCTACCTACAGGCTTTAGCGTGAGCCTTTTGCCCTGTGTCTCTGAATCCCCCAGCTTCCTAGTCTGGCTTCTCCCTAGCTCCCCTTGCCCTGAAAAGTATCTACCAGTCCTTTCCCATTTCGTTAATTACACAGGGCCCCAGAGTGGTCACCTGATCCACCTGCCATTCTGCTTGCCCAGAGTCCCTTCCCATTTCCCTCTGGACCACTCTAGATCCTCCATTGGCCCCTAGAAGGGCTTCCCATCTTGCCTCCTGCCTTGGAGAGAGATTGTGATCGGGTCTGACATGGGGCTTCTGTCCTGTTCCCAGTGACAGATCCTGGATCCCAGGAAAGACCTGATGACCTCACGCTAGGGAGTGGATTCTCCAAATGCTGGCTCCCATCCAGACTCCATCTCCATACTCACCATTTTCCATTTTGAGTAATAAATGTCTGTGTCTAATCAACTGTGTATTTCGCGTCTTTTGACCCATGTGTTAGCCCCTCTCCAGGAACCTAACACGCTCAAGGCCCCACTCTTATTCAAGAATCCTTCATGAAGTTTCTCTGGGAGGCTGGGCTGGGGCATATGGTGGAACAGGTTTTTCAAGCCTTAATGTTCGCTTACAGCCAGTGTCTGAGGATGGCACACAGGCCTCAGTGTTCAGAAAAACAACCCTTATCCTAAATGTAGGACACGCCCCTGATGGATTGCCAAGGAGGAGGTACAGCCTCACCCAAGAACTCCCCAGAAAGGGTGGGAGAGGTGTCTGGGCAGGGAGCCTTAGGTAGGATCCTCAAGCCTCACCTGGACTGGTTACTAAAGTTTCTGCCAAGCACCTCTCCTATCACAGTCCTCACATTGCCTTCGGCAATTCAAAATACTCCTCTGTCAGGAACAGCAAAGAGGAAAGCAACTCAGACAGCCAAAGTATGGAGACAGCCCAGAGACCAATCCTCTCAGCCACCCTCAGTGCTAGGCTGAGGTTTCAGTAGCCAAAGAGAGCAAATTCTTTACTGTGCCTAAGGTCTGCACCACTGTGAGATGCTCAGAAACCCCCACACTTAGAAGTAGATTGCCCCCTTAGTACTCCTCCAGTCCTCCCACAAACCAAAGATAGAATACTCCAGAGTAGTCAACAGATTTTAATGGCTCACAGAGGGGTCCATGTCTTCTGAGATGTTGGATTCTCCCTCACTCGCCTGCTTCCTTGACTCTCTTGCCCACGCCCCACTTCCACTACCAGCTCCACAGTCCTGGCAAAAGCCAGGCAAGGATGGTGACGGCTGCCACAGCCCAGTTACACATGGGAGCCACAGCACTTGCCACAGGGTCATTGCATTGGTGTCCGAAGCAGCAGTCCTTGCGAATTTTGTAGATCGTGCCTCCCACGCACACTGTTTCCATTGAATTGGAACGATGGGCAGTCACACAGTCTGGATGCTGATGACTCAAGGTCCCTGAGGCTGCAAGACAGAGATTGAGACGGGGTGTAGGGCTCCGGGCTTCTGGACTTAAATCCTGGGGCAGAGCAGATGTGATTTCAAGGAACCCAAAGGGATTATTTTCCCCTTCACCAGACTCCTTCCTGAGGCCAAAGGATCAAAGTTAACTCCTCGGCTTTGTGAAGCCCTGATGCGAGGCGCTGAGAAGGACATCCCTTGGGTGGTGTCCCTGCCTGCAACGCAGAATTTCAGTCTCCTCATGAGGAAACACTGAGTGTATCCAAATCAAGGACCTTCTATAAAAATAACCTACCACAAAAATACTGTTTGGGGTTGGTGTAGTAGCCTAGTGGCTATAGTCCTCGCCTTGCATGCCCTGGGATCCCATATGGGCACTGATTCTAATCCCAGCAGCTCCACTTCCCTTCCAGCTCCCTGCTTGTGGCCTGGGAAAGCAGTAGAGGATGGTCATCAGCCTCAGGACCCTGCACCCACGTGGATGATCCGGAAGAAGCTCCTGGCTTTGGATCACCGTTGCAGCCACTTGGGGAGTGAACAAGTAAATGGAAAATCTTCTCTATAAATCTGGCTTTCCAAAAAAAATTAATCTTTTAAAAAGATACCTTTTAAAGAACATACAAGAGCTGGCACCATGGCAGGCTAAGCCTCTACATGGTGGTGCTGGTTCATATGGTTCATGTCCTGGCTGCTCCACTTCCCATCCAGCTTCCTGCTTGTGGACTGGGAAATCAGGTGATGCCATCAGCCTTGGGACCCTGCCCCTATATGGGATACACGGAAGAAGCTCCTGACTCCTCCTGGCTTTGGACTGGCTCAACTCCAGCCATTGCAGACAATTAGGGGGTGAACCAGAGGATGGTAGATCCCTCTGTCCCTCCTTCTCTCTGTAATTCTGTCTTTCCAATAAAAAATTGTAAAAGAAGGCCCAGCATGACAGCCTAGCGGCTAAAGTCCTTGCCTTGAACACACTGGGATGATCCCATATGGACCCCAACTCTAATTCAGGTGGCTCTGCTTTCCATCCCATCCAGCTCCCTGTTTGTGCTCTGGGAAAGCAGTCGAGGATGGCCCAAAGCCTTGGAACCCTGCACCCACGTGGGAGACCTGGAAGAAGCTCTGGGCTCCTGGCTTTGGATCGGCTCCGCTCCAGGCATTGTGGCTACTTGGGGAGTGAACCAACAGACAGAAAAATCTTCCTCTCTGTCTCTCCTGCTCTCTGTATACCTGCACTTCCAATAAAATAAATAAGTAAATAAATAAATAGAAATAAAAGGAACATGAAATAACCCAACATGGCTTTTCAAAGTGTCAAGAAGGACAAATAACACTGAGAACCTACAGAGATTGGAGTAGATGAAAAAGATGTAAGAACTAAATGCTAAGGTGGTGGACCAGGAAAAGGGCAATGAGAGGAGCAACAGCTGAATTGTAGATTAGCTAGAAGTATTGTATCAACGTCACTTTTCTATTTGGGTTATTGCATGGCCCCTGAAGAGGCTACCTTAGAGGGTTCTGAGTGATGGATTGAAGGAATTTTATGATTTATGTCATCTTCTGTCGATCTACAATTATTTCAATATTAAAACAAACAAACAAACAAAAACCAAATGTGCCTACACTTCTTGATCCTTAGCCAATAACTGAAAGTTGAGTTTTGGCCTGGGTTTCCTCACATGTGTGAGAACAGGCCTGAGAGATGGAAGGGAGTAAGGTAGAAGCGCCAGGACTATGGGCTGTGGAGGGAGGGGCTCCAGGCCAGGAGCCAGAAGGAGTAAAAACTGCCCTGCTCCAGCAGCGACGCCATCTGCCCAGAGCCAGACTGAGCCTGGAAGGTTCTGGAAACCAGACGTGGAGTGGGGGCTGGGGTAAAACAGAGAAACTGAGGACTCACGGTTCCCGGAGATCTTGATTTGTCCCAGTCCTGGTTGGGGGTTGCTGCAGCGTTCACCCTCACCACAGGCTGTGATCTCTTTGCAGGAGCTGCTGGGGCTGCTGGGACCGCTGGGACCACTGGGACCGCCACAGTCCTCACACCTCATGCAAGTTCCTGGCAGGAGAGAAGAGGCGTTGGACATGAGCCCTGGTGGGGTGGAGAGAGTTGGCCAGCAGAGTGGGGGCGCCAGTCTGTGTGAGAGGGGCCTGGGCTACCACCTTACCTAGGGCTGCCCCCAGCAGGGTGCCAAGCAGGATCCTGAGTAAGTGGGGGCTCATGTTGTCTGCCTGTGCCCGCCCCCCTCCCGGGCCCTGCTCTGTCAGCCTTATATCCCTCAGCCTTTGGCTTTATGGAGCTATAAAAGGGCAGGAAGGAGTCTCCCCCTCTCCCCCGCAGGCACCAGAGGTCCCAATGGGGACAAGGAGTGGCCCCACCCGGGATGCTCTCAGCACTCTATGGACTACGCCTGATGGCCCTCAAGTCCTTCCACACGTCCTTGGGGGTCTTGCTTTTCCACTACATATCTGTGTGAGATCGGATTTTCTTCATGTGCTTCAAACAAAGTGACACAGCCCAACACACTGAATTCAGAAACAGTTACAAGCACCCAGCCATCTTTTAGGGTGTTTGACAAAATACATTTGCAGAAATGTGAAGCTATGCCACTCTTCTCACAGTGCTGGAGGAAACAAGGATACCTTTTTATAAAACTATGTTCTCTCACCATGTGATAGATTTATTGCTTTTATTTTTAAGTGAACTGGTAACTATCCTTTCAAAATGTCCTAATATAATAATATAATATAATATAATATAATATAATATAATATAATATAATATAATATAATATATTCATATAATGAATGTTGATACAATCCATGTAAAGAAAGGTGTCAGTAGTTTCGAGGAGCATAGAGATCCTGAAATCAAAGCTTTTGCAGCCTCCTGAGTACCTCTGTCTGTATGGCACCCCAGCCATGCCTGTCTCCTAGATTTGCTATTTTGGGGGCTTCCCAGCTCTAATTCCCTAGATGCAGCTCTCCTCCTCCCAATCTCTGAAAAGCCTCTCCTCCAGGGTTACAAAGGCCCCCTCTTCAGCGGAAGTGCATCCTTCTCTCCAAACCCATTTGTGATTAATCCTTTCCTCCAAGGTAGTAATGCTGAGAGATAATTATGGAGTAGAAATGTTGAGGCTTGGGGGGGGTAAAGGAGGGGGGGTTAGGGATCAAAGGGATGAGAAGCTGGGTGGGGTCAGCCTTCCCCAGCTGGGTTGTGTGTGTGGAGGTGAGGGCATCGATGCTTGCACACTCCTAGCACCACACCATGTGGGTCAGGGCTGTTTAGGAAGGTGACCTGCAGAGACACGAAGCCAGAGAAGAAAAACAAAGACAGAGGAGTGAGGATGAGCTGGAGCAGAGAACAGCTTGAGACAGTTGGGAGGGGGGAGAAGAGCTGGAGGGAAGGTGACAGACAGCTGGGAAGCGGCAGACGGAGCTAAAGTCGCCTAGACACTGAAAGACCCTGGAGGCAAGGGCAAGTTCAAGTTGGAAGGTGGCAGGGCGTGTGAGGGGTGAGGCACTGGGCCCTTGCTGCTGGGGCTGCTGAAGCTGCTCTCAGTCCCGCCCCCCCCTCCCAGATGCACTCCCTAGGTGTGTTTGTTTGTGGGCGCCTCCCTGACACACTCAGATGAGGGATCTCGGGGTGCAGTTTGCGTTCTCCCAGACTCCAGAGCCCTGAGCCAGCCATGCGCCCCTCCAGCACCTTCCTCTGCTTCCTGTGCATCTCTGGGGCCCTGGGTAAGGGTGGGCAGGGATCCTCAGGGGGTGGGAGGCTGGGGCAGGAGGGAGGGCAGCTGGAAGAGGCTGGGAAAAAGAGCTGGGGCGGGAGGGGAGGGACTCTGGGAAGAGCCTCAGGGCAGTCTGCAGAGGAAGAGGAAGAGGGCCCTTTGAATGGCATTGTGGGTCCACAGTGTCTTCCTCTTTGTGCATGTCTCCCCATTCCTGGCCCCTGGTCAGTGTCTTCCTGTCTGTCTCTGAGCCATCTACTTAACTTTCTCACTTCCTCCTGCCTGTCACTCTGCACCAGCCTCTCCAGGCTTCCGTTTGTGTTGGGTCTCTAATCTCCCAGAACCCCTGGCCTCTGCCCTGGTTTCTTTGTATTGTCTCCCCTCCCTTCTCCCCGTCTCTTTTTCTCTTCCTGCCTGCCCTTCTCTCTGTTCCACGGGTTCCCTCTCTCCTTTTGTGTCGCTCCTCTTTGTTTATCCCTCTCCAGGATCTAGGCTTTACCCTTAGGAGTGTTTGCCTCCGCATTCACCTTGAACTCTGCTGCCCCAACAGGTCTCACTATTACCCCTGGCCAAAACCGGCTCCGCTGTTACACCTGCAGCTTTGCCAAGCCCTGCTACCCCGTTGCTGTGCAGTGTTCGGAGGGGGAAGCTTGTGGCACCAGCACTGGCACCTCAGGTAGGACTCTGGGTCAGTGGCCCTTTTCCCTGTCCGCCCACCTCCCCCAAATGCCCCTTCTCAAGTTCCTCTTCTGTCCCACAGACCAGAATGAGATCATCCAGCGCAAAGGCTGCCTCCCAAAGGCCCAGTGCCTTCTGCTGGGCCAGACCACCTACTGGTCACACTCCTACACTATGCGGCACGAGTGCTGTGAGCAGGACCTGTGCAACGCGGGCACCAAGCCACAGGGGCTCCTCTGCTTTCTCCTCATCACCATGCTCCTGCTAGCAGCTAGCATTGCCTGGGGTGGCCCCTTCCTCCGCTAGCCCTGAGTGGAACTACAGCCCTTAATCAGGGGACTCCTCCAGCATCCCCCAGGGCCCTGGAAATACCTACACAGACACTGCCGAGACCTGTGCAAGAACCTGACTTTGCATGGACCCTTTCCAACACCTGATTCCTAAATTCCTGTTCCCCCAGGAACCTGCTCAGAACCCAGGCTCATAAAGAATACTTGTTCTATATAGTCTGTGTGTGGCTTGTGTGGCTTTTTTTTTTTTTTTTCCAACTCATTCATTTGTTTGAAAGGCAGAGTAACAGAGAAGGACAGATGCAGACAGAGAATGCTTCTGTCTGCTGCTTCACTCCCCAAATGCTCACAACAGCCAGGGTAGGCGCCAGGTAGAAGCCAAAAGCCTGGAACTCCATCTGGGTCTCCAGCTGGGTGGCAAGGTGGCCGAGCACTTGGACCATCTTCTGCTGATGTCCAGGTGCATTAGAGAAAGCTGGATCTGGACCGGCACTGTGCTCTGGGATGTGGATTTAACAGGCTGTGTCACAACTCCTGCCTCTTCTTTCATTTTTTTTTTAAATGTTGTTGCTGATGTCCCTGGCAAGGCAGGTATTTTTTTTTTAAGACTTATTTATTTTTATTGCAAAGTCAGATATACAGAGAGGAGTAGAGACAGAGAGGAAGATCTTCAGTCTAATGATTTATTCCCCAAGTGACCACAATGACCGGAGCTGAGCCAGTCTGAAGCCAGGAACCAGGTCTTCAGGAAGCCAGGAACTTCTTCCAGGTCTCCCACGTGGGTGCAGGGTTCCAAAGCTTTGGGTCATCCTCAACTGCTTTCCTAACCACAGGCAGGGAGCTGGATGGGAAGTGGGGCTGCTGGGATTAGAACCAGTGCCTGTATGGGATCCCAGTGCATTCATAGCGAGGACTTTAGCTACTAGGCTACCACATTGGGCCCAAGGCAGGCATTTTTAAAAGATGGGTTTATTTTTTTATTTGAAAGAGAGATGCACAGGGAAAAGGAGAGACAGAAAGATCTTTCATTCCACTGCTTCACTCCCTAACTGGCTGCCTTAGGGAGCCTTTTGGAGCTGAGCCAATCCGAAGCCAGGAGCCAGAAGCCTCTTCCAGGTCTCCAACATGAGTACAGGATCCCAAGGACTCTGTTCATCCTCCACTGCTTTTCCAGGGCACAAGCAGGGAGCTAGATGGGAAGTGGAACGCCGGGACACAAATCGGTGTCTATGTGGGATCCCAACCTTTGCAGGTGGGGGATTAGCCTGTTAAGCCACTGCACAAACCACAAGGCAGGCATTTTGATGGAGCTGTGGGTTTGGTTCTGGGAAATGGAACTGAAGGAGCACCAGGATGGGGAGGAAAGTCTCCCTAGGAAAGGTTGGTGTGGGAGGTAGTGTGCTCAGGAAGGAGAGGGTGGAGAACTTCCGAGGGTATGCTTCTGAAAAGGGCTTCCTGGGTGCCTGGCCATGCCTAATGTGTGCACTTTGGATATGTGTGCACACCTACATGCTACAAGCAAACCGCAGCTGCTTGGTCTGTCAGGCTGAGATGCTGGACCCAGAGCCAGATGGTCATCTTCCCCTCATTCTCCATCGGTGTTAATAGCTGCATCCTAGCTCAGGCAGCTGCAGTGCCAGGGAATTAGGACAAAGCTTCTCTCCAGTGAGGCCCAAGCTTGAGCTTCCACATGAAGGGTCACCTGGGGGAGTTACTCACAAGGGGTGGCTGGGAGGCCCTCTCATTTCTACCTGGGCCTGGGGGATGGTCACCTTGGGAAACTTGGTCACACTTCCTGTAGAGCTCAGCGTGACAGGTCTTCCTCAGAAATCCCACAGCCAGCCCCTGGGGCCACACCCTCTGCTGGGGAGGTTAAGCAGGGTGCTCCTGGGGGGTCAGAGAGGCGATAAGTTATTTGCACCCTACGGATAGCCAGATAGCCAGATGGACAGTTGCCACAGCGGAGCACCACAGGAAGAGCGTGAGTGCCTGGGATAAGCATGGGGTCAGGCAGGGAGCCCAGCCCCGCTCATTTGCCTCCCCTCCACCCAGGAAGCCCCACTTTCCTCTCTCTGTGGGTGAAACAAGAATGGTGAGGTGGCAGGGCATCTGGCTGATCCATCTTTCTCTATCCCTCAGTCTCACTTTGTTCCATTTTCTTACTCTCACCCAGTTTCTTCTCTCTTCTTCAGAGCCCCTCTTTGTTCTCAGATTCCCTTGACACCAGTTCCCCACCATTGTTCCAGTCTGGATTCCTCTGTCTCTTCCCTGCCCACTCCTACCCTCCTCATCCTCACCGGCTGTCCTAGCCTCCCCTTAATCCCACAGTACTCTGGGCTCAGCACCCCACCCTGCCAAAACTGGCTGATGCAGGAGCGCACACTCTTTAGATAGCATCATAGAATAAATTCCTCCTTTCCTTCACCCCCATTGGACCCACAGCTTGGGGGGTGCCGGAGGCCAGCTGGATAGCAAGAGGTGGCATTGTTAGTCACTGCAGCCTCCCCGCAAGGTTTTCTGGGAGATAGCTGGTGACTCTCCACAGCAGGTGTCACTGAGGGTCACTTGATCTTGTGGACCGGCGGACTGTGGGGGTTTACAAGGCAGAGAGATAGATGAAAGAGGCTGTGGTTCTCCCCCTTCCCAGGGACCAAGGACCTGTCCCCCATGCCAGCCCCAGTGTGCCCTCCTCATCCCCAGTCCCCTCAGCCTAATTGTTCCTCACCTGAGATGGGACAGATGGATGTTCTCATAGACCTGGATCTCGGGTTTGAAGTGAGGAATCGGGGCATCTGGGGAGAAGCAGCCATGTGCAGCACAGAAATCTTCAGAGAGAACTCAGCACGGTGTTCCCTGCCACCCCCTCCGCAGGCCACACAGACAAGACCTTCCCTCCTTCCCTCAGGAAGGGGAGGGGGAGCCTAAGGGGGAGGGGAAGACTCACCTCTGCCTGGAGCTGCCTGAAGCCTCCGCCTCCACAACACGACGCTGAGGGCCAGGATCGTGAGGCCTTGGCCAGCAATAAGCAGCAGCAAAAGGATCCAGGTCACATCCCAACCCATGGCAGCGGCACAGTGGACAGGAGAGGCATCTACGAGGGCTATACGGGGAGGAAGGGAGGCGAGGAGGGGGTGCTTCCTTCTGCCCCAAAGAGGGGTCCTCATCCCATAGCAGACTTCTTGGCTCCTAGCACCCATCACTCATCACTTTCCCTTTCCAGGCCTCTTTCCTGGACCCCATGAGCCTTTGCCAACACTCAAACATGCCACCAGTCATGTCTGCACTTTCCTCCTCATGCCCATCACGGCAATTTTCCTTGTCCAAAAAACTGACATGCCCTCCCTTTGTTCACTCTGCCCATTCACTCCGGAGCCTGTGCTGGGCTACAGCAGGTGCTAGGCAGACTGCGAGACAGAGAGGACATAGAGGGTGTCCATTCATTGGCCTTTGCCTCTGGAAACAATGGCTGCTCACCCCTCCCTCTCTCCCATCTTAGAAATGGCTTATTTTGTATCTGCTAGTACTCATACAATGGCCTTCCAAGCATAAAACAATCACATTCTTTCTTCTTCTGCCTTCGCTCTCAACGGGCCTTTTTTTTTTTTCCTTTAAGATTTACTTAAGACTTCAGAGACCAGCGTTGGGCTTCCAACAGCCAGGGATTGTAGGTAGAGGGAAAGAGAACAGGCCAGTCTCCCAGGCAGTTTGGGAATCTGGGAAATACCTGGCATCTGGGGAGCCCAAGGGTGGGGGACACTGAAGGACACAGGGGATCTGGATGTACAGCAGAGGTGTCCTGGTGCAGAGAGTAAGCTGCTGCTTGAGATGCCCACATCCCATATCTCAGTGCTTTAGACAGAACCCAACCTCTGCTTCCTATGCAGCTCCTTGCTAATGCACTGGGGCAGCAAGCAGACGGTGGCCCAAGTGCTTGGTTCCCTGCCAGCCACGGGGGAGACCCAGATGGAGCTCCTGGCTCCCAGCTTAAACCTGGTCCAGGCCTGGTCATTGCAGTCATCTGGGCAGTGAGCCAGTGGGTAGAAAACCTCTCTTCAAATAAAATTGTTTGCTTTTGTGCAAAAAAAAAAATATATTTTTATTTCAGAGGCAGAGGAGAGGAGAGGAGAGACAGAGAGATCTTCCACCCACTAGTTCACGCTCCAAATGGTTGCAATGACCAAAGCTGAGCCAAGCCAAAGCCAGAAGCCAGGAGCTCTTACATGGATGCAAGAGCCCAAGGCCTTGAACAATCCTCTGCTGTTTCCCAAGGCATAAGCAGGGAGCTGGATGGGAAGTGGAGTAGTCAGGACACAAACTGGTGACTATCATGATGCAGCACTGTAGATAGAGGCTTGGCTTACAATGCCACTGTGCCGGTCTGTTCTAACACCAGTGCATATATCTTTCCTTCAAAAGACAATTCCCCCAGCAGTAATTCTTACCTTCTTCCTCTCTGTTATTGCCTAGTTCACAGAAACAATGGATTATTTCCAAATAAGAATGCACTGTGCCAGGCAATGGTCTACTTCACCAGAAGTCAGTCCCAACTCTGGTGTGACTTGCCTCCCATCTCACCTGCTTCCCTACCCAGCAGGTGAGAGATGCACTGGGGGCAACATTCCATCCCCCAGGTTACCTGGCAGGTTAAAGTTGACTGCATTGTTTTGAGATATGAGACAGCGGATGGTTCTTGGTCTACGGCCCCTGGACTCAGAAAACCCTTCCCCAGGACACACTAGTAACAGGGCAGCCCCATCGCTCCAAAAGGACTGGACACGGCCCCTCACGGGACCCTTCCCCTCCAGCCAGGTCACGAAGTCCAGGCGTTTGGCGGGCAGCATGGAACAAAGGAGGACCGTGCAGGAAGACCCATTTGCGGTCCTTGCAGACAACTGGGATCCTGTGGGGGTGAAAAAAAAAAGGGGGGTCCTTTAGTTTTTGCCCTAGGATTCTCTCTCTCCCAGCAGCCCCTGGTCTGGGTGCTCCTGCTCACCTTGGAGCAGGGAGACATCATACACCCTCCAGTTCTGGTACTTGTAGCGCTGACCCAGCACAGCACACCAGTACCTCCCGGCGTCTCTCTCTTTGGACTCCTCCAGCCATAAAGAATAGTTTCCCAGCAGCTTGAGCCTGGAGTCCTTTATAGTTTTTCCGAGGTCTGGGATGGACTTGGCTACTTGGACTTGGGTCACCATGGTGGTGGAAGAGCCTGTGGCAGCGCTATGGAACCAAGACAGGACTTCGTCCCCCTGTAAGGTGGGTGGCAAAGGACATGACAGCTCCAAGGCCTCCCCCAGGGACACGTAGATCTCCCGGATGTTGTCTGTGGGAAGAGGGGTCGTATGAGGTCACACACATATGTCAAAGTAACACTCTCCCTGGTGTCCCCCTTCCTGTGGTGCCCCAGCCCTGCCTTGATGGGTGAGCCCATTTTTCCAGGAAGAGCTACAAAATAAGCTCTCCTCCACACTCCTCAGCTGGTGAGAGGATCTGTAGGGCTAAATGGCAAAGGCTGGGCTATTTGAACTGCTCATATCTCTTCCAGCATTGACTCACTGGTTCTTGTTCATTGACTGCATTCTAAAGGAAACCAGACCTATTCTCAAGTTGCCTCTGAAAACTCCCCGTAGGCAAGATAAAGGGAGGTCAAGTGAGGTAGGTTTACCTTCTTGAGTCACATGTCCTTCCCACACCGCAGTGGAAACAGCTGCGGCTCCTCTTCAACCTGGGAAACAGCCCGGCAGTGCCCGCCTCCTGCCCCTTACCTGCAGCAGCTCGCGAGGGCCACTGAAGAAACACAAGGAGGATGAGTAAGACTGCCATGGTCAGGGCCTGCCGAGTGCGCTTGTTCCAAGACCTGATGTCCTCAGGGAGGAAACAGCCCAGATAAAAGTCCGGGTCTGGAGTGACATGGCTCTCTGAAGAGGATGAGATAAGACCCCAGAGCTTGTCTGTTGGAGGAAAAGTGACCGCCACCCTTCTGTCCTAGGAGAAGAAAGACCTAGTCCAGACTGCTTCAGAAATGACCTCCTCCGGGCTGGTGCTTTGCTGTGTGGGCAAAGTTGTTGCCTGTGGTACCAGCACCCTATATGAGCTCCTGTTTGAATTCCGCTGTTTCTCTTTCACTCCAGCTCCCTACTAATGGCCTTGGAAAGCAGCAAAGGATGGCCCAAGTCCTTGGAATCTTGCACCCACATGGGAGACACAGAGGAAGCTCTTGGCGCCTGGTTTCAGGTTGGACCAGCTACTGTGGCCATCTTGGGAGTGAACCAACAGATGGAAGATCTTTCTCTCCCTCCTGCTCTGAAATTCCTTCAAGTAAATAGATGAGTCTTAAAAAAAAAAAAAAAAAAGGGCCTGAGGTCCTCACCATGCACGCACACGTCGGGATCCCATATGAGCACCAGTTTGAATCCCAATGGCCCCACTTCCCATCCAGCTCCCTGCTTGTGACCTGGGAAAGCAGTCGAGGGACACAAATCTTAAAAAAAAAAAAAAAATGGTGACCTCCTAACCCATCTGACTCCACAAGAGTTGAGGGACTAGATCAAGATTTTTCACACTGAGAAGGCTGTGTAGAAGGATTCTGACATGCTCACTGGGAAGTATATTCTGTAGTCTCTTTTCAATCTCTAGCAATCTGCTTTTTTTGTTTTGTTTTGTTTTGTTTTGTTTTGTTTTGTTTTGTTTTTGTTTAAGGCGGAGTTACATAGAGAATGAGAGACAAGTCTTTCACCCTCTGCTTCACTCCCTAAATGACTGCTTGGCAAGAAATGAGCCAATCTGAACCCAGAAGCCTGGTGTTTCCTCCAAGTCTCGGGGCCAAGCACTTAAACCATCATCTGTCGCTTTCCCAAGCCTTAAGCAGGGACCCAGATAGGAAGTGGAGCAGCCTGGACTCAAACAGGAGCCTATATGGGATATTGGTGCCATAGCAGAAACTTAGCTTACTATGCCACAGCACCAACCCTATCAGGCAAGTCTTCATGTTGGTCTCTATAGAACCCATACATAAAATCGCAAATCTGGTCAGTGCCCCATAAATGAATTAGAATGATTTTCCCTAAAGTCTCCTGGCATAGATATTTCAGAACAATTGATGAGTGCATTAACTTCCTACTCAAGAAGAAGGATAGCAGGTACCCTGAGTATTCACTGGTTTATTTTTCTGCCCCTGAAAGACTAGAAATATATATATATATATTTTAAAGATTCGATTCATTTCTTTTTTCTTTTCTTTCTTTCTTTCTTTCTTTTTTTTTTTTTTTTTTTGGAAAGGCAGCTCTACAGAGAGAAGGAGAGACAAAGAAAGGTCGGTCTTCTGATTGTTCACTCCCCAAGTGACTACAACAGCTGGTGTTAATCCAATCCAAAATCAGGAGCCAGGAGCCTCTTCCGGGTCTCCCACGCGGGTGCAGGGTCCCAAGGCTCTGGGCCATCCTTGACTGCTTTCCCAGGCCACAAGCAGGGAGCTGGATGGGAATTGGGGCCTCTGGGATTAGAACCGGTGCCCATATGGAATCCTGGTGCGTTCAAAGCGAGGGCTTTAGCCATTAGACTATTGCGCCAGGCCATGAATGTGTTTTTACTGCTGCACCCAAAACTGGCTCCATGATCTGCTCTTGATCTGAGTGCCAATTACATGGATGGATTGGATGGGTGTGATCCTTATTATTACTTTTTTTTAAGATTTATTAATTTTTATTGGAAAGGTAGATTAGATTTATGGAATTTAGGGAGAGGAAAGACAAAATTTTTCCATCCATTGGTTCATTCCCTAAGTGGCTATGACAGCAGGAGTTGATCCAATCTGAAGCTGGGAGCCGGGAGCTTCTTCTGGTCTCCCACACTGTTGCAGTGTCCCAAGGCCTTGAGCCATCCTTCTCTGCTTTCCCAGGCCACATTCAGAAGCTGCAAGGGAAATGGAGCAGCTGAAACATGAACCAGCTCCTATGTGGGATCCCAGAGCATGCGAGACGAGGACTTTTGCCATTAGGCTACCACCCTGGACCCAGATACTTCACTTCTTGTTTTTTTAAAAAAGTATTTTTTTTGTTGCAAAGCCAGATATACAGAGAGGAAGAGAGACAGAGAGGAAGATCTTCTATCCAATGACTCACTCCACAAATGACCACAATGGCTGGAACTGAGCCAGTCCGAAGCCAGGAGTCCAGACCCTCTTCCAAGTCTCCCACATGGGTGCAGGGTTCCAAGACTTTGAGCCGTCCTCGACTGTTTTCCCAGGTCACACGCAGGAAGCTGGATGGGAAGTGGGACAGCTGGGATTAGAACTGGTGCTCATATGGGATCCCGTTGCGTTCAAGGCAAGGACTTTAGCCAATAGGCTACTGCGCTGGGCCCAGATACTTCACTTCTAATCCAGCTTCCTGCTAATGCACCTGGGAAAGCAGTAGAACATGGCTGAAGTATTTGATTATCACCATATGGGAGACCTAGATGAAGCTGCAGGCTCCAGGTTTCAGCCTGACCCATCCCTGGTCTTTATAGATATTTGGGGGGCAGGGTGATACAGCAGATAGAAGATCGATCTCTCTCTCTCTCTGCCTTTCAAATAAATACAAAGCGTTTTTAAAAAAACAGTTAAACATTTAGGGTTGGGAAAACTGACACACCCTTGACGGTCCGTCTCTTCACAATAGAAAACGTAAGCCGATGCCCATTTGGGATCCTGGCACTTGAAGGTGAGGATTTAGCCACTGAGCCTTTGCAGTGGGCCGCAGTACACTTTTCCATACACGTGTCTACTACAGTAAAAAGCAAACGTTTATCTTGCATAGGCATATGGTACAAAGGAAAACAAATACAAGCCTGTCAAGTGTTAAGAAACAGCATATTACCACTTCAAAGATCCTCTACTTGAGTATCCACTCTTCTAAATTTGCTAGTCTCCTCTACTTGTTTTATCATTAAGTTTCACGTGGTTTTGAACTTTATGCAGCGTTATCATATTCTGTATAACCATGTGTGGCTTTTTTTCTCACTTTGCACGATGATCTGTTTTGAGATTTGTCCACAAGTGTAAGTGATCATTTTCATTTAGCCAGTTTTCCATGCATGTTAACAATTCTGCGCTTTCCTTTCCACGATCATGGCGCTGCTCTCCATTTAATTGAGCCTTCGTTTTCTCTTTTGGGAACTTTTTATAGCTTTCCTCAAAACATCTCGCATGTCTTTCATTAGGTACATTCCCGATACCGTTTTTTTCCTCAGCTGTTGCTAAATACTCCTAATCTGACCCAGCGTTTCCACTCTGGCTCGAGAGTCTTCCAATACTAAGGAAGAGGAGAAAAATGATTGAACCATGCGTGACAGTTTAACTCTCGGCGCCCCGAACGCCTTGCACTAACTTCTGACCACGGCTGCACCCGTAGGCCCAACGCAAGCTGCCGTCTTAAGAGTCTCCGCTCGCCTCGAGGCGGGGCCGCTGCGTGCTGACGTCAAGCGCACGCAACCCCTCCGAGGCGGAGGAGGGCGGGGCCGGCAGGGGGACCTGCTGCTGGGAGAGCAGCGGCCCGAGCCGGGGCCATGGCGAAGCTGCTGAGCTGCGTCCTCGGCCCCCGGCTCTACAAAATCTACCGGGAGAGGGACTCGGAAAGGGCCCCGTCCAACGTCCCCGAGACTCCAACTTCAGTCACTAACCCCCCTGCCAGCTCCTGGGTGAGTCGAGTGCCCCCCTGGCTAAGAACATGGTACGGCCCAAACCCTTGACGGCCTTCGCTCCCTAGAAGCGCCCATTGCTGGAAACGAGGGGAGGCTGCTTGTCAAGGCACTTGGAAAAGTCTGCGCTTTCGGTGCTCCCTAGCTTCAAGTTCTGCCTGGAGTGGCCAGCTCCCTTGTGAGCCCCGCTTTCCCATTCCGACTGCCAGTCCTTTCGTGTTTCCGAGTCCCCCCTCCCTGCCTGTCATGGTTCTTGCTGGTCCCAACTGAGTCCCAAGTCCTGGAGAGATCTTAGACGGACGCTGGTGGATTTTGCCTTCCAACTTCCACTGTTTTCCTCGGAGTCTCCGGGTGCCTCTCCCGGCTCCGGCTTTTTTCTCTTCCCGTCATCCTGGCATTGCATTTCAAAATGAGTTGAACATCTCATGTACTTCTGCACCCGCCTTCTCACTCTCCCAAACCTGGCATGGAGACCCCCAAGTGTCATTGCATTCATGAAAACTGGGGTGTGGGTGGGGATAGGCTGTTCCCTTAAGTATTCTTTCCTTTTTTTTTTTCCTGTTGGAAGCTTCAAATTATGTTTCCAATGCCTACGAATGGAAGCACATTCTCTAACTTAATTAACCTGCTGTTATTTCTGTCAGTGTCTTTGTTCTAAACCTCTCTCCCTATACACACACAACCATAGAAAATGGCTTGTGAAAAAGCAGAGAAAGTCGTTCCATGGTGCTTTCACTTTTGCTTCTCTATTAGGCATCCCGAGTATGTTTTCATGGACAAGGGTGGGAAACCCAGCTCCCAGGGCAGGATGCATGAGAGGGGCTCAGGGTGCCAGGGATGCCCCCAGAAAGAAAGGTGCAGGAGGATAGAACCCGAGGACACCCGTCAGGTGCGAAGGGAGGGGGACGGCCCTGTGGGTGGGCTGAGTCCTGACCGGCCATCTGTTTGGACAGGATACGTACTATCAGCCCCGTGCCCTGGAGAAGCATGCCGACAGCATCCTGGCACTGGTACGTCTGCCCTGGCATCTGGGACTCGCTGCATCCTTTGAGGCCCAGCTGCCCTCTTGAGCTTCCTCCCCCCCAGCCTGAGAGAAGGCAGTGCCCTGAGGAGCAGGGGCTTCTCTGGCTCTGCAGACTTCTGCAACACACACACACACACAAGCTGTCAAGCACACATTCGCTCCCTTGGGTATGTAGAACTGCTTTCCTGTGGCCTCCTGGGCCTTGCACAAAGCATGTTTACTCTTGGGGCCATCTGCAGGCGCTAAGTCCTGCAGTCTCCGGTGACCTGTCCTGCCTGGCAACTAACCTCTCTGGCTAAAGAGACAGCTGTTCTCCCTGGCAGGGCTCCTGCGGTGACGTATGCGCATCTCTTTGGGGACCAGAGCAGGGACTGAGCTGAGCAAGGCTGCTTGAAGGGGCTGGGTTAACCCAGGTCAACAGAGACTTGCCTTTTAAGTGTGATTAGAGATGATTAGAGGAAGAAAATAGAATTTGTATCTTGTTTTCCCAGCCCATTAGCTCCTGACATGTAATGCAGCCACCAATACCCAGCACCCACCGTGTGTATAATGCTGGAGCAGAGCAGATGTTCAATAGGATGTCCCTCAAATTACGCACCTTGCTCAGAGCCCAGGCCTGAAAATGACACAGCAGTGTGTGTGCCTGTGTGCCTGTGTGTGTGTACACACACGTGTCCATGTGTACTGACTGCCTGTCCCCGCTTCTCTGCCGCAGGCTTCCGTCTTCTGGTCCATCTCTTACTACTCCTCTCCCTTCGCCTTCTTCTACTTGTACAGGAAAGGTCAGTGTGGTTTCCCAGGTGCTGGGGGCAGGATCCGGGCAGGTGCCTAAAGAGGAAGGGGACCAGTGAGGTTAACTTGGCTTCCCTCTTCTGTCAGGGAGGGTCTGGGGTGGAGGTTGGGATCGTAGGAGGAGAAGCAGCAGAGGGACACCGTGGAGTGCTTCTTACAGCATCCCTCTCCCCTCCAGGTTACTTGAGTTTATCCAAAGTGGTGCCATTTTCTCACTATGCGGGGACGTTGCTGCTGCTACTGGCAGGTGTGGCCTGCCTCCGAGGTAGGTGGACAGGGTGCCTGGTGTGGTTCTGACCCTCCCTGGGTGACTAGTAAGTACTTTCTTCTGTAGATACAAATTGGTGACAAACTTTGAAGAGGAATAACTGAGAATGGTCTCAAGTATGACCTTTCCCTCAAAGGGTTTGGGTCAGAAGATGAATAAATGCAGTGGGTGGTCTGGTTGGGCAGAGCAGTACGCAGCAATGCAGGTGAACCATAGTTATACGATGCATCTCATGATTTCCTGCTGGAGAACTAGCCACAAAATGACCTGTGCAGTTTGTTTTCGGTTCCATAGAATTCCAAGGGGATGCTCTGCTTGCAGTAAAACCCTGAGGAAAAGAAGGGCGTGGAGCTGAGTAACCTGCAGGAGGTGTGCAGGACAGGGAAGACCCATGGTGGGAAGTGGCTGTGTGCTCCTTCTTGCCCTGACAGTCACATGAGCCTGGGCTTTGCATTTTTTGAAGGCACCAGATATATGTTTTAGGTACATGTGTTGTATCTCACCATTAAAAACACAAAACAGGGTGTGTTGCAGTAGCCTAGTGACTAGGGTCCCTTCCTTGCATGCGCCGGGATCTCATGTGGGCACTGGTTTGTGTCCCACCTGCTCCACTTCCCTTCCAGCTCCCTGCTTGTGGCACAGTGGAGGCTCTGGGTTCCTGGCTTCAGATCAGCACAGCTACAGTCATTGCAGCCACGTGGGGAGTGAGCCAGCAGATGGAGGATCTTTCTGTCTCTTTTTCTCTCTGTAAATCTGCCTTTCCTGTAAAAATAGATAAATCTTAAAAAAAAAAAAACATAAAATGTTAAAACAGATCATTGTCACCAGTGATGCATCTGAAGGCAGCCAGGTTATGGGGTGCATAGGGAAGAGGATGGGGGGCTGGGGTATAGGCTGATAAAAGTCTTGTGTCCAAGGGTTTCTCTCCCTCAGAGAGAGGCCTTCCATGCCCCCCATCTAGGAATATCTCCCACAGCACAGTTTTGTCTTCGTTTATTTTATTTATTTATTATTTTTGAAATTTTTTTGTCTTATTTATTTCTTATATATAACAAAAGGCCAGAAAATGAAATACTTAAAGGGGGCTAAAGTGATTTTCAACTATTTTTGGTTAGTAAAATACAAAAGCATTGAGAGGGCACTGGCCTTCCTGTGTGAGGCGGTCCCCATCTGCCATGTATGAGGACCATCTGCCTGAGTGTCCCCCTGCTTGGCATGTCTCCATTGTAAAGCCAGGCAGTAAGTGCCTCAGCTGATAAAGCTTTTGGACACCGTTGATAAGTACACATGTATCTAATATAGACACACTTGTCTGGGACTCCTCCCAGTCCCACATTCCTCTTCCCAAGAATAACCATTGTCATCTGCTCTGGGTTTTTTCCTGGCCCATTAAAAAAAATTAAGAAATCGTGTTTAATTTACCTAATAATTAGAGGCTCAATGCTTCACTAAATAGAGTTCAACAAATTAAAAAAGAAAGAAAGAAAGAAAGAAAGCCATAGGTTGAGTAGGAAAATAGATGAGGGCTTAAAACATTTGGGTTGTAAGAGCCCAGGTACTTGGACCATCTTCTGCTGCTTTTGCAGGCATGTTAACAAGGAGCTGGATTGAAAGTGGAGCAGCAAGGTCTCGAACTGGTGCTCGTATGGGGTGCCAATGATAGAAGTAGTGGCTTTAACCCACAGTGCTGGTCCCACACAAATAATTTTGCAGCTTGCTTCATTCTCTCATGATCAGATTATTTTAGGACACTATATGTAAAACTCTAGTCCATCCTGGTTTTATTTTTCTTGTAACTCTGTTCCACTCTATTTTCTTGTTTACTTGTTCATTGTCTCTGCCCAGCTCCCTCTAACCATCCACCTTACACACGCATATATACATATGTGAGAACACCAGCCTTCTGAGTACCAGGGGCTGGATGCCTCATTTCATGCTGCGTCTCCCATGGGTGGGAAAGTGCGTGGCAAAAGACACCTGCCAGGTCAGGAGAGAAGCTGGGATTTGAGACTCCTTAATAGTGAAGGGGGAGTGGATGCCTTCCCTAGGGGTGAACCAAGAGAAAAGCAGGTTCCAGAGACAGAAGGGGGCAGGATAGGAGTGGTTCAGGAATTGGAAGGAGGCAACGGTGGGCTCAGGAAGCAGAGAGAGTAGGAATCCCAAGGGACAGGAAGGCGTCTGAGTGGGCAGCTGAACAGAAGGAAGAAGGAGGCAGGGTGCTGGGATTGGGCGAGGAAACGATTATGGACAGGGGTGGGAGACTGAAACCTGGTGGCTGGGGCTCAAAATAGTGTGCAGAGAAGAGAACTCCCTTGCAAGTGGGTGCTGGGCGAGCAGTGAGGCTGTGTGATGGTGTTTTCCCACTGATGACCACCCTGGTGAAAGGTGAAAGCTTGGTGGTCTGGAATGCAGCCAGCGGGAGCGCCGGGCAGAATGGGAAGAAGCCCAAAGCCAGAAGCTGAGCCTGGAGGGAGGGAGTTTCCTCACCTCCTCAGCCCTCGCTTTCCCTTCCTCTTGCTTTGAGCTCCTCATGTTCTTTCCACGCCCCACCCCCCAGTGTGGTCTTTGGTTTTCCTGACACTGCTTCTTATTCTGTCTGTCCCAGGCATTGGCCGCTGGACCAACCCCCAGTATCGGCAGTTCATCACAATCTTGGAAGCCACACATCGCAACCAGTCAGCAGAAAACAAGGTGAGACATTCCAGAAAAGGCACCAGACATCACCCCTGCTGGCAGCTTCCTCAGCCGCTGCCTCCCACCCCAAATACACATATCACCCAGCAGCCCCGGCTTGTGCCAGGACCAGCAGCTGCGGGTGTACCAACCCCCGACTAGGTGTCTGCTCACCCATTGTCCCCATTGTCATATCCCTTTTCCCCTCATTTGTGCACTGTCCATCCAACGCATTTTTCCTGCATAGCATGTCTAATGGAATATTGTTCTAGAAAGACCTCCTCCCCAACAGAGGAATGTTCTACACATCCCTCAGACGTTACAGTGTTTCTTAGAATTCAGTTTTCTGTGGCTCTTTCCTGTGACAGCTTAGTTCTGTAAATGTTTGCTTTGGTGGTATGCATCGAGCACCATGCCAGCTCTGTGTGGGGTTGGGACAAGATGGACAGGTATGTCCACTCCTGGGCCTGGCAACACAGCATGGTGCCAGGAGGGAACAGAACCAGGGCATTGTGTCCTTGGAGCTGTGCCAGGCCTGCTGGTGCTAGAGGGTCATTATCTTTGAATAGGGGCTTGGGGGACCCATAAAACCGTTTCCTGCCACGAGGAGGTGGGGCTGGGATCAAACAGCTGTGACAGTGGCGGCCACATTCCTGGGTGCTCAGCGCCCTGGTTTAAGGAGCTAACGATGCTACTGTTGAGGCATTGTCACGCCCTATCCTGTCCAACCTCACAGCATTATTAGCTTATGAATACCTCTGAGGAGGCAGAGGGAGAAGGATAGGTGAAGTGGCCCATGCAGAGCCACGGAGCCAGGAAGCAGCTGAGCCTGGATCCGGGTATAAAAGCCTGGCTGAGGTCTACTTTCCCTCATTTTGTTCTGTCTTGTCATGTACGTTTTTGTACATTTTTGCTTCTAGTTATTTTTCAAAAATGTCAAAAAAAAATTCCTCTCAGCAGAAATGTAAAAAGCTATCCTCAAAATAGAGCATGCCGGGAGCCCTGAGATGGGGGGAGGGGAGAGGAGATGGGGGGAGGGGAGAGGAGACGGCTGAGTGTGAGGAGGATGGCCAGTGTGGCCCTGGGAGCTGACAGACGACAGTGGCCGTGAGGACAGAGCAGTCCAAGGGGGATTGGTTTGAGAGGGGGCCCCCAGCCTACAAAGAAGCCATTGAGGCTGCGCCTTCCCTCCAGCTGCTCAACCCTGGCAGTGGGATCTGCTGGGGGATTTCTGAGCCCCCAGGGCAGCACAGTATAAGTGATGTGGGCAGCGAAAGGGATGTGGCCGCCAAGCAGCCCCTCCCCCTGGGGCTCAGAAACACCTCCAGCCACACCTCCTAGGGGAGGGTCAGGCTCAGGTTTTCTCAAACATTACATTTACTGGGTCTGACATCATGGTGCAGTGGGTTTAGCTGACACCTGCAAGCCGTATGGGTGCCGGCTTGTGTGCTTTGCTTCCAATCCGGCTCTCTGCTGATGTGCCTGGGAAAGCAGAGGAAGGTGACCTGAGTACTTGGGCTTCTGCCACCCATGTGGGAGACCTGGTGAGAGTTCCAGGCTCCTGGATTTAGCCTGGCCCAGCCCTGGCTAGTGTAGCTTTTTGGGTAGTGAACCAGGAGATGGGAGATCTCTTTGTCTTTTCCCCGCCTCTCTTTCTGTAACTCAGCTTTGCAAATAAATAAATGAATCTTAAAAAAAAAAAAAAAGTGGGCCCAGTGTAGTCGCATAGTGGATGAAGTCCTTATCTTGCATGTGCCAGGATCCCATATGGGTACTGGTTCTAATCCTGGCAGCCCCACTTCCCATCCAGCTCCCTGTTTGTGGCCTAGAAAAGCAGTCGAGGAAGGCCCAAAGCCTTGGGAACCCTGCACCTGCATGGGAGACCTGGAGGAAGCTCCTGGCTCCTGGCTTTGGATTGGCTCAGCTCCAGGCATTGTGGCCACTTGGGAAGTGAACCATTGTACGGAAAATCTTCCTCTATGTCTCTCCTCTCTGTATATACTTCCAAATAAAAATAAAATAAAATCTTTAAAAAATTAAAAATATAAATTTTCAAAGATATATATATCCTCATGTATACTGAGCTGTGCCATACTTAGTATTCTGCCCCTTTTTTAAAGATTGATTTCTTTTTATTGGGAAGGCAGATCAGATTTATGGAGAGGAGAGACAGAAGAGAAAGCTTTTCCATTCACTGGTTCACCCCCCAACTGGCTGCAATGGTTGGAGCCGAGCTGATCTGAAGCCAGGAGCCAGGGGACATTCTCCAGATCTCCCATATGGATGTAGGATCCCAAGATTCTGGGCCATCCTCTGCTGCTTTCCCAGGCCATAGCAGGCAGCTGGATGGGAGGTGGAGCTGCTGGGTACAAACTGGTGCCTGTATGAGATGTTGACACTGGAAGTAGAGGATGAAGAGATTGAGCCAAAGCGCTAGCTCCATAGTCTATCTTTTAAAACAGGTTAAAATAATTTTTATTTGTTTTTATTTTGCTTGACAAGTTGAGAAAGAGAAACAGATATTCCATCCACTGGTTTACTCCCCAAATGCCTGCAACAGCCAGATGAAAGCCAGGAGCTGGGAACTCAGTCCTCGGCTCCCATGTGAGTGGCACTTGAACCATCATCTGCCACATCCCACAGTGCACATCGGCAAAAAGCTGAATGGGAAGTGGAGAAGCCATAGCTCAAACCAGGCCCTCTGGCATGGGGTATAGGTGTCGAAGCGGCATCTCAGGCTGTGTTGAATGCCTATCCCCTGTCTTGGGGTTTTGGAAAAAGCATTAGGTACTTGGCCCAGAGGAGAGAAGGGCAGGCCAGGCGTGGTACCTTATGCAGCATCCCATCTTGCCTGATGTGAGAGCTTACCATCCGAGAACCAGCAGGTATTCTGCATGGTCATCCTAGGCCCCCCAGGGACAGTGGTGTTGAGGGTGGCTGGGAGAGCCCGCTGTTGGCTCTTGGTCCTCTTTCTCCTTACCTCCTCTTTCTCGTCCTGGCCTCCTTTCCACCTGCAGAGGCAGCTCGCCAACTACAACTTCGACTTTAGGAGCTGGCCAGTTGACTTCCACTGGGAAGAGCCCAGCAGCCGGTGAGGCCCGATGCTTTTGCTCTGCATCCCCACCACCCCTTCCACCCCACCCATCATCAACCTCTCTCAGGCCCCCTGCCTGCCTTGTAGCACCACCCTCTTTGGAGCTTGGGCACCCTACTTGCTGCTCCTAATCTATCCTGCCCTGCTTTTCTCCCTTCTTCAGGAAGGAGTCTCGAGGGGGCCCCTCCCGCCGGGGTGTGGCGCTGCTTCGCCCAGAACCCCTGCACCGGGGGGCAGCAGACACCCTTCTCAACCGCGTTAAGAAACTGCCTTGTCAGATCACCAGGTGGGAAACAGCAGAATGGAGGCACACTGGGGCCCTGGGCACACCATTGTTAGATAAGCTGTCGTTTATGGGACCTTGTGCACCCTGGGTTTGTATGTGTCCTTTGTGAGAGTCTCAGCGATGCCCTGGGTCTCACAGGTCACACCTGGAGGTCTGGGATGGAAGCACAGTGCTGCCCGCTGCCCTGCCCTGTCAGTGCAGCTGGGGAAGCAAAAGAGGTGTGGAGGGGGAACAACCAGCTGGAGTGGGAGCAGGAGTCAGGGCACAGCAGTGCACCCATCCTGCCCCCTTACTCCTCCATTGTTACCCCCTTCTTTGCCTTTCTGTGCCTCAGTTTCTCCATCTGTGAGTGCCTGCCGTATAGGGTTGTTGAGGAGATTCAATGGGATCACACCCTGGAAGGGCTCCTGCTGCTCAGGTGTTTGAGATCACACCATAAAGTCAGTGAATCTTAGGCAGGCTGCCGGTGTTGTCAGAAGCAGTAACAGTGGTTATTCCCAGTGGTTGCTGGGAGTTAGCATGCAGGTTCCAGGCTACCAGGGGAGAGGGTGGTCTTTGAGGTTGCCTGCTGAGTTTGTAGGCTGGGCAGAGGAGCAGGGCGGATTGGAGGTTTTGAAGGGGATGCTGCACGGGTAGCACAGCATCCTGGCGCAAGTTCCACTTCAGGATTAAATGAAGTAGTCAGTCATCGTTTTGCAGGCACGCCGCTCGCCACGTGTCATCTGTCCAGCTTTGTATATGTGTTCAGGATCTATTCATCCCCTCCTTGGTGTAATGCTTACCCTAGTGGCATAACACAGTGAATGAAATAGCCCATTCCCTGCCCCAGCATCGTGGGGCCTGGTTTGGTCCCTTTGACACTAAGGGGCTCTACCCGTTAGAGAACCCTGAAATCACTATAGTGAATTTAACAGCCATTATTATTTTTTAAAACATTTTTTTTAAAGATTTATTTTTATTATTTTTTCATTGGAAAGGCGGATATACAAAGAGGAGAGACAGAGAGGAAGATCTTCCGTCCGATGATTCACTCCCCAAGTGAGCGCAACGGGCCGATACTATGCCGATCCGAAGCCAGGAGCCTCTTCCGGGTCTCCCACGCGGGTGCAGGGTCCCAAAGCTTTGGGCCGTCCTTGACTGCTTTCCCGGGCCACAGGCAGGGAGCTGGAAGGGAAGCGGGGCTGCCGGGATTAGAACCGGCGCCCATATGGGATCCTGGGCGTGCAAGGCGAGGACCTTTAACCACTTGCGCCACCGCGCCGGGCCCATATTTTTTAAAACATTTTAAAGATTTTTTTTTTTTTATTGCAAAGTCAGATATACAGAGAGGAGGAGAGACAGAGAGGAAGATCTTCCTTCCAATGATTAACTCCCCAAGTGACCGCAAAAGCCAGAGCTGCACCAATCTGAAGCCAGGAGCCTAGAGCTGCATCCAGGTGTCCCACACAGGCGCAGGGTCCCAAGGGTTTGGGCCATCCTCGACTGCTTTCCCAGGCTACAAGTAGGGAGCTGAATGGGAAGAGAGGCTGCCAGGATAAAATCGGCACCCATATGGAATCCTGGCACATTCAAGGTGAAGACTTTAGCCACTAGGCCATCGCGTGGGGCTGAACGGCCATTATTTTTCCAAGCATTTATTTGAAGACCTTTAATAAGTTGTCATTACACAGATTCAGAGAGTCAGACTTGATTTTAAGAACTTCGATTTTTCCTTACTGATTATGGTAAACGATATCTCATAAAGCTCTCAAAATTACATACAGGTGGTCCCCAACTTTGGATGATTGGACTTAATTCTTTCTCTTTGAAATGCGGTGGAATGGATACACATTGAGTAGAAAGCATGCTGTACATTTTGGAGTTTGGCTCTTTGCCCAGCCGACAATATGCCGTTGCAGCTGACTCCACAGTGGTAGTGCCTGTAGCTCCCGCAGAGCCTCACCCAGCTCCGCCCCACCCACCGACACTGCCCAAGGAAACAGCTCCTAGCTCACGGAGGGCTGCATGACCACCGTCCCTAGGTTAGGTGTATTCACTGCCTGGTTGACTTAGGTCAACCACCACTGCTGCTGGTGCTCGGGGTGTAACCCTGGGCAAATGGAGGAGCTCCTGTTAGGGTTTAGCTCAGGAAGCTTGAAGTATGAAATCTGCAGAACACCACCCTGGGATGTGTCATTTTCCATTAAGCCATGGGAGGAAGAGAAGCAGGAGGAAGGGAAGCATGAGGCAGGTCACAGGGCGTGTGAGTGCCCACAGCCCCGCTCTGGGCTATAGGGGCTCACTAACCTGCATTCCCCACAGCTACCTGGTGGCTCACACCCTGGGGCGCCGCATGCTGTACCCAGGGTCCGTGTACTTGCTCCAGAAAGCCCTCATGCCTGTGCTGCTGCAGGGCCAGGCCCGGCTGGTGGAAGAGGTAAGCCCCCACCTAGCCCCTGCCCAGAACCCCTGCTGGCCATGCCTCCCTCAGGGATGTGGCTGCTGCCCACCCCCAACCTGTCTCCACTCAGTGCAATGGACGCCGGGCGAAACTGCTGGCCTGTGATGGCAACGAGATTGACACCATGTTTGTGGACCGGCGGGGCACAGCTGAGCCCCAAGGACAGAAGCTGGTGAGAGGGAGCCCCAAGGTGGAGCTGTGGGGAGTAGATTGAGGTCCTGGGGACGCTGGCCTTATAGTACCACTTTCCTTGTGGAGCTACAACTGGGGGCAGTGCCACCTGCTGGCTGCACCCTGAAAACCTCTTGATGTGGAATTAACTGTGTGACAGGGAAAAAGCAGAAGCAGGAGTTGACATTCAGGGATCAAGAAATAGCCATCCTAATAGTCCCCAAGGAGGCAGCCCTTACTGTGTGCAAGGCATATGTCTATTCAGTCCCCACAGTAATTCCATGAGAGGAAGTTTTCTATCGGCCTATTTCCTAGATGATAAAACCAAGGCTCAGGGTAACTTTCCCAGGTCATACAGTGAGCAGCAGAGCTGCTGGCTGAAGCCAAGGAACTCTGTCTCCAAAGTCACCTCCCTGAAACAGCCTGGGAGAGAGCACTAAGGAGTTTAGGGAGCCAGGTTCCAGTCCCAGCTCTGCCTGTCCACTGTGAAACTTTATCCCAGCCCTGCCATTCCTAAGCTTGAGCTTAGGCTGCCACTGAATTCAAGTTTAATCTGACCATGAGACCAGAGAGGGAAATTAGCACCCCACACCACAGCAACATCACAGGAAAACAGACCTGAGACTGCAAAACCGCCTGGGGGTCTACTGAGGAAGAGTTGGCACTACGGCAGCAGGTTGTCTACCACAGGGCCTAGTGGGCTGAGCCTTTGCTGTCTCCTGGCTTCTCTCCTCGGGACCCTGTGGCATGAGAGAGGGCTCTGCTCCTTGGAGAGGACAGGAAGTTGCCCTTGCACCCTTGCATGCAAAGTCCTGCAGGACTGCAGTCTGTCCCTCCTCTCCTACCCCCAGAGCGGTGGGCCTGGGCTCAGCCCACCCACCTCTTCCTTCCCACCTCCTTGTAGGTGATCTGCTGCGAGGGAAATGCAGGATTTTATGAGGTGGGCTGCGTCTCTACACCCCTGGAAGGTAAGCCCCTAGCTCAGCCACCCGCTTAACTCTGTCCCTTGGCATGGAAAAGTTTCCACCTGCTACCCTTGGGCCTGATCACCACTTCCTCTGGGTGAGGTTGGAGTCTCTGACCTTTGGGGAAAAGTCCACTCCCTATGTGCCTTGATAACCCAACATTCCTTCCCAGGGTGGTGTCCCGGCTGTATTGTGCTCTTTGTTCGGTTCCTACACAGGTGCAAGCACATACACACACATGTGTACACCCATACACAGTGACAGAGCTCCCCCTTCCAGAACTTTCAGGGCATTCCCTGATTCTGGAATGGCCAGGAGTCACCTGCCTCTAAGCCCAGAGGAGCAGAGGATGTCTTCTGCCCTTCCTCCCACTGGTGCTTGGGAGAGGCCGGTGGGCTGCTGGCCCTCAGCCCCTGCTCCTTCTCTGTTATAGCTGGATACTCAGTCCTGGGCTGGAATCATCCAGGCTTTGCTGGAAGCACGGTGAGCCCCCCTCAGGGATTCCCTCCATTTCCTGAATTAGGTATGGCTGCTCTGGTCAGTCACTGGAGGGAAGAGAGGGTGTGTGCCTTTCTGGGAGTTTCTCACATATGGCCTGTGAAGGCAGCATTAGGAGCCCGTGTGTGTGTGTGTGTGTGTGTGTGTGTGTGTGTGTGTGTGTGTGTGCGCGCGCGCATGTGCGCGTGCTGCTGGAGGGGAAGGGTCCTCATTTCGAGAACCCAGGCCCTTCCACCACCATTTCCCAGACCATCTCTGTGGTCAGTGGAGGGGTCCTTGCCGCCAGAGGTAGGTGGCAGGTGAGCTTGCCTTTGATGTGGGTGACCCACTCCTGCCTTTGCTCTCCCTTCCTGCAGGGGGTGCCATTCCCACAGAACGAGGCCAATGCCATGGATGTGGTCATTCAGTTTGCCATCCACCGCCTGGGCTTCCAGCCCCAGGACATCGTCATCTATGCCTGGTCCATTGGTGGTTTCACTGGTACCAGCCGCCCTCCCACCCCTCCCTGTGGATATGTTCAGGCCCCTTCTCCCCCTGCCCCTACTGCTCTCAAAGAGATGGGCCATCATGTCCTGATGGCTCCAAAGTGGGTGGAGACTCAGGGAATGGGGAGGAAGTAGAATCCCTGAGACAGGAGGCTGTGAGAGTGTCCTCCACCTTGTACCTGATGGTGAGCGGGAGAGGCCAGTTGGGGCCTGGGGTCAGGGGGATGAGGGGGCTTTCTCTGCCTGCTCTCTCCATCTTCTGCACCTGGTGCCTTGGCCAAGGGACAGAGGGGCTCAGGAGAGACCAGGGGGTGATATTGTAGGAGGGATGGGGCCAGTGTGGGGGTCAGTGGGGCAAGGCTGGCTGGGAGTGGCAAACAGAAGACCCTCCTAATCTTCATCCTTCTTCCTTGTCTTGATGCCAGCCACATGGGCAGCCATGTCCTACCCAGATATCAGTGCTGTGATCCTGGATGCCTCCTTTGATGACCTTGTGCCCCTTGCCTTGAAAGTCATGCCGGACAGCTGGAGTGAGTGCAGCTCCCAGGCTGCCCGTGTGGGGAGGGTGGGCTGTACCTGGGAGCTGTTCCAGGCACAGGTGCTTCCCTTTGCTGTGGGTGGGCAAGAAAGAGGTCTGGGTTGCCAATAAGTAGGAGATATCCTCTTCCGTGGACAGTGGGAACCTGGGTGTTGGCAGGGGCTTTGTCTTCTTCTGCCCCTCACCTTCATCCCACCACAGGGGGCCTGGTGACCAGGACTGTGAGACAGCATCTCAATTTAAACAACGCAGAACAGCTGTGCAGGTGAGCCCAGGCCAGGGGCCAGCACTGCCCATCTGCCCAGCCCTGTCTAAGTCCCCTGAGACCCTGGACGGACTCATGATTATTAAACCCAAGGATTAATGCCTGGCACAACCAGGGCATCCCAAGAGCCAGACTTTTCCACTTGTTCTGACTCTCACTGTTGAGTGAGGGCTGGCCGCCAAGGCAGAGGGGACAGGTTGGTTGTCACCCGCATCCCCGCTCCATCCAAGCCCTCCATCCTCACCACTCTGTTCTCCGAAGGTACCAGGGCCCCGTGCTGCTGATCAGGAGAACCAAGGATGAGATCATCACCACCACGTGAGTGCTCCCCAGATCCTGCCCACCGGAAACCCAGGCATCCGGATCCTTCTTCCCCAGCCTCCAAGGTAATCATTCCCACCCCCAGGGTGCCCGAGGACATCATGTCCAACCGCGGCAATGACCTCCTGCTGAAGCTCCTGCAGTACCGGTGAGTGCAGGCGGAGGGGACCCCGAGGCGGTGCACATGGACCCACTGGCACCAGCTCAGTGAGGGGAGGGCTGAGGTGCAGGGATGGGGAGGGAGGACTCGGCACTCCTTCTGCAGATACCCGCGTGTGATGGCAGAGGAGGGTCTTCGGGTGGTGAGGCAGTGGCTGGAGGCCTCCTCGCAGCTGGAGGAAGGTGAGTGGGCATCACTGCGGCTTCAGGGTGGGTGCCTGGCTGGGCCATGCTGCTGACAGGTCCACCGCCCTCTCTCCCTGACCAGCCTCAGTTTACAGCCGATGGGAGGTGGAAGAGGACTGGTGTCTGTCAGTCCTCCGCTCCTACCAGGCAGAACACGGGCCTGACTTCCCCTGGAGCGTCGGTAAGGGTGGCCTGCAGCCCTAGATGGGGGAGGGGACAGGGATAGCATCCAGTCGTGTGTGTAGCTGCTTGAGTGTCCCTCTCCACAGGGGAGGACATGAGTGCTGACGGACGGCGGCAGCTGGCTTTGTTTCTGGTGAGCTCAGGATGGGGGAGCAGGGAAGGATGTCTGAGTGGCCAGGGACACCATGCTAGCATTGAAAGTGGCTGCTTTGCTGGAGCAAGTGGTGGCACGTGGGGAGGGGGTCTCATTGCTGCCGTTCCCTACATGACTGCCCATCCTACTGTGCTGCTTCTTTCCCTTGGCCAGGCCCGGAAACATCTGCATAACTTCGAGGCCACACATTGCACCCCACTCCCGGCCCCGAACTTCCAGATGCCCTGGCACCTCTAGGGATTACTCTGGGACTCGCTGTTGAAGAAGGGACTGAGAGAGACTGACAAGGAAGGGCCCTTGCACTCATGGTTTTGCGTGTCCATCTGTGTCACTGTGGAGTCTGGGCAGTGGAGGACCGTTCCCCTTTACCGCCACCTTTCCTCTTGCACGTGTCCCCTCAGCCGTGTGGCAGTACCTAATTTCCAACACAACATACACCCTGCACTAAATGAAAGGGTTCTTCCAGATAATTAATTAAAAGGTATTTTTTCTACTCCCTGGCTGCTCGTGTGACTCCTGAGTGTCCAGGGAGCTGGGGAAGAGGGGTTTGCAGTGGAAAAAGCAGAGGCCTGAAAGGCTGGGCTTGGGGAGGGGCAGGCTGCGACAACCTGTAGCTCTCCCCATTGCTGTGGGCCCCTTGGTCTTCTGCTCTCAGCCCTAAGCCATCTTCATGCAGTGGGGCTGCAAGCCCTCCACAAGGCCCTCTGCCCCAGCGTGCAGCCCTTTCCTGCCTCCCTCAGTGCTTCCTGTACACAGTGTTCCTTCTTGTACCTGGTCCAGCCCACCTGCTGTCGTTATCAGGATCCCCAGCATTCTGGCTCTTGTTACCCCCACATGGAGGGAGTGAGAGCTCCCCATGCCCTAGATGATGAATCCTGAGCTCCCTCCTCAGGAGGTGAAATCTCTCTGTAATTTAACCGAGACAGAGTCCACCAAGTATTACTGGCCAGGTGCCAACCACTGTGTCCTCCCAGAGCTGTGTTTTGCCTACTGGACAGCTCTGTTTGAAGAACATCATTAGGCAAAGCCTGGGGAAATTGATTCCGCATAACTTCCATCCCCTACCTAATCTTTGGGCCTGGATGCTGGTGAGTTTCTTCCACTTGTCAGGTATTGTTACCTGACCACCTTCCTCCCTTGAACTTTTTTCTAGATGAAATTCTGTATTTACCACATTAGGCCTGTCATTTGATTTTTGCTTTAAGTTACTATACTTCATCTTCTTGAAAGGTAAAGTGACAGAGCAAGATCTTCCATCCCTGATTTACCCCCCAAATGTCTGAATAACCCGGAACCAGGAACTGCATCTGAGTCTCCCACATGGGTGGCAAGGGAGTCGTCATCTGCTGCCTTCCGGAATGTACTTCTAGCAGGAAGCTGGATTGGAAATATTAGCTGGGACTCTGTGAGATACAGATGTTCCATGTTGGTTTAACCTGCTACACCACAACACCCTCCCCCTAACTTGCACAGGCCTGTTATTTTGAACAAGGAAGTTCTGGTGACCTATATAGTCTGGGTAATTTCCATGTTTTGTCCAACCATAGCACATGATGCTCCTCAGTAACGCTGAGGCACAGGTGATGTCTGCCCCCAGCAGTTCAAGGCAGGTGTACTGTGTCGCCTGGAAGGAGGGCTCAGCGACACACCTGAAATTCAGGGCTAGAAGAGGGGAGGGGAGCCCTGGCATGGAGGCCTAACAGGTAAAGTCCTTGCCTTGCATGAGCTGGGATCCTATATGAGTGCCAGTTCTTATCCCGGCAGCCCCTCTTCCTATCCAGCTCCCTGCTTGTGGCCTGGGAAAGCAGTTGAGGACAGCCCAAAGCCTTGGGACCCTGCACCCACATGGGAGACCCAGAAGAAGCTCTAGGCTCCTGGCTTCGGATCAGCTCAGCTCCAGGCATTGTGGCCACTTGAGGAGTGAACCATCAGCGGAAGATCTTTCTGTCTCCTCCTCTCTGTATATCTGACTTTGCAATAAAAAATAAATAAATCTTAAAAAAAAGAAAGGGGAGGGGACCACCACTCAAGGGTGCCCCATTTTAGCAAACAGCAAGTGAAGAGCCAATATGGGGAGCCCCGCTCCTCTGCCCCATTCTGAACCTCACCCTCCTGAGTTTTCTGTTCAGCTGAGGGAGGGAATCTCCTAACATGTAAATACGGGGTAACCAGTCCAACCTCCTCTCTTGGCCATGGCTATAGGTGCTCTACTGAGCTTTGCACACTTGCAGTAGAGAACCAACCATGCATGCCAAGAGCTGCCCTTGAATACCCAAAGTGTATTGAAGAGGGAAGGATCAAAATGTGGACTCAGACCATCCCACCCAGGGGATGCAGATTATACCCCATGTGACAAGGCTTAGAGAAGCTGTTTCAGAACCACCCCCACTGCACGTCAGAGTGGGGCCAGCTCCCAGGTCACTCCTCGGCCAGGCAGCAGGGTTCCTGGGAGATGATCAGCTGAGATGCAGTCCTGCAACTGCTGGGGCTCTGGGTACCAGGTGAGAATGGAGCATCCAGGCACCTCAGAAGCTGGGCATAGTAAGAAGATGATGGCTGGGGAGCCTGGGTGCAGACCCTTGTGGGAAGCGGTGGTCCCAAGGCTGGACCAGGCTTCTCCTTTCCTCTCTAGCTGACTTGGGATCTGTACACTGCTGTTCCAGGGTGACGTCCTAGACCAGAGCTGCATCTTTGGGTTGAGGGTTTACTCCTTGCCCCAAGCTGTTGTGTTTTCCCAACAGCTGGCAGGTTCCCAGAGAGTGAATAGCCCCAGAAGAGGGGGCTGCCTGTAGAGGACAGCAAAGGCCCCACCCATCCATTCTTCCAGTCAAGCCATTTGGGCTCCCTTAGAACCCAATCACTCATTATTTCTCTTCATTTACACTGTATTGAGGTTAAAGACCCTGTCAGGGTTTCTCTCTGGGACACGACCTTGAGTCACCCCCACTTCCTTAAGTGTCATCAGGCTCCGCCTCCTCAGAATGCCAGCAGTCCACTCCCAGGCATTCCTGGTCTCGAGGGAGAGGCCCTCAACATGGATATACCGTTGCCATGGCGAGCATGGCAACACTCCACCTCTTCACCCAGAAAAGCCTCCATGCAACTGTCACCATGGAAACAAATTCTCCGGGCTCTTGACATTCCAGGGGCTAGTCCTGCCACCTGAAGGAGTAACATGAAACCAAGGCAGGATAAAGGACCCTGAGAGTGTGACCTCTCCGAAAACAGCCCCTTTCAGCCCTGCCCAAGCTCACCAAAATACTACCCATACTGGCTTCCCATCCCCTGCCTTCCAAGCCCACCATCCTCTGACTTCACTGCAAGTCCTGTGGGCCTTGAGCAGCCCACCCACCACAGCAACATGGCCTAACAGCTGCAGATACACCTGAGGGAGGGCAGGGGGCATTGTAGGAAGCCCCTGTGCCTCCCTTGGCCCTCAAGGCCTCAGGACCCCTGTGGGTCCTCTGACTCCTTCTGGTGGTCACTCAATCTGCCCTCCAACAGGTGTTCAGGCAGATTCCTCTCCAGTTCCCCATCACCCTGCTGTTCCTCTGACACAATTTCTAAATCATTATTCCTTGTAAGACTCCCAGGGAACTCTCAGTGTGCATTTGTTTTCTGGCCCTCTTTCTGGGTGTGTCTCATGTCCATTTCCTCCCCCTCATCACCCAGAGTTTGAGTGATTCTAGGATAGCCTGGACAGTATCAGGGAACACAACTTCAGGACCCCACTCTGACTCTCCAGATGGGAAAGTGGAGTACATGTTGTCATTCCTGGACATCAGTGACTCCCCAACCCTATTCCTCAGTGTTCCTAAAATGTGAACTTCCTGAGTCCCTCAGAGTCTGCGACCAACTTGAGGAAGCAGTGACCTAGTGGCCAAGGTGGGTGCGGGGAACAATGGGTCCCCAGGGAGGCAACCCATCGTGCTCCTGGGTGTCCATTAGGGCTGGATGCTTGGGTCCCGATGCTGCCTCTTTTTTGAGGCCCAGAAGAGCTGAGGTGGGCGATGGGGCGCCTCCACATCCTCTAGGAGCAGTCAGGCATGGAGGGGGAACTCACAGTGCTGGGACTTGTGGGCACCAGGGATTAGACCCACTGACCTGCCACTGAGCTTCCGCCGGGGCCAGAGGAGAAAGGGGTGGCATGGGCGAAGGCTCCAGGTCCTCAGAACCCCACAAAGGGCACCGGGCCAAGTACTGACAGCTTGGGATCCAGGTGTCCTTGCTTTCGATGTCTGACAGTACATCTTTCCCATCGTGGAAGTGATGCCACCAATCACCTGCTGGGAAAAGCTTGCCCTTTTCCTCACTCCAATTAGTCTCACACCCAGTCTGTCCACTCTACCCTGCCTTCAGCTTCCTGTCACCATCCTGTGGCTAAATTTTGGAGGGGCTGTCTTTCTCGAACCCTCAAAGTACAACAGCCCCTGACACTCTATAAGAAATGTGATCACACACTGCTCTGCCCAAGTCCCTTTGACCCTCTGAGGGCAAGCAATGCACACTGCTGTTTCCCTACCATCTGTGGCCAGGATTCAGTAAGCATCTGCCCAGTGGATGTGAAAGGAGTGTCCCCCTAGGGCTGCTGCCCTGCCCCCAAGCCAGGATGTCAGGCCCCAGAGCTCTGTGGGTGAAGACAGTCTGTTCCTTCTTTGTTCTGGCACTAGTTTCCCAACCCAAATTGCTCTTGTTTTGCTCCTTCCTCTTGGCCAGCCTCTCTCCCACCAATATAAGCCCCAACTGGTGGCTAGAGGGCAGTCATGTACTTCCCAGCAGGCTCCACAGGGAGATGGAGGCTGGGGTGCTACACTTCCCCAGCCCTCAGCTTGGGCCTCCTAGCAGGGCTGGTCACGATGAGCTTGCTGTTTGGTAAGTCGCTCCAAGGGGTGTGAGGGGCTCTTGGCTGGATGAATGGAGAAACTGATGGACAACAAACATTTGGGGACATCTGTCCCTGGTGCTCAGGGAAACCAGGCAGCAAGAGAGATGGGATGGTCCCAGTGTGGTTGCCTAGCAGCTAAAGTGCTCACCTTGAATGTGCCGGGATCCTATATGAGTACCGGTTCTTATCCTGGCAGCCCCTCTTCCTATCCAGCTCCCTGTTTGTGGCCTGGGAAAGCAGTTGAGGATGGCCCAAAACCTTGGGACAGTGCACCTGTGTGGGAGACCTGGAGGAAGTTCCTGAATCCTGGCTTTGGATCAGCTCAGCTCTGGCCATTGTGGTCACTTGGGGAGTTAATCATCGGACAGAAGATCTTTCGATCTTTTCTCTCTGTCTCTCCTCCTCTCTGTATATCTGCCTTTCCAATAAAAATAAATCTTTAAAAAAGAGAGAGAGATGGGATGGGCGCTGTGGTGGGAAAGGCCTGGGGACAAAGCAACTGATGATGAATAGCCCTAAGGGAAATTTCTGGTGGCTTTTCTAGGGCCATTCCACTCAACAACAGTGACCTAAGGGCAATACAGGATGGGGAGGGATAGAGAACATGC